GTGTTGCACTGCATGTTAAACTAGGAAATGAATCCAGTTCAGAACATTCTGTTTTTTCCTGTGTTGCATTGATGGTGGTTTGTCATGTTTACATCAAGCGAATGAGTCAGATTCCGGGACATGTGTTTAAGCCATGATTATTTGCACAATGTGGAAGAACCAGGGATGGATTACCGACTGGGCCAGTGGGGTCAGTGCCCAGGGGCCTCTGACTGCCAGGGGTCTCAGTGGGCCTCAGACCACCGGCTCAAAAAACTAGGGACAGTCCATTGCAGATGTAAAAATTAGAATAGCCCTTGTACCTAACAACTGAATAAATGCCCACACTCTGTCACTGTATATATTCAACACCAAAAATGTGCAGAAATATAACTGCAGGAAATAATAGGCTATTGCATATCCAGGCTGAAACACAAGAGACCAAAAAATTTTAGCAAGAATGGGCGGGGCTAAACTACTGTAGACTGAACGGACGGATATATATGCAAAGTTACTGAAACAGTAAATTCAAAACAATATTTCTTTAACAACTTAGTTTAAATATATGGACTGCATGGACTGGGGAGTGAATGGTACATTTTGAAACAGTGTTTACATACTACATCAAACTCATTCAGTGAGGAAATGCAAATTTCCCATTAAAATTATTTTGCAGGTCTATTTTTTCTGATTTTTTTGTGTTATGGTCAGCGTATGGGGGTAAAGGGAGCCTCCAAACACACTTGAGCCCAGGGGCCTTGTGAGACCATGATCCATGACCTAAAGGCAGACTGCCTTTAGAATTTTGTCTGCACTTTAACTTCTCCAGTATGTTGGTAAATGTTTGTTTTACCAAATTTTTACCAAGTTTTACCAAATTTTATCACCTGGTTGTTTTTCATTTGTGGTAGATTTGAAAATGTTTGCTATTTCTTTTCGGGTTATATAATAATGCATCTAATTCTTTATATGATACGTATACAGGGACATTGAGAGATGATTGTGTCTGTTGTTCTTTGTAATTGAATGGTGATGGTAATCTTACATTGAATTTATCACTTGGTTGTTCATCTGTAACTGATTTCAAATGTTTTAAAATGTTTGTCCTTTCTTTTTAGATTGTTCTCCAAGGAATGGAAACTCTGGACAAGGACTCGGAACACCTAATGCACGTGTAGAGAATATAAGCTGCATCAGAACTACTTTTTGGTAGTTAAACTGCCAACTGCAGAATTCCATTAACCTGAAGCAAACATGCTAGATGTTTAAGCAGATGACTGGAAGCCAAAGCAGAGGGACAGATGAAGTGTGTGGGAGAAATATTTATTTATTCTTTATTTACTGGAAGAGACTGAACCAGTGCTTTGAAGATGAACTGTATCCTCAAGATCATTTTTCTTCTTGCTGTCAATTTCTTCTTGAATTTTACACTAAATATTTAAAACTACAATAAATCATCAGTCAGTTTGTGCTCAGAAATGCTTCTTTTTTTGGTTCCTACATAATTGTTCCTACAAGAGATTGAATAATAGCGGCAGTGCTTTCGCCCCAAATAGACGGTAATTGATCTGCAATTTGGGTGATACGAGGTGAAACGTCGCTGCCGGTGTGAAAGCAGGGTTAGCAGAAAGAGTCACAGCACATGCAGACATGAGGGGAAAAAGGTTTCTTTGTATCAGGAGTCAAATTCACCTCTTTATAAAATAGTGATTTCAAACAAATAGTTCATAAAACCAACAGACATCAGTTCAAAGTTTATCAAACTATGTACATAGAAATTATGAATCTTTTATACAATCTTTAAGTAATTGGCAGCGCAAATCTCCACAATTGTTCGTATATTTTAATGGTAAGTAAAGCTAAAATCATTATAAAATGGTCATTTCTAATAAGTAGTTCATATCAGTTCAGAGTTTAATATATAAGGAATATTTGAAATGTAATATGTTTGATATCTACAGGTTGAGGAATTGAGGGATATAAAACTGTCATGATGACCGCAAAACTGAAGTCAGCTTCTTGTTTGAATTTTTCCGCTCCACTTTAAATGCGTGAGCAGTTGCATTCTGGTGCCTTGCAGCGGGAAAACTCGAATAAGAGTCTGGCGAATAGGAAGCAACTTCAGCCTCGTCCTTTTCACTGATGCTAACTTACTGTAAACAATAATATATGGCAAATACTGGTGTCGCTGTTTCTAAATACTGAAGAGAAATATAAAAACAAAGAATATAAAGATCTGTTAAAAATGTCATTTCTATCCCTTTTGTTAGTTCACACTTTCACACTCACTAACTGGAACTACAGAAAGTGAAAAAGTGTAACAAAGGCTGTATGGCAGACAGGACACAATCAATAACAAATGGCCATGTAACGTTAATATTTCCTAAACTTTTTCACTTTCCGTAGTTCCAGTCTTGCTTTGCGTTGATCTCTGTTCAGTGAGTGGATGCACGCGCCCGAGGGCATGGTTTGTGAAGGGGAAGGTGGATTTGAGGTGGAACTGAATGGGATGCGCCAGAATGTAACTGCAGCAATTTGAAAAAGGAGCAAATCTCAGCTTCATCCACAACGTTCTGTAAAAACCAAAAAATCAGTGTGAGCTTCTAGTGTGTGTGTGTGTATCTATCGATTGAGCTGTCTGTCTGTCTTATAGATAGATAATATATAATGCAGTTTGGTTGGAAAATGTATTTGTTTCTTACAACATTTAATTGAATGATTTTTTTTGCACTAATTCATCAACGAACCCTCTGTCTGTTACAATTAACCCTAACCATGCGGTAAATTGTAACATTGCGCTTCCTGTCATTTTCTGTGGAATTGTACCTGAACAGTAGGTGCTAAAAACAAAGTTCAAGTGTTCGTTTGTAGCAGAGATGTATATGTTGCTTGTATAAAAACATGATTATTCCAACTTATTTTTTTTTTTTAATTATTTAGCAAAAACCAAAATGTGTTAGGTCGTGCCCTGTTCTCTTCTACCGTTTATAATAATTGTTCATTGCAACCCGAATCATGAAGAAAATGGAGAGCTGCGATGCAGTATGTACACTAAACGTTTCTGTGAGCAGAGATTGAGCTCACAGCTGCAGGAGTAGCGCTGGCATTATTTACAGCTGGTATTTAAACAAACTCAAACTCTAACTCAGGCTTTTCATGCATACTACCTCTGCGTGGTGTGAGCGACGCAGAACGGCTTGGTTTTTATTTCACATTAATAGGTCAGCGGTTTCGCACAGGCTGCGTGAGCGTCCCAGACGCTGCACAGAAGCCACACGCTATTTAGAGAGTAGACCAGGGGCCATATTACAGAAACCTCTAAAGTTTGAAATCTTATCTTTTTAGTCACTATACCAACTTCATTTAGGACAGAATTTCCAGAAAAGCTGTTACAGAACAACAGTTCTTAGGTTCATAATCTCATCCTAACTCCAGATAAAGAAACAGTATTACAGAAACATACTAACTAGACAGTTTCCTACATACAGTCCTAACTTTAGAACAACCTAAGAGCTGTCTTAACTTCTGTTTTAACTCTCTGTTTCTATCACTTTACGCAGTGACAGGCACCACAGTACACTATAACTAGTATCATGACGTTACATTTATCTACACTGAAAACAGGGCTTTTTAAAACCCCAGACGCTGCAGACCCGATCTCCACCGTCCCCTCTTATTACCTTCGTGTGTTAATGATGATAAAATATCACAGTGATGGTGGTGAATAATGAGGAGCTGAATGTGTGTCTGTTTATTAGGAGGAATAACGTTAGCGAGCTCGGCTAAAGCGTTTGGGAAACAAACTGAAACTGGAGAGCGGCGATGCTCTGATTAACAGCAGAGGGCGCTGTCACAACATTCTTAACTTTCAGTTTATCACGCGTTAGTTCTGTTTGACCCTTTTTACTTCAGTAGCTTACATTGACAAGAAATGAAAGCTGATTGGTTGTTCTGTTGCAATGGGCAGTGACCTGTTTCTTCTTCCACCAACCTTATAATTTTATACTGTACAACTAATGGTGATGGCGTTTGAACAAACACTGAATGATGATTGTTTAATTGTGCGACTGTAAAACTGACAAAATCTCTTTGAAATTGTCAGACTTTCATAGGCAGATGCGGTGGTTGGTGGTTACCTAATGACATACTCTGCATTTTTACAGACATGGTAAAAGAGTCCCTTTCAGAGAATTTCGTATTGTTATGGATGCAGTCCCATCAGGTGTCGCAGTGCTTTTTAAAAACATGAGAGGACCTCATCCAACCGTATTGCCTTTAGTCGCCGTTGTCACTATCATTGGACTGTCTTATAAAAATTAAATTTACATAGAAATATTAGCTACTACTCATACAGTTTAGACACACACCTAAAGCACTTATCCCTCTCGGTTGCTGGAGCCTATCCCAGCTGTCATTGAGCGGAAGGCAGGATACACCCTGGACAGGTCGCCAGTCCATCGCAGGGCCGACAGACAGACATATACACACACATTCACACCTAGGGGCAATTTAGCATGTCCAATTGGTCTGACTGCATGACACAGACACCTGGAGAACGTGCAAACACACAGAAAGGATCTTAGTCGCCCGGCCGGGAATCGAACCCAGGCCCTTCTTGTTGTGGGGCGAGAGCGCTACCCACTGCGCCCATACAATTCACAGATTTTTTTTTAACTTATTTTTAGAAATTTCCTATTGTGCTTCTGATTTAGTTGTTTTTGAGTGCGTATATGTGATGAATTCTATTATGTGTGAACAGTTTAACCATGTAGGTGGGTGACTTTATGCAGTTCTCCTTGCCACACACCACTCCCCTGCACACACAATCTCCATGGTACTGGTAAATAACATGTTTTCCAGGCCAACTGTGTGTATCTTTTGTCAGAAGGGCTTTGACTAAATCCACCTGTTTGTAGATTCTGTGCTGCTCCCTTTGGCCTATTCAGTCCGAAATGGCGGCAGCGGTACCGCAGCAACATCTAGCGGCGGCTGTCAAAAAAGCTGTTCGGAGATGAGGGAGTGCAGATCAGAAACTGAAAGTACGTTCGTAGTCTGAACCGCCGGTTGCAGTGATTTGTTCGGGAGCCGTATATGATTCATATATTAAACAAAAAACGGAACTTCAGTTCGGATGTTTTGGAGAAGCTGAGCTTAACGGGAGAGGGATTGAACACTGCTCCACAGGGCGCTTCAGTACCGCCTTATTCACACCGTTTTCTTCAAGGAAGTCTACGAAGGTAAGAGCTCATTCAAATAACCAATAGGACGTCAACACAGTTTATACGCTCAGTCAAGCTTTTTACGTAGCTGTGATTCTTAACTTATTGCAAGTTTTCCTAACATATCATTTTAGTGCTGCATCTAAGTCAAAATACAACTTAGGCTTCCTCAAAGAAACGTAATGTGGTCGCTTATAATTTATCACAGAGTGCCCCTTTGTAGGCAGTTAGACAGGTACAGTCACACTAAATTACAGATACAGTGAAAATATATCAAAATGCTTAACAACACAGTAAAACTTTACTAGAAAAGAAATTGCTTTGAATTTATTTGATTCATTTGTATGTTGGTTTGAAAGGAATGAAATGTATTACATCATCACAAATACTGTCACTCATCATGGGTTCATCTCTTCACTCATTCTTAGACTCAGAAATTGAAGCAACCTGATTAGCAGCCCTGCTTTACCGCCTAATCATCAAGAGATCTTCAGCGCTTCGCTTTCGACTAAACTAAGCTGAGGAAATCGATAAATATGAAGAACGTTGATTTATAAATTCAAGTTGACCTGATTCTGGTTCTCAAATACTAACATTTCTGAAATTTCAACAACAAAAAATAGAGGTACACTGTCACTGGGGCAGTACCCCTCTTGTCACTAGGGTGGTACCCTCAGGGGTACATCTCAGTACCTTTAGCCAGGGAAGTTATACTGACATGTTCTCTCTGTGTCTGTGTAGGTTTCCTCCCACAGTTTTAGCTTAGCTTCTTTGTGAAGTATTGCCTTTTTTGTCAGAGCCTTACCGAGCCTTCTATTCTGTCTGATTGCTGTATCGTGCATGACCATTGCCTTGTTCGTTTTTTTCGACCTTGTGTTTTGCTTTGCCCTTTCAGTATTGTTGTACTTTCCGGGTTGACCTTGTTGCTGTTTTTTGGCTGACCTTGATTTTAGATCTTCCCTTTGTTAATAAACCCATTTTACTTAAGTGTGGTCTGAGAGCATCTGAATTCTGTCTGAGGCTGACAGTATTTACTTGGATTTTAATACATTTCTCCTGCTCGTTTGAGCTATACAATACTGCTTAAAGTAATGCTTTCTATATGATAATTATATCTACAGTGTAAATAATGTTTAAGCAGTTATATAATAATGCATATATAATTCCATACCATTTTTAATGCCAGATATCAATATCACACAACAATCCTTGAAAGAGAGTGAGAAATGAGACAAAGTGTACATTCATGCCAGACTTTCCTTAAACTCAATATTTGTCACTTGGTTGTTATTCATTTAGATTAAATGACCCTTCTTGTCCAACAACAGGGAAAGTTCACCTCCACATTTAACCCATCCATGCAGTACACGTAAACACTAGTGAATGCACACACACTAGGGGGCAGTGAGGGTGGTGGGCAGCCCTATCCACAGCACCTGGGGAGCAGTTGCAGGTTAGGTGCCTTGCTCAAGGGCACTACAGTCACCTACTGTCAGCTCAGGGGATTGAACCTGCGACCTTCTGGTGACAGGGTTGTTTCCCTAACCTCCAGTCCATGACTGCCCTCAGTTTGTGGCAGATTAAAAAATGTTTGCCTTTCCTTTTCAGCTTATCCTCTATTAGTATTTTATAATAATTTATTTATATAATACATGTTCAGGACAATTGGCAGCTGAACTCTTTCTGAACCCTGTTTTGGCAGGTGTGACTGGGCTCAATATAAGACAGATGGAAGATGTCCTATATGTGCATCTGGTGAGCAAAAGGCTGTTGCTTGTGGGATTTCATGCAAAGTTATGATGGTGAAGCAAAATGAAAGACAAATCTGTATTTACAAGTGTGAAACCAGCTAAGCAGTAACACTGTGTTGCACCATGATCTTGGAGGAATGTTGTTTCGTTTCACTGTGTACATGTATGTAGTTGAAATGACAATAAAGCCTTTTGAACTTGAACTCTTGAACTTGAACGAAAGAGGGGCCTTATATGCAGTGAGTTTAATTTTCAGTAATGTGAGTGCAGGTTAAATATATCATCACTTTTATATAAATATTTTTCAGGTTTTTTGTTTGAGTTGATATAAAAAGATTAAAGTTTCTTGGATTAAAATCTCTTTATATTAATGTGCACTAAAGTTAAGAACAATGTTTAGTTTCATTATATAATTTCAGAGGTTTGGGGTATTGTTACAACAGTCATAATGTGCATATAGTGAAGAAAATGTTCTTCTAAAATTATTTAGAACAAACTCAGTCATGGAGCTGCACCACCTTTATATAGTAGGATTGTATTGAACTTTAAATCATTGTTCTGTCAGCTCATTTTGACTGTATTTTTTAGGAAACCGTGTTGATAGACACTGCAGTGAGGATACAATCACTTCTTGTGTTCCATGTCTTCATTCAACTTTCATTGATGCACCAAACGGCCTCACAGAATGCATTAGCTGTGCAGTGTGTGATGCTGGTAAGTCCTTTATAAATAGACTTTAAAACATGATCTTTAAATTATATTATATCATACTTAAATTATATTATATTAAATTATACTTACTACGCCCAGGATTACAGCTTTATTGGTAAAAGATCATTTTATTATATAGCTAATAAACTGTACAGTGTGTGATCCTGGTAAGTCTGTCCTTGCATGTTTATAATTCTCTGTGCTTTGTATGTTCATATTCTTTATAGAAATCTTTATAGAAGGAATATTTTGTGTTGTTCACAGGTCAAGCTTTAAGAGCAAAAAATGCCTGCACACAGATTTCTGATACAGCCTGTGGAGCACTAGATGGATATTATTGTATGAACAATAACCTGTTTTGCATGCTGAGACTAAATATAAAATAACACACTTTATAAACACACATAATTCTTAAAAGTAATGTTTTTGTGTATTAGTAATCATAATCTGAATTTAGAAAAAAGCTTAAAGGCATATTTGGATTGTAAAGCATGTTTTAGGCCCAGCAACACACACGACACACGACCACCCTGTCCAGATTACAAAACATCTACCAAATAACAATAAACAATTAAAAAATGAAAGAAAACATATTTTCTGGTGTTAAATATAAGCTTAAGCAGCAGACAAGTGTGCACATAATACACTGTAAAATGGTTTCATACTAAAACACATTACTTCATGTAGTCACAAGCAATTTAACTGGTTTTATTCAACTCAGATAAATAATTTGAAAAGAACATTGCAAAGCAAAATAAACCAGTTAGATGATCAAAATCAGCAAAATCAGCTTCAAATATGCTTTTGCCTTCTTCCACTTTTCACAGTGCAGCAGCTTGGGGGAAGAAAGTGTAGAGGTTTGAGTGCATTTTTGCCCCCCATTCAGTCACATCCTATTTCACCTGTTAGCTATAGGTCTCCCCCATTAACATGATGCTACTAGCACTAGGTTGCATTTTTAACTTTCAGCCTCTTGCCATAGGGGAGACTGTGACTGCTCTTACATTTTAGAGAGGATCTAGATCAGAAGTGAGCAGCTCTGTTCCTGGAGGTTCAGTGTCCAGAACAGTTTGGTGATTTTTCTGCCCAGACCTACTACATCTGGTCATCAACTAAGAAGATCAATCAGGTTTGTTTGAGCAGAGAAATCACTAAACTGTGCTGCACTGAACCCCTCCAGGACTGCCTACTTTGATCTAGATACCCTTTATAATTCAAATTTATTGAACCAGATGGAGAGAAATCACATTAGGTCATCATGAATTTTGTTTCACTCTGACAGATTTGAAGATTTGGGACTTACAGAAATAAAGGCAGGAACACTTTCTGATGCTAAATGTGGAAATGTAGACTGTCCAATGTGCTAAAATTAGACTGTGCATCTTAATCAGGTATAGTTTATCACACTTTTAGAAGTTAAGACATTCCACTAGAGCCCATGTGTCAAACACAAGGCCAGCAGGCCAGATCAGGCCGTGACACAGTCCTCTATGGCCAGAAGAATTAATTTTTCTGTTAATATTAGTCGTATTCACAATGTGCTGCACTGCAGTCCCCAGCATGCACTGCTACGTTAGGTACACTCCAAATCTCCTACCACAACAACAGTCTATGGGACAGCAGTTACGGTTTGTGAATGCAAACCGTTGCATCGTAATGCAAAACATTTGCGAGGGAACGCATTTTATTTGCAAGGGTACGCAAAACATTTGCGAGGGAAAGCAAAATATTTGCGAGGGAACGCAAAACATTTGCAAGGGAATGCAATGTCATTAACTTTTTTTTTAAACCACCGCCCCTTAGGGGCTCCGTAATTTTTTAAACAGAAAAAGGAAAGAATTTTTCTTCTCGATTATTTCAGTTCTGAACACAATGAATAGATATTTAATGGGCGTCCAGCGCTCTGTATCCTCTCCGCTGTGTCTGAAAACCAGGATACGTAGACTAACAAATATGCTTGACCTCTGCTCGGAGACGAGACCCAACAAAACCGAAAGTACGAAGCTGTTTATTCCTCAAAAAGACATTTCAGATTCAAACAGTGCTTCGGTTTTGAGCTTTTGGAGAAGCTGAACTAAACGGGAGACAGACTGAGGGGCTGAACTCATGATCTGTTGTCTGCTGATGATCAGGCAGTTAGACAGTAACGCTGAAAGCTGTAAAATACAGAAAGAATCATTAGTGACAGCAAAATGTTCAAAATGTTTAAAACCACAAAGTTGTTTAAAACCACAGTTTTGCAACTTTTTTTTTGCAGTTTTGTGTTTCTTTTTTTCAGATACATCTTTTTCAGAAACATCCTGTTTCTGATGATATATTTCAAACAATTCAATAAACATTTTACAGTGAATTTACTAAAAAGAAATGTTAATGACTAAATCGTAGTCGTGACTGTACACACACAGTCAATTTAAATAAATTACTTACAGAAGGGCTCTTATTGTTAAAGCATTGCCTGGACAGAGGATTGAACCCCCTGTCTGCAGCATGGAGGGCAAAGGTGTTACCCATTATACCATACCAACCATGGCATATTGCTAAAATGATCATAAGGCATTGTGATTACTCTGCTGAAGATCACTGAACACAAATATTATCTAAATTCGATTTACTGAACCTAAAAGATAGGGTATTGAGTTGGCCTTTACTTTTTCTTTCAGTATTAAAGTGGGAATGACATAAGATACTAGTTTCTTTTTTTCCAAAATTTTAGAATGGATCAGTTTTACTTTTATTTAAGTGACATCATGTTAGAGTATTTATATGTTGCTTAATGGATTTTTAGTGCATTTCTCCCACTTGTTTGAACTGTTGCTAATATTCCTATTTTTACAGAGTAAAGACTGTGTTTCAAACAGTTGTAGTCAGTTGATATCAGATCAAGAAATATCAGTCCACAACAGAGAGAATGAGAAATGAGACAAGTTACTTTAAGCTCAAAATTAATCACCTCGTTGTTATTCATTTGTGACAGATTAAAAAAGTTTGCATTTTCAGTTCAGGCTATATCCTCTAATAATGTATTTATATAACACACGTGCAGAAATTTTGGAGAGCTGACTGTCTGTCCCAGTGAGACCAATTATCTAATATTTTTCTGTTGTTTTTGTAATAGAATTATATTTGTAATCTGTTTCACTAGAATATATCAGAATACCATTCATGAAGCTGCACATTCAGACTCAAAACTGATCTCTTGGTTGTTGATTTAATCCAAAATTATTTCAGCCAAATACCATAAAATGTTTGCTCTTTCATTTCAGATTCTTCTCTAAGAAATTGAAAACCTGGACAAGGAATTAATGGACAGAGAAGACAAGCTGCTTTAGAAAAAACTGAAATACGATGTTTTCTTGTTGATCTACCTGCAGAACTGGCATCTGCGTGAAACAAACAAAAATAATTTTGCAGATGATCTAAAGCTACTGAAGCAAGAAAGATGAAATGTGCAGGAGAAACATTTTGCATTCTTTACTAGAAGAGACTGAATCAGTACTTTTATTATGATCTCTGGTTTGCAGATCATCTTTATTTTTGCTACTTTTTTTTCCTCAAATTTTGAACACTGTTTTTGCATGTGTGCCTGGACTGAGTATGAGGTAGATGGAGAATGTTGTCCCATGTGTGCACGAGGTAAGAGGCCCACATTTCTGTGATTTTGTGGATCAAAAATGTATTTTACATGACAATTTTCCAACTTCTCCTTGACTCTGTATATATATATATATATATATATATATATATAGGCTGCCCTGTTTTGTGCAGTTCTTATAACATAAACTCAACTGTTGTCAGCTGAATAGAAGGATGTATGTAAATGAGCTGGTTTTTGTGACATTACAGAACTAGCGTATTTAAAACAGCTGTCTTTGTAGCTGTAATCGTAATATTTAAAACTTCAACAGTGTTACATACCACATAGTGTTGTAATATTTGAGTCGAATCTTGACTGGACTCGGTCTTGGGGTATGGTGGACTTGTTCGCTAGAACTGTCAAGTTTAATGCCTTCATCTGAGGTAACTGGTTTTCCAGCATTATTGAATATCAACAATATCTACTAACAAAAATACAACAGTTTACGTGTTTCTACATGACAAAATCAGTTCACTGCTCATTGAGGTGACTTCTGAACAAGTTTTAGAGCAGAAGGGAATAAAGAATAGAACAGAAAAATCTTACCATTACATACAATGCCAAGCTGCACTAAAACTAAAATAATAATTATTAATATTTTTAGGCTATATATTATTCAGTGTTATTTTGTACAACACATAAAATTGACTCAGACTTGCTTCTAATGGTCTTGACTACAACACTAATACTACTCAATCTGTATAGAAATGGTCCAGAATAAAATCTCTTTACATTAACACAGCTTCACTGTCACATTTTTCGATTTTCTACATCACTGGAACACAGCAGCTCTCCTTTACATCGTGTTGTGTTAGAATCTCATGATGATTGGACCAATCAAAATGCTCAGAATGAAATCTCTTTAAATTGAGTTTAAAGAACCTACTTCGCATTCTCCTGTAAACTTTATATTTAGGAGATACTTGTTTTCTTTGGGCAGCAACAATATGGAAATATAGAAATGACATTAAAGTTAAGAACTATTTTTTTCCTTCCTCTATAAATCTCTCTATATGAGACATGAGGTTTTGATAAAAGCGATGATGCACATGATACAAAAAATGCTCTCCCAAAACAATATTATTCAAAACAATTTCAATTGTCTCATCATGACTGCGTTGGTTTGTTTCTCTTTAGGACACCGTGTTTATACGCACTGCACTGAAGATACAGTCCCTATTTGTGTTCCATGCCTTCACTCAACTTTCCTTGATGCACCCAACGGCCTCACTGAATGCTTCAACTGTACAATGTGTGAACAAAGTAAGTCTGTCCTTTATAAGTCAACTTCAAAACATGTCCTTTATAGTTACATTTACTGCAAACACTTAGTAACACTTATAGCTCAGTTGGTGAAACAGTCTCTGTTCCTAAACTCTAGAATAGCATTCTGGGAAATATTAGGAATGTAGGCTCAATAGGTGTTTTTAAATATAAATTAAAAACAATTAATATTATTTAAATATTTGTTTAGGCTAGCATATTCCTAGACATTTTGTGTCTCTTTTTCTCCTGCTTGTAAATGTGCTGTTATTTTATTATTTTAATGTAGAGGTAGAGTTTTTTATCTTTCTGATGTTTTACTTATATTCCTGTGTGGAGCATTTAGAAATTTTGTCATTAAAATTAAAATGTCTGCATAAAAATATGTATTATTATTATTATTATTATTAGTAGTAGTAGTAGTAGTAGTAGTAGTACTATACGTTTTAAATATGTTGTGGTCTCTTTGTGTTGTTCACAGGTCAGGGTTTAAGAGAAAACACAGCCTGTACTCAGGCATCAGATACAGTCTTTGAGCCACTAGATGGATATTACTGTACTGATCAGTACAGAGGCAGCTGTAGACTAGCTGACAAACACACAAACTGCAGCACTGGACAATATATAAAGCAAAGAGGTTGGTGTAACACATCTGCATACACAGATATTTTTCAGTAACACTTTATGCACTTTCCTCTTTCAATGACTGGATTACAGGTTATTCCACTTAATTCTCTGTGACTGAGCAGAACTTCTATGTTTACAGGAACAGCATCTAAAGATACTGAATGTGCTGAATGTCCAGATGGTACCTTCTCAAACGGCTCTCTTCATATTTGTCAACCACATTCAAAGTGAGTGTTCAGTTTTTTAGTGTCACTGAATGATTATTCAGATCAGTGAATGATCTCTAGTTCGAATCAAGGTGGGGCAGCAAAAAGATCTATGCTGTGGGCAGCATTTTGCTACCACGGCTGGATGAATGTGAACAATATTTAAAGCATATGCAATCATCAGATTTCAACCCAGTTGAACACTTAAGAGAGATTTTGGAATGACATGCTCTACTCAACATCATCACTACACTAACTGAGGGAACATTTTAAGAGTTCATTTCTAAACACCATAATAAACGATTAACACCATCCTTAAAAAAAGCTGCCTGTGAGTTATTCTCAAAATAGCGCATTCTAAAGCCTCAGAAACATTTTTTCTCACAAAAGCCGTTATTGTCTATTGTCAAGGCACGACCACTTCATGTTTACAGCAGAAACAGTCAAAGGCCAGCGCTGTTCTCTTCCAGAACTTGATAAATCCATTCAGCGAATCAGCGTGCAATATTCCGGTCAGGTGACACAACAGGTATAATCTCAAATTGCTCCCTTCTCCCTACAAAGTGCAGTCCTTGGATCTTTAAATAACGGCTACTGCATTTAAACAGTGCACAGTATGTCTAACAAAGAACCACTTTGGATTCAGCCATGTGCCCACAATTCCATACTGGACATGAAGTGCAATATTTTGGTGTAAAACATGTGTGAACATTTCATAAATAGTGCACTATATAGAGAGCAGTGGGCCATTTGAGATTCACCTTTAGGGTTTTCTGAGGTCTGATCTTACAGATGTTTAATACTGCCCATTAATGGGCTGTTTTTTTGGGGGTTTTTTTTGCAATTTTCAGCACTTTACCTACTTGTTCTGTGTTAAAGAATGTTAATTACTGCACTTAAAAGAAACTTGTATCCATTAAATTAATTTTTTAACTCTGAAACATGAAGTTACAATTGGAGTTATCTGCTTTTGCCAAAAAAAAAATAATAATAATTAATTTTAAAAAATCAACAAAGTATAATTTTGTAAGTTGCCTGTATTTGTTAAGTTATTTTTACTTAATCAAAACAACCCAACTTGATTGATATTACCTGAAATGTACAATAAAGAAACATGATTTATGAAAATTCATTAAAACATAGATATTCTGGTCCTTGCTGTTAAGTTATCCAGCACAGTTTGGTGATTTCTCTGCTTTAATACACATACTAAACTGATAATAAATCACAGAGTTGATTCAGGTGTGAGGAATTAGTAATTGTGCTGGACACACTCTCACTGGGATCTAGATCATTTCCATAATGTTTCTGATGAATTAGACAGAAAGAAATCATTACTTCCTCCTCTATTTGACTCTGACAGATGTGAAGGTCTGGGACTCACAGAAATAAAGGCAGGAACACGTTCTTCTGATGCTGAATGTGGAAATAAAACTTCAGCTGCTCTAATAGCTGGAGTTGTAGTTTTTGTTGTCATTGTTGCTGTAGTTGTTGTGTTTTTCAAAGTCAAACATAAGACTTTCTCATGTCGAGGTAAGGGTTTCATACTATACATACATACATTCATTACCGTACCATTTATAAAGAAATATGTCTAGCTTTGATGTTTGATTTTTATTTTAAAGTGTACATGTTGTTAAAATGTGTTTTCAGACTGGTTTAAGACTCAGCTAGCTGAGAACCACATGATTCCAATAGAGGAAACTGGATTTCAGGAATCTGTAAGTGCTGTTTTGGTGTGACTACTTATTTAAGTCTTAATTAAGTGATTCAAGAACACTACACTACATGTGATTCTGTGATTAAAATGAATCCTATAAAATGACTGTAATTGATTTTTCTTTTTTCATGAAGACAGCGCTCTCATCAGTGATGCCAATGTTGACTAATCCTCCAGACAGGTAAAAACATGGATAAGGATTTACTTCTGTTAGAACTGTGAACTTATGCAGTCTGATTAGACCTGAGGAGAACATGTACATTACTGGCTGCATTTTTTTCTGCTTGTACTTGCTCACAAAAATACACAATTAAGTGTTATGATAAACATGTATCATTATGAATAATAATAATAATAATAACATGCATCCTCGGGCTGTGGAAATTCCCAGGAAGTAACTATTCTGCATTTGATTAATCAAGTCTTTTATGTCTTATAAAATACATGAAAGAACCAAGTGAAACAGCAGTCATAGGTAGAGAAAAATTTATCTCAAGCATTGGCAACCTAAGAAAATACTAATTGTAATTGTGTTGTTAGCAAGATTAAAAGCTATTAGAGAATAATAATATTTTTGCCCTTATGGTCTATCATTCCATTTAAACATCTCTAATACACTATATGTCCAAAAATATCCAGACAACCCTTCTGTGTAGTGAATTCAGCTACTGTTGAAGTAGTGAAGGTGCTCCTATTGCTGATCCTATTGCTCATGCTGAGGCAATCATTTGCATATGCATAGCTTATATAATCTACATAGAAAATCATTACCAATAGAGTGGGGTGCTGTGGAGCAGCCACACAAGAGCCTAAGGTCATGATGCCTAACTGTGTTCTCTGGAGTGGTTTAGCTCCATCTAATACCTTTAGGATGAGGTGATCCAGAACTAATCCCACATCAGTACCTTTCCTCATTAATGCTTTTGTGGCTGATTGCAATGAAATCCGCACAACAATATTGCAATATCTAATGTAAATCCTTCCCATAAGACTACTGGCAGTTACTGGAAGGGCAAACTCCCTATTAATACCCTTGGTTTCAAGTCAAACATTGGATGAGCAGGTGTCTAAAAACTTTTGGACATACAGTGTATTTCAGACAAAAACATTTATTCAGTTATAAATAGTGATATGTGCTTTTTTTATCGAAACGATAATAACAACAAAAACCCCAGTGGTGCTTAAATGATCCCAAGTTTGAACATTTTATTAAAAATTAATGTGCTATCTTTCCAGGCACAAGCAAATCACTCAAAATATCTACTATGTTACTTTGTCACACAGTCAGCAGTACCACGAGAGAAATTGTATCTTATTCAGTATATGAGCAGAAGAAAAAACAAGAACAATTCTTAAGAATTAAATGGCATTCTAGTTCAGTTATAGTTTTATTAATAGAAGAATTTCTGCTACAAAGGCGTAACAATTGTAAATATAGCAATAAGTCAAGAAAATATTTGACTCACCAACATTTCAATCAACTACTGCGATTTCTTGTGTTGAGGCTAGAAGGAGCCTAGACTACCTGTGTGACTAAATAGAAGACAAAATGTCAAGTGCAGACATTTGCCACTGCCCAACCAACATTAATCGATAACAAGAAGTCAATCTCTGTGAAAAATAAACAGAAATGTAGGGGTCGTTCCCAGCTAAAAGGAGGCTAAACTCATACTCTCCTGTGTTTCATGCACTCCATATGATCTTTAATGTAGCTGGAATGGCAATCTGTGTTGACCTTTTTGCTGGATAGAGCAAAGAATTAGAAAATGGAGGAGATGTACTGCAGTTTCATGCTGACTGTTGCTCTGTATTGTCAGTAGGACTGTCACAAGATTTTAATGTAAAGCAAAATCATTTAAATTTAAGAACTGTAATAATTTAATAATCATTGAGAACCGCCCTATTAGATGATATACAGAGGAAACACTGCTGTAGAAACAATATTTGACTTTTCTAAAACCTGCAGTAAGAATGACTGTGGATCACGATCTGCTAATATGACATTTAAACAAAAGTGAGGAGGAATAGACGTCCAATACCAGGTCTAAATAAGCTATCAAAGAAAATGACTGCATGTTGTCCCTGATTATGCCACTAACTTTCAATTACACAACAGACAATTGTAGCCTATAATTATATTTATATATATTTATGAATATCACTGCTGTCGAAACAAAATGTATTTCCATGTTTGAAAATGCCTATTGCCCTTTACATTGTGTGTACATTTCATAATGAATAGACCAAAAGAAATGGCCCAAAATTAATTTGGAAAGAAGTCTGGTTCTTTTGACTTACATTAACAATATGTTTTTTTCCTTCTCCTAAAAGTTACCATTTTGGAGATATGTTTGTTCTGACAGCAGTGATATTGCAATAGTAATAGTATTGCAATGGTAAAGTTGCAATATGAGAGACCTCCAAAAATGTTAGGATACAGTGACACTAATCTAAACTTAGGTTATAATGACACTAATCTAATCTACAAATATAATTATGGATTGGTAATTCATAAAACTATGATCTCCTCATTGAATTCACATTTGATATGGACAGAAAATAAATTCTAGAGAGCGCTGACTGTTCAGTTGTATACATGTGACCTAAAAGACATCCATCATTGGCTAGTATTGCTCTGAATCACCAGGAGAGAGGAACTAATCAATCTTTTTCCCTTAGTGAGGAGTCTGATCAGTCATGCCTGAACACAAGAAGCTCTGGCAATCCTGCAGTCTAAACTTGCAGTCTCAGTAAAAATGTTAAAGATAGGTAAGCTATCACTGCTGTTACATGGCAAGAATGAGCAATATATATATATATAATATATATATATATATATATATATGTATTATATATACATATATATATATATATATATATATATATATATATATATTATTGCTCATTGCTCATTGCTCATATATATATATATATATTTGTGTTATTTCTGTCTAGTACTATTCTAGTGCATTTTCCATTTGGATACTGTGGAGAAAATCTGATTCTAATAATAGCCATATTAATCTTTTTTTGCTAACTTGTTGTGATTGAGTGAAAAAGATGTTTATGTATTTTAAGCTCATACCATTAACTAAAATATGACTTTTTGACTTTACTGATACAATATTACTCATAATGATGTGCCTTTTCTCTGGCATCATAGCTAATTAATAGAATCTTTATGTACTTTACTAAATCTTTGGCACATGAGCATTTATCTTTGCTTACTTTACCTGTATTTATATACACGTACAGTGGTGCAGTTCTAGTAATGCAGAATTCAGTTTTACTGACCTTCACATGCTGCTTGTGATGGTCACTAGTACACTACATTGGTCTTAAAAGTTATGCCTAACAAAGAGCTGCCAAGGATTCAGCCACTTGTGCACAATTTACTACTGGACTTACAATGAACTGTTTGGGTGAAGAAGCCAGATGAACTCACACAGTGCCCTATATAGGGATGAGGGAGCTGTTTGACAGTCAGCCTGATGCATTCCTTTAAAATCTGTTGCACAACAGAAACAGTTTCCTTTCAGTTTACACTGTGACGTCTTGATCACAACTTTCTAATTCGTTCTCTCGTTTTCTTTTAATCATAGTCATGTTTCATTTTTAACTGAACGCACATTGTTTGTTTTTTATTTATGTGCAAACTAAATAAATGTAGTAGATACAGGCTGCTAACAGCTCCGTGACACTGTCTGATGGGTTTTGCGGTGTTACATTAATGAGATAATGAACAGAGACATGTTAGACATATTTACAGAATACTCATGTTAAACCTGTATGAATAAATAATCTAAGTAAGTCTATTTATGCTGCCTATGTGTATTTGTAAATTTTAGATTACAGTGGATTTTTTGTATGTTGTATGAAGTTTGATGAGCTACTCTTTAATATTGAGAAATCTATACTGTAATCATTATCATGGTTTTATCCATTTATAAGCTCCAAAATACGACTGGTCACACTTTCTCCTCAGTGTGTTGATCTGTTTGTGCCCCCACTAAAACAAAACTGAGCTTTTATAAAGTAAGCTTAAAGGGCCCATATGACACAGAATGAAAACACTGTTAAAGTTTCAGGGTTTCTGCTATTCACATGAAATTTAAAGGAGACATTGGTATCAACTCAAAACACAACACTGCTATAGAAACTGTAATGGTATTTTTAGGTTCATATGCAGATATAGCACATTATATTGTTGTTAAAACATTTTATTTTTGTCTTGTCTGACCACAGTAGATTCTCTCAGTAATCTACAGGCTTCTCCAAATGTTCTGTAGCAACTTCAAACAAGCTTCAATATGCTGTTTCTTCAGTAATGAAACCTTCTGGAGTGAGTGCATTACCTATTGTTTTCTTAGTGAATTTACTAGCTGCTTCCAGGTCTTTCCAGAGCTATTTTCCAGTGGTCCTTGGATCTTGGGCTACCCCCCTGACTAACTTTCTGACTGCTAGAAATATATAAAAAAACCACAAAAAAATGAACATTACACTTTTTATTTAAAGGTGGGTTTTCTATGATACACGGACCCTTTAAATGACTAGTTTGCAGAAACAGCTACTTTATTCTCTGTGACTGAGCAGAACTGGGTATGTTTGCAGAAACAGCATTTAAAGATACTGAATGTGCTGTAAGTTCAAATCATACCTACTTGGACGGCTCTCTTCAGATCTGTCATCCACATTCGAAGTGAGTGTTCACTGGTTAAATGTCACTATGATTACTGATCTGTCATGATTTTCCCACAATAGTTTGGTTTACAAAATTAAACCTATAATTGTCCAAGGTGCAGAGCAAGAGTTTCATATTTATTTAACTAAACACTGAACAAAAGTTTCATTGATGTTATTATAATATTGTAATTTTAAATCTGTGTTAGATAAATCTAATAGCTTCTCAATTAGCTGGAAAGGATCACACATTTAGAAGTAAAGACACTGCATTAGAGGAGGAACCTGTAGGTATTATTTTGGTTTAAGATTCTGATAGTGCCAGCATGTAATTTCAACAAGACAATGAAAAAAAACAAGGAAGAGGGATGAACATAACATTGGACTCTGTGAAATTATTCATATGACATTAATGTCATTTCATTCCAAGATAACACCCACCACAGTAACATCAATGTTAACAAAAAGCACGAGACCTGGAGGAGAGATGAACCTTCTTTTGGAACTGTGAAGTAATCAGTGGTGGACGAAGTACACAAACCATGTACTTGAGTTAAAGTAGAGATACCCAAGGTAAAATATTACTCCAGTAAAAGTAGAAGTCCTCCCTTTAGACCTCCACTTGAGTAAAAGTACAAAAGTATTTACCTTCAAATGTACTTCAGTTTCAAAAAAAGTACTAAAAGATTAATTATGACTCTAATGTCCTACTACCGTTTTTGTAACAAGACTCTTGCTTCATTAACTCATTTTAGGTGAAGATACTCTAGTGTCACTCTTGTAACACCAATATTTTAATACAATGTGATTATTTAGTCTGATACTGATGTCTATTAAAATTATCATAAGCACAAAACACTGAAGGCAAACAATTTCCATTAGGTAGAACTGAGTAGCTATGAAATAACTTTTTGCAAACAAGCAAAGTTTCAGTTTAAGATTTATTTGCAACTCAGTTACAAGTTTAAGTTGAATGACTCTAATATTTTTCTACCAATATCAAAAAAGTGCGCTGGTCTGGACTCTGCACTCTGGACTATGTGTTTTTTTAATGAAGCAGTGTGTAGACAGAATGCGGATGTGCTCTCTTTGGAGATAAGATAAACAGAAAGTACACTCTCAGTCTGCTGGTAACGCTCATCCATGGAGTGGTTTAAAAGCTGTTTACTGTTCCAAAAATAGGATTTTATCTTTAAATAAGGTACCGTTTTGAACTTTTGAAGAAGTGGGGCTAAATGGGAGAGAGACAGTGGAATAATGTGTAAAATGAGAGGAATGAATGATGTAATGATTACTATGGCAGCACGGTGGCGCAGTGGGTAGCACTGTTGCCTCACAGTGAGAATGGCCTAGATTCGATTCCCGGCCGGGCAACCAGAGAACAAGTTTAAAACTACATTGTATAAATCTGTGAGAAAGCCACCACACCCAGCTAAACAACACACAATGAGTGTGAGCACACATTTAATATATCACTGTATTTTCAAAACCTTTTGGTTGAGGTTTTATTTTTTGCACTATTTGAAAACACCAGCTGCTCTTTGCATTGAGTGAGCATACCATCATGATTAAATCAAATATTTAGAATAAAATTTTATTTTAGTAACATACATTAGAGTTATTTAGAACAAATTCAGTCATTGTTCTGTATCATATTTAAATGGAACTGGATAAAGGGAATATTTTGTCGAACAATCAAATTTACACAGTTCTACACCCCAGATGTAGTCAATCCTCTAAGACATATTTTATGTCAAAAGCACTGGAGTTATAAGGCTAACATGGCTAATAGTACTAGAAGTCAGTCACCCAGGTCTTGTTAACAAACACTAGAAGTCATCATCCAAATCTTTTCTAGAAGTTGTAATCTTTTCTGTAAACACATTCATGAAACTCTTAAGTGAGTGAAACCATGTCCAGGTCTTCATTATGGTCGTGCAAACTTGTTGATGTGGTTTAGGACACAGTATGACTTTCTGTGAGCTATAAAAATGAGCAAAACAGGACAAGGTGTTGTCTAAAATAGCTGCCCACAGTGATTAGCTACATGGTGAAGTGTTGTTCATTGTTATAGTTCACAGTAAGTCATGCTTTGCTCTGAACCACATCAGCAAGTCTGTGTGACCTTAATGAAGACCGGGATGCAGCTTGAGTGGGTTAAGAAGTTTAGAAAACGTGTTTATGGAAAAAGACTTTTTAAATGTAGCCTTATAGCTCCAGGACTAAACTAAAGAAGCAAACAATGTGGGAACCAAACATTTGGTTCCCACATTGTTGATTTGGTTCATCTAGGGTAAGTGGAAAAGTGTCTAAATTTGGTATTTGCCCAACTTTTACGTTAAAACTTTTTGTCAGCTCATTGTCAGCTCTGTTTTTTTTTAGGATACTGTGTTTATAAGCGCTGCACTGAAGACACCCCTGCTTGTGTTCCGTGTCCTATATCAGCTTACACTGATGTGCCCAACGGCCTCGCGAAATGCTTTAATTGCACAGTGTGTGATTCTGGTAGGTTTGTCGTTTTAATACAGACCCTTATGTGATCGTGTACTAAAAAGATGAAAGATATACTTGCGATGCTAGTCAACGCAGGCGTCTGTTAGCTGACGTAACAGATCTGGCGGTTGGCGCTTTCCTCCGAGCGCGGTTAGCTGTCCAGTGACGGTGCGTGAGCGGCAGGTCGAAAAGAAGCGGTGGCGCTTCACAGGTCTCGGAGGAAGCCTGTGTTAGCCTTCACCCTCCTAGCGTTGATAGTATCGTCTGATTGGGGGAGTCCTAACTAGCGGGTGGAATTGGAGACGACTAAATTGGGGAGAAAATCGGGTAAAAATAATAATAAAAAAAGAATCTAGGCCTTAAAAATATTAAAATGTCAGTCTAATTTAGGTAAGACATTTACACTAAAGCCTTAAAACCAGCCAAATAATTTGTTGCAAACAATGATGAGCCATCTAACATCTACTTTTTCAAGCTACTGAAACCCCACCATTCCCACCTAACACCACTTACCAATTTAACCAATTGATGATGGAGCTGATTAGTGATATTAATCTACAGATACTAATAGCAACACTTCTAAAAAAAAGATGGTTCTTCAATTGTTCTTTAGTGAAGTAAAGTAATAAAGTAAATGATGAAATGATGAAAATGTTCCAAAATAGCACCAAAATAGCACCAAATAGAGTTCTTCTTTGACACTATGTAGAACTATTAAGTATGAACATGGTTCTACATAGAACCATTACTTTTATAAATTTCATAAAGCCCCCTTGAAGAACCACCCTTTGTTAAGTATGTAGCTAGTTTAAATGTGTTCCTATGAGTACATTTAGCAACAGCGGAAATCATAGTTATGGCAGGCTGTTAACTTTAGTACAAAACCCTCAATCTGTCTTTGCAGACTGACTGACTGTTATAAATAACGGCAAATAATCAAGACCACTTAAATGTTGATGCATCTTGAAACAAAGCCCAGCTTAACCCCTGGATATGCTCCCTAACCTACTTTCACTCTGGTACCCATTTGAGCATCCCTAATGTTTTCTGTCTGAGGAGTGTTAAACCTTGAGAAAAAGGGAAAAAAATGTATATATACTCTACTGTTGAGCTTTCTGAACATACCACTTAGCCTCTTGGGCACCCCCTAGTGGGAGGGACGTTTTTTCCCTCTTATGAATGGTACTGTTCATTGCAGAGATATATTCTTAGACAGTGTTGTTTTGTGTTTTTTGCAGGTCAGGGTTTAAGAGTAAAGACTCCCTGCACTCATTCATCAGATACAGTCTGTAAGCCACTAGAGGGACATTACTGTACTGATCAACAGAGAGGCAACTGTGGACAAGCTGAGAAACACACACACTGCAGCCCTGGACAATATATAAAGCAAAAAGGTCAGTGTCATATATCTTTATAAACTATAAACTGTCCTTTGCAATTGCCTCTTTAAAGAATTCTATGCATTCTACTATTTTCTTGTTCTTTTTCTCTCAAGGTTCCCTTATGTTACAGTAACACTGACGTGGTGGTGGTGTGTTAGTGTGAATCCCAGCAGAGATGCGAGAAAAACAGTTACAGCTAAACTAACACTTAAAGCAGAGCAAAGTAAGTCTGTGTTTTCTTTTATATTTTTTAGACTACAGTAGGACTTTAGTGCATACTGGGACATATTTATAGTCAAGATGTTTAAATGTTACTTCAATAAATGGACATAAATGTTGTGGCTCCCAAGGTGGATTGATTTTTGTTGAAAGGACAAAGTGGCTTTTCTTAACATTTGGTTGCTGACCACGGCTCTAGGGCTTCCTTGTTTCAGAAGGAAGTAGTTTCAGTTTTGTAATAACTTGATGGGTGGCCTAAACTAGAATAAAATACTCCTTTTGTAATTTAATTCCTGAGATGTGTTTCACATTTTAGAACTGCCCTCACTCTCATGGCTTTTGAATAGATCTGTTCTGTTATTTTACAGAAAATTGATAGTAACTTTTCTTTTTCTTTTGAACATGTGTTGTACGGTTTTACAAATAGCTCCTCTAAAAAGGCAGATAAATACAATATAATCAGTCTCATTTTATTGCTAGCAAAATTCTATATTCACAAATGTAAACATTCAAATCAAAATCTTGTTTTAATTTTATTTGCTAATGAAGCCAAACAATACTCAGAAACAAGTAATACATCTGTCAATAAGAAAGCTGTCAAAACACTGAAATGTGATATTTTTGTATAAAGTTATGTCTGTTTGTTAATAAATTCCCTGGTAGCATTTTTGTTTCTTTTTTTGTTTTCTGTTTTGGTTTTCTTTTATTATTGGAGTCTTTTATTGATTCTGTATGTTTACATTCAAACTGAATGACTTGGTGCCCACAACACTGCCATAACTTTGAAATATAATTCTTCAGAAAGCTGTGACATTTTTATCTGATAACATTGTGACAACATAGTGGCAACGTGTACACTGTCACAACCTCCTGGGACTCCACTGAACTACCAACAGGTAGTTATAATACTACATGGCAGTGTTACTAAATAATGAGGTTGTGACAACCTTGTTCAGACAACGTAAACAGCACCACCTTATGACAACCTTATGCAGCAACATTGTAAGAAAGAAGACAGCATTGTGACAGTGCTGCGTGTTTGCAGGAGAATAGTCCAGTGATTTTATTAAACAGTTTTAAACATTTTAATAACAGAATGTCTTACAAACAATGTTATAAATGTTTAATCATGTAAGTGGGTGACCTTTTGCTTTTTTTTTACTTTTTCTGTTCTTCTTGTCACACACCACTCACATGGCGCTGATAAATATTTTCCTTTACAGGTCAACTGTGTGTATAATTGAGCTGATCTTTTTTCAGAGGTTATGCTAACCATACGCTAGAAGACTTTGAAAAGACTCTCAAAAGACTTTAAAAGGCTAAAGTCTGACACCCTCTCACATCTAACGACAGTGTGGCAGAGTTTTTCGTCACAGACTATGATTTTACAAAGACTGGGGATCTTGCAGGGTCAATATTTGCAAGACTGAAACTAGATTTCTGAGATGATTTCCCATCATGCACCTTGTGGAAATTTACAAGAAGAGAAACCCTTTTCCTTCTCCACTCTATAGTGCCCATGTGTCAAACACAAGGCCCACAGGCCAAGTCAGGCCCGCGGCACAATCCTATTTGGCCCACAAAATCATTTTAATTTTCTATTAATATTAGTCTGTTTCACCATGAGCTGCACGACAATCCCCAGCATGCACTGCAACATGATGTATGTATATGGGATAGCACCATAAAAAGATGCCAGGTGTCTAGGTTAAGCAAACAGACAGGTTTAAAAAATCTACCAACAAATTTGGGACGTTAAAGAGGTTTAACAGTGATGCGTAGCTATGTATCTTATTGTTTTCTATAAAGCCTATTGTTTTATATGTAGAACAATTTGTTATTATTTAAAATGATTCATATGTTATTATATTATTATTATTATTATTATTATTATTATTACATTGTATAAGTATTCAGTGCCTATTTTGCTGTTGCAGTTTGGGCATATTTTGAATAAACAATGGCCAGTTTGAGTCATGGCAAAACGTTAAGGTAAAATGAAATGAAAACACAGCTGGCCCACAGATTTGTTGAGATTTTTTAATATGGCCTCTTTAGTGGTTGAGTTTGACACCCCTGCTATAGTGGTACAAATGGGAAGAGGCATCGGCTGGACATGGGTCATTCTACAGAACTACAGATATATTGCATTAAAAAAAAAAAAGATGTTACGGTTACAATTTATTTATATTTAAAATAAAACAATAAGTTATTTTAACAATTACACCTTCTCGAGCCATCAATTTAGCAATATTGGTTTTTAAATCAGTTATCTAGAATTCCAAGCATCAGAAGTGCTTGTCCCCACAGTCATGTGTAAAGGGTGAGTGAAATATTACAAAACACATTTTTCTGCAATTTTAACTGCAATAACCTATACATGACTATGAAATATATGATTTAAATGACATAAAGAAAACAAATGCCAAATAAATATTATAAAATATATAATGAAAGTTGTGGTCCCCAGGAGTCGTTACTGCATAACAAAGAATCTCTTAATAAAAGTCACACTGATGACATCACTTGACTTCCTTCTACCTATTTTCTGAGGATCTATGAGAAAAGCACATGGTACGTCCACTGTGTCTATCAGAAATTTTCTGATTTAGCTCATGATTTCTATGAAGCTTTTAGTTGAAGTTACTGGTGTGACCTACTTTATTCTTAGGTATTTGTGAAAAAATATTAAATTACTAAACTGAGTCTCAGGAACTTGTGAGGGATCCATGTGCAAGTTTTAGAGCTTATTTAAACAGGAAAATCAAATAGGCAAAGTCTTAGACAGACAGAGTTCAAAAACCAAGGCAAAAGTATCCAGAGGGGCAAAGGCAAAATGTAGTGAGTGCAACTGAGAGGCAAGCAGCAGGGCTGCTTTAGCGGGAATGAGGATCAGGTGGTGGAATTGGTTGTCATGGTGACAGAGTTCGTACTCGCTGGAGGATGACCTCTGGTGGCCAGAAGAGGGATTGCTGAAAACTGTAGAATTGTATGATCTGCTATATCATCATCCAGTATTTTAAATGAACCTGTAAAATGTGCAGTAACTCTTTTATTTAATATAAAGATTTACACATCAATAAAACATGCAGCGATTCAACATTGTTGATTTGGCGCTATGAACGAAACCATAAAAACAAACAAAATAAGAAGGCAGTCTAACAGAAAGCAAAAACAAAAAAGGAAAAAAAAAACTTCTTCAGTAATGCCAAGATCTTAAGGTCTTCTGCACATTTCCGTTCATTACTAATAATGCACAGTGAACCTGAAATATTAAAACAGCTAGTTTACATTTTTAGGTTCATATAATTCATGTTGTAAAGTGGAGCAGATTTGCCTTTTTTTACAGAGATTTCAGGCACTCACGTATGCATTTTCTCCGTTGCACTCTCTCTCTCTCTCTCTCTCTCTCTCACACACACACACACACACCGCGCGCATGCGCTGGTTCTCGCGACATGCCTAAGCTGAGGCGTAGGATTAAACACAGTAAAGTTGATCAAAATGTCAGAACGAGAAAAAGACTGAGTTAAGACAAATATCCTGCCTATCTCACATCAACGATCGAGAATAGGCGAGCGTGACGCAACTCTAGCAAGACTCATGATTTTATTACGACTTTGGAAATTTGTCTGCGATAGTGAAATCGCTTGAAAAGTCGTTTGGTGTGCGGCCAACGCAAGTACGCTAACCAAACATTTAACGGGCGCCCAGCCACGAGGCTGAAGTTATTTATTCGCAGCTCCCGATTCGCTCGTCTTATTCGCGGCTTCTCTTTTAGCGAATGACGGTAAAACAAAGGAAGTATTCACAAACGCTGTATGCTGCACAGTTTTCACTTTAACAGACTCCGAGAGACTAATGATGGAGACATACTAATGAAGGAGTTAGGAATGTGTACTGTGTTTGACTTACCATTGTGAACATGAAGATTAGGACTATAAAGGAATAAAATATTTAATTCTATGAATATATGATGTTCCTTCAATTCATTTCCAATGCTTTTTTCATTGCAATTTTAAAGTATGAGACTGAAGAAAAAATTAAATTGAATATTTTTTTTTCCAGTCGCAGATGTACCTGGCAATACGGCACAATGAGTATTGTGCGTAAAAGGAAATAGACAAGAAAGAAGAAATTTCAGAGGGGTGTATTTGCATGGAATAAAACCAATAACAGATTCCAAACACGAAAAAACACTGTCCCTGTAAAGAAAAACAGGTTTTAGCCTGGCCCAAGCTGATTTAATACATTAAATAACTGGCAACATGGCTCATAGATCAGTAATGCACACAATGAAAGGAACAGGAAGCTGAAATTCCAGATGGATACTGAAGGCATTATTCACTTCGCGCCAGGATGATTACATATCCTACGTAGGGATCCAGTCTTCCCTTGTAAGGAAAACCTGATTTTAGCCTGGCCCAAGATGATTTAATACATTAAAATAACTGGCAACATGGCTCATAGAGCAGTAATGCACACAATGAAAGGAACAGGAAGCTGAAATTCCAGATGGATACTGAAGGTATTATTCACTTCGCGCCAGGATGATTACATATCCTACGTAGGGATCCAGTCTTCCCTTGTAAGGAAAACCTGGTTTTAGCCTGGCCCAAGCTGATTTAATACATTAAAAATGACTGGCAACGTGGCTCATAGATCAGTATAATGCACACAACGAAATGAATTAGGAAGCTGAAAATCCAGGTAGACACTGAAAGTCTTATTCACATTGGGCCAGGATAATTACATATCATAGATAGAGATCCAAGGGACAGGGTTTTTTCGTGTTTGGAATCTGTTATTGGTTTTATTCCATGCAAATACACCCCTCTGAAATTTCTTCTTTCTTGTCTATTTCCTTTTACGCACAATTACTCATTGTGCCATATTGCCAGGTACATCTGCGACTGGAAAAAAATATTCAATTTAATCACATTTTTTCTTCAGTCTCATACTTTAAAATTGCAATGAAAAAAGCATTGGAAATGAATTGAAGGAACATCATATATTCATAGAATTAAATATTTTATTCCTTTATAGTCCTAATCTTCATGTTCACAATGGTAAGTCAAACACAGTACACATTCCTAACTCCTTCATTAGTATGTCTCCACCATTAGTCTCTCAGAGTCTGCTAAAGTGAAAACTGTGCAGCATACAGCGTTTGTGAATACTTCCTTTGTTTTACCGTCATTCGCTAAAAGAGAAGCCGCGAATAAGGAACAACTGTGCATGACCTCTGTTCGGAGATAAGAAAGTATCTAACAGAAACCAAAAGTACATTTTTTCCAGACTGCTGGTAACTTGATCTGTTCGGGAGCCGTATATGATTTATAATATTAAATAAATGGATGTTTTGGAGAAGCTGAGCTTAACGGGAGAGAGACTGGACACTGCTCCACAGGGCGCTTCAGTACTGCCTTGTTCACACCGTTTTCTTCAAGGAAGTCTACAAAAGTAAGAGCTTTTTATTATTCAAATAACCAACAGGATGTGAACACAGTATTCACACTGTAAAAAAAGGAAAGTCAGGTCAAGTCAAGCTTTCTAGGTATGATTCTTAACACTCAAAGCTCTCCTAACTTATCATTTTAGTGCTGCATCTAAGTCAAAATACAGCTTAAGTTGAGATTTCTCAAAGAAACACAACGTGGTGGCTTATGACTGATCACAGAGTGGGCAGCTGGACAGGTACAGTCACACTAAATTACAGAAATGATGAAAATATATCGAAATGCTTAACAACAGTAAAACTTCACTGGAAAAGAATTTATTTGATTCACATTTGTATGTTGGTTTGACAGGAACGAAATATATTGCATCATCACAAATACTGTCATTCATTTGAATTAATCTTTTTGCTCATTATTTGACTCAGAAATTTAAGCAACCTGATTAGCAGACCTGCTTAACTGCAGGCAACCCCACAGCGCTTCGCTTTTGACTAAACTAAGTTGAGGAAATCAATAAATATGAAGAACGTTGATTTATAATTTCAAGTTGACCTGATTCTGGTTCTCAAATACTAACATTCCTGAAATTTCAACAACAAAAAGGAAGGATATAGTAAGGAAGGAAAAAGAGGAGTGGAATGGTGTGATTCAAAGATAAATTATGAATGAGAGACCCAGAGACTGGACTGACATATCACAGAGGTCAGAGGACGGATTGATTGCATGTTTTCTTTGCTTCACACAAAAATATTCGGTTATGTACGGAAATGTTTATGGCGGTCACCTCTGATCTCTGTTCCACAGCTCTGTGCACTCATGTCCTCACTGTTTAACCTGTCGTATTCTGTTTTGCTCATTTTAAAAAGGATGAGTGGTTTACATCTTATAATGAAGCCTTCATAATTCAGCCACTGAAGAGGACATAGTTCCTGTTGAATTTGGGGATATCAATACATGCCATAATGAAGCACCATCTGTTGTAATTTTGATATTAGTATTAGCTGGTAAAATGAAAATATGACTTTGTGATTACTGAACATCACTGAAATAAAACGCCATCCAAATTCAATATACTGAATATGTAAGTGAAAATGAGAAATGGAGTATTTTTACTCTTTAGTTTTTCTTTCAGTATTAAAGTAGGTATAACATGAGATCCTTTTTTTATGTTTCACTTTGGATCAGTTTCAGTATTACCTGTTAGAATATTTGTCACGCTTCCCTCCGTTCCCGCTGTCGGACTTCATTACCTAGAACCCCACATCAGATCACATGACCTCCAGTCTGCCTAACATGACTCTACACTGTCTGCCTCACCTGACTACTGATTACACTCACCTGTTCCTAATTGTTCCATGTGCTTGTTAGTTTAGTATATAAGCCCGGCTTTAGCTTAGCTTCTTTGTGAAGAATTGCCTTGGTTTACAGAGCCTTACCGAGCCTTCTATTCTGTCTGATTGCTGTATCGTGCATGACTATTTCCTTGTTTGTTTTTCGACCTTGTGTTTTGCCTTGCCCTTTCAGTATTGTTGTAGTTTCTGGATTGACCTTGTTCCTGATTTTTGGACTTGCCACATGGTTACTGTTCACGTGTTTTTGGCTTTTGACCTTGATTTTGGATCTTCCCTTTGTTAATAAACCCATTTTACTTAAGCGTGGTCTGCGAGCCTCTGAATTCTGTCCGAGGCAGACAGTATTTACTATTTACAGTTATTTAATGGATTTTAGTACATTTCTCCTGCTCGTTTGAGCTATACAGTACTGCTTAACGTAATGCTTTCTATAAGGTAATTATATCTACAGTGTAAATAATGTTTAAACAGTTAACATATAATAATACATACATAATTCCATACCATGTTTTGATGCCAGATATCAATATCACACAACAATCCTTGAAAGAGAATGAGATATGACAAGTTATACATTCATGCCAGACTTTCCTTAAACTCCAAATTTCACCTCCACATTTAACCCATCCGTGCAGTGAGACACCACATACACACTAGTGAATGCACACACACTAGGGGGCAGTGAGCACTCTTGCCCAGAGCGGTGGGAAGCTCTATCCACAGCCCCCGGGGAGCAGTTGGGGGTTGGGTGTCTTGCTCAAGGGCACTTCAGTCACATACAGTCGGCTCAGGAGATTGAAGTGGCAACCTTCTGGTCACAGGGCTTTCCCTAACCTCCAGCCCGTGACTGCCCCCAATGTTTGCCTTTCCTTTTCAGCTTATCCTCTATTAGTATTTTTAATAATTTATTTATATAATACATATTCAGGATGATTGGCAGCTGAACTCTTTTTGAACCCTGTTTTGGTGGGTGTGACTGGGCTCAATATAGATGGAAGATGTCCTATATGTGCATCTGGTGAGCAAAAGGCTGATGCTTGTGGGATTTCATGCAAAGTTATGATGGTGAAGCAAAATGAAAGACAAATCTGTATTTACAAGTGTGAAACCAGCTAAGCAGGAACACTGTGTTGTACCTTGATCCTGGAGGAATGTTGTTCTGTTTCACTGTGTACATGTATATAGTTGAAATGACAATAAAGCCTTTTGAACTTGAACTCTTGAACTTGAACAAAGGAGGGGCCCTATATGCAATAAGTTTAATGTTCAGTAATGTGAGTGCAGGTTAAATATATCATCACTTTTTATATAAATATTTTTATAGTTTTTAGCTTGTATTGATGAAAAAAATTAGCTAAATTCTTTTGGATTAAAATCTCTTTATATTAATGTACACTAAAGTTAAGAACAATGTTTAGTTTCATTATATAATTTCAGAGGTTTGAGGTATTGTTACAACAGTCATAATGTGTATATAGTGAAGAAAAAGCTCTTCTAAAATTACTTTATTTAGAACAAACTCAGTCATGGAGCTACACCACCTTTATATATTAGGACTGTGTTGAACTTTAAATCATTGTTCTGTCAGCTCATTTTGACTGTATTTTTTAGGAAACCATGTTGATAGACACTGCAGTGAGGATACAATCACTTCTTGTGTTCCATGTCTGCATTCAACTTTCATTGATGCACCAAACGGCCTCACAGAATGCATTAGCTGTGCAGTGTGTGATCCTGGTAAGTCTGTCCTTGCATGTTTATAATTCTGTGTGCTTTGTGTGTTTGTATTCTTTACAGAAATCTTTCTAGAAAGAATGTTTTGTGTTGAGCAAAGAAAGCCTGCACACAGATTTCTGATACAGTCTGTGGAGCACTAGATGGACATTATTGTACTGAACAATAACCTGTTTTGCATGCTGAGACTAAATATAAAATAACACACTTTCTTTATAAACACACAATTCTTAAAAGTAATGTTTTTGTGTATTAGTAATCATAAACTGAAATTAGAAAGAAAAAAGCTGAAATGCATATTTTGATTGTAAAGCATGTTTTAAGCCCAGCAGCACCTGGGACACACGGCCACCCTGTCCAGATTACAAAACATCTGCCGAATAACAAACAATTAAAAAAAGAAAGAAAACATATTTTCTGATGTTAAATACATGCATAAGCAGCGGACAAGTGTGTACATAATACGCTGTAAAATGGTTTCATACTAAAACACATTACTTCATGTAGTCACAAGCAATTTAACTGGTTTTATTCAACTCAGAAAAATAATTTGAATAGATCAATTCAAAGCAAAATAAACCAGTTAGATGATCAAAATCAATTTCAAATCGACCTCTGCCCTCTTCCAGTTTTTACAGTGCAGCAGCTTGGGGGAAGAAAGTGTCACATCCAATTTTAATAAGCTATAGGTCTCCCCCTTTAACATGATGCTACCAGCACAAGGTGGACGAAGGCTAGCACATGATGGCAGTTATTATGACTTTCAGCATCTTGCCATAGGAGAGACTCATATTACAGAGATGATCTAAAGCAGAGGTGGCCAGCTCTGTTCCTGGAGGTTCAGTGTCCAGAACCGTTTGGTGATTTTCCTGGCCAGACCTACTACATCTGGTCATTAACTAAGAAGATCAATCAGGTTTTTTTGAGCAGGGAAATCACCAAACTGTGCTGCACTGCTGCCCTCCAGGACTGCCTATTTTGATCTAGATCCCCTTTATAATGCTAATCTTTTGAACCAGATGGAGAGAAATCACATTATGCCATCATGAATTGTGTTTCACTCTGACAGATGTGAAGATTTGGGACAGAAATAAAGGCAGGAACACTTTCTTCTGATGCTGAATGTGGAAATAAAACTCCAGCTGCTCTAACAGCTGGAATCATAGTTTCTTTTGTTGTGCCTGTAGCAGTAGCAGTTATCATGTTTCTCTAAATTAAACATAAGACTGTCCAGTAAGCTTTCATATTCATATAATTATTCAGATCAAATGTTTTATCCATATTTACATAATACTTAAAAATTTTATTTTAAATCTGTGTTAATATTAGACCGTGCTTCTTAAACGGATGGAGATGAACACACTTTTAGACATTAAGACATACCATTAGAGGAACCTGTAAGTGTTATATTAGTTTGGCTAGTTTTACTGTACAACCGGACATTCAGACAAAAACCGAATATAACAAATATACTGAATAAACTGAATATACAAAAATCAGTTCTCACTCAATGTTTTACCTTCTCCGTCACATCACAGATACAAAGCAGGTACAGTGGGTACTAAAATTGCTAAACTATATGTAGCAAACTCAGGGATGGGGGAGTAGCTAAGTAGCGCGGTACTTTTTGTAGTTAGCTACAATTTTTTGTAGCTAATAGCTGTAGCTGCTACAGTTTTATGAAATGTAGCTCATAGCTTTAGCACCTACATTTTTTCTGTAGCTATAGCGAAAACTTTTGCTACAATTTTGCTACAGGCTTCAGGCATTCCACGCAAAATCAGAACGCGGTCGTTAACTGGGCTGGTGGCGACTGCGCAATCCTGACTGAGCCAGTTCAAGCAAACAGTCACGCGCTGATCACCCCTTACTATAGCAAGCTTGACTCAGGGGTCGCAACTGAAATGTTAAGAAGAGCCATTTTGTCCTTTCAACAAAAACTAAACCACCTTGGGAGCCACAACATTTTATGTCCATTTTACCGTCTTGGCTGTGAGTATATCTCAGTATGTGCTGATAGTACAGGCTAAAAATATAATATAAACACAAACGCAGACTTACTTTGCTCTGCTTTAAGCTTTAGCTCAGCTATAGCCGCTTTTCTCGCATCTCAGGAAAATTCTCTGCATGTTTCTTGTAAAATGTCTCAGTGTTCGACTTTTTCCGAGGCTGAAGTCACTTCTCATTCTCCAGCTTCTCGTTCTAATTGCCCCGTTCCAACTTAAATGGTGCCTGAGGCGCCAGATTGTACTGCTGCGCCATTTAAGGTGGAATGGGACAATTCGAACAAGTAGCTGCTGAATGAGAAGCTGACTTCAGCTTCATGAGTTGTTGTAGATTAATCATATCAGGAAACCAGCTGAGTGCTTATAAATGCAAATAAGTCTGTCCATCTCCAAATTATCGATGTTCGTCTTAAATCTCTCTCTTTGCCTTTTTGTTATCTGCACTGCTGTGTGTCCAGCAGTCTGCGCGTCAGTCTTCAGCATTAAAGTCTGTGAATTAGCAGTTTTACATTAACTCCAGCGTTTAAAACTATTTATTGTCAAAACTTATAACGATTTTACAGCAAAGGAAGATAACGTTATTTTACCTAAAAATTTAGTTCTTCTGTGGAGCCGCAGCAGCTCTACAGCAGTACAGAGATTATTCAAATAATCTAAATAATAAGCTAAAGTGTTGCTGAAGTTTAACAAAGGACTCTGAATGTCATGTGTGTACAAATCTTGCTGAAATGTTTTAAATTGGAGCAGTTGTATTTCAACAGTTGACAATGCTCTAAACAAAGTTGTTTGGTTTGTCTACGTTTATTTTTGTTGATTTTTGTTTGGAAAAACCTGGAATGATTGACTTTGCCTAAATTTTTGTTGGATATCATGTCTTTGGTTGTGTAAGTTTGATTGTACACTTAAACTCACTTTTTGGTGATCTTTTTGTATATTTGCAGCTTTTCAGTTGTATATTTCTTTCTGGCACATGATTAAATGCAGTGTCTTGTTCACACTCTCACTTAGACTTGTTTGGTGTGTCAGGTTTCACAAACATTCTGACAATCACGCTAAAAGTAGCTGAAAAGTAGTGCACTATTTTGTAGAGTTTTAAATGAACCTTAAACTCAGCTCATTAAAAAGCTTCGCTCCAGACGTGAGTGACTTTTCGCCAGTTTTCTTTGTTTACTTGCTGTATTTTCTTCTTTCTTGCTCTCAGTTTTCATCAGCTGTTGCAGCTGTTGAGTCATTGACCAGTTTCCATTACTAGATTACAATCAGAGTCGGGTCAAAAAAGAATCAAACGTTTTATATACCTACTCCGACTGGTCTGGGCGATCGAGAGGCTAAAAAAAAATCTAGTCCAGTCCAACTGTCGACTCTGACTGACCCAAAAATCTGCAGACTAAAGCCGACTAGCACAGACTCAGCCAGACTGACAATCTGGGCTAAAAGCAGCGTCAAAGTAGTGTAGTGTAACCCCGACGTTAGAAATAATGTTTTCAAAGATAAGGTAGTTTATACTGTATGACAGAAATGAGCTGTGATCTTTTTTCAGTTATCACAGTATTCTGAGGCATGTTTTGAAGATTAATCTTTTGGTCAGAAATAACATAAAATACTGTTCATTTTGCCAAAATAAACTCACAGAGAGGGAACTGTGATGTTAAGCTACTAAAATTGTAAAATTCCTCTTGTTTTCTTCCTAGCCTGGGATTGAACAGCCTGCTCTTATGACATTTTATGAAAATGTGACAAATTACATTCTATAAAATGCTCCTGGCGTTCAGCAGTATGGACTAAACTATTCTTCTAACTGTGAAGAGAAGTGCACAGCAATGCAGGACTGTAGAAATGTGGTCCAAAACAAAGTCATTTTCCATAAGATGTGCTGTGTCATATTTCCATAAAATGTCACATGAGCAGCAGGCAGTTCCTCCGAATTTTGAAGTCTGCGGGGAATTATAGTCAAAAGCACCTTCTTAGTTTGGAAAAGAAAGAATCTTACCTGTATTTAATTACCTTATTATTTCATTACACCTGCAAAGAGTATAAACTTTTGACAAATGTGTTAGTCAAGAAACAAACACTATGTAAATATATTTAATATAGTTGTCATGCTATATGTTTGATGAACAGTTTCTAAGAATTATAATAAATATAAATAAACATATACACCTGGGAGGGTCCTGGGCAACATCTTTCCTGTTTATAGCTAGTAATGACTCTGCAAATACCTTTACTATCAAGTGTTTCAGTGTACTTTAATAAGGTAAAAGACTTCATATTTTCACTTCAGCACAGGAATTTTGTACTTTGTCCACCATTGGTTTACTTTACTGACTGTATGCTTGTTTCTCTGTATAAATCCCTATGAAGGTCTGTAAAAGTCATATCTATGTAAAAGTCAACACTATTTAATAAAACTCATTTTTCCTTTTCTTCACATGATCTGTTCGTTCTGCCATCACAGCACAACCAGTTCCTGAACTGCTGTTTTTGGAGCCCGGAATGAACCATGTTCGGTACAGAAGGCCAGGCAGGACGGGAAATCCAAACCTTATTCCTTTAAACAAGAACTCTGACCGTTTTCACTGTGGATCTATCGCTGTTTTGTTTGGTGAGCTCCTCCCCTCGTCGCCATCGCGCTGGGCTTGTTCAACAAAAACAGACGATCCCACTTCAGGACAAAGAAAAAGGTCTGGCTGTTTATTTATTTTTAAACAGATAAAGGACACAATGAATAGATATTTAATGGGCGTCCAGCGCTCTGTATCCTCTCCGCTGCGTCTGAAAAACAGGACACGTAGACTAACAAATATGCTTGACCTCTGCTCGGAGACGAGACCCAACAAAACCGAAAACCGAAAGTACGGAGCTGTTTATTTCTCAAAAAGACATTTAAAATTCAAACGGTGCTTCGGTTTTGAGCTTTTGGAGAAGCTGAACTAAACAGCAGACAGACTGAGGGCTGAACTCGTGATCTGTTGTCTGCTGATGATCAGGCAGTTAGACAGTAACGCTGAAAGCTGTAAAATACAGAATCATTAGTGACAGCAAAATGTTCAAAATGTTTAAAACCACGATAGAAAAATAATCTTTAACCTCCGAGGCCTTCAGCTCTGAACAGTCTGGAGTGTTCCAAACAATTCAGTAAACTTTTGTAGTGAATTTATTAAGACGAAACGTTAATGTCTAAACCGTAGTGGTGTCTACACACACACACACACACACACATACACACACACACAAACAACACCAGTTTGTTGAATTTGTGAATAAAGAATTTAGCATACAGAATCAAAAACCGCTGTTGTTCTAGAAGCTTACTGAGGTTAAATTTAGAAATGATGTCTGAGTTTAAAAGAGTGAATGTCTTTGTCAGGATTAAAGAGATTTAAGAAGATTACGAAAATTATATATTAAATAAAAGGAGGCCGTAACATGCATTCCATCGCAACTGTTTTGCGTTCCCTGGCTAATGTTTTGCATTAGGATGCAACGGTTTGCATTCGCTTGCAAAAGATGCGCTTTGCTTAAAACATGCAGGAATATTGGAGAATTGATTGTCTGTCCCAGTAAGAGCAATTATCTAAATGTTATCTGTTGTTTCTGTAATACAATTATAATTGTAATCTTTGCTACACAAGAATGTATCAGAGTATCATTCATGAAGCTGCACTTTCTTCAGACTCAAAACTGATTGCTTGGTTGTTGATTTCAGCCATTTTAAAATGTTTGCTTTTTTTCAGATTCTTCTCTAAGGAACGGAAAACCTGGACAAGGAATTAATGTACAGAGAAGATGAGCTGCATCAGAAAAACTGAAAGGAAAAGTTGTTTTCTTGTTGGTCTGCCAACTGTAAAACTGTCAATAGCATGAAACAAACTTAAATAATTTTGCAGATGATCTAAAGCTTCTGAACAAGACAGATGAAATGTGCAGGATTTTGCATTCTTTACCAGAAGAGACTGAACCAGCACTTTTATCATGATCTCTGGTTTGCAGATCATCTTTATTGCTGCTATTATTTCCTCAAATTTTGAACACTGTTTTGGCTCATGTGCCTGGGCTGAGTATGAGATAGGTGGAGAATGTTGTCCCATGTGTTCACCAGGTAAGCCAAAAGCTGATGCTTATGTTGTTTACAGAGACCCACTTATAACATTTCTGTGATTTTGTGTACCAAAAATGTATTTTTACATGACTTTTCTTTACCTCTGTTTTTGTTACTGCACCTTAAAGACTGATGTATGTGAATGTGTGTTATGATAGGCTGCTTTGTTTTGCGCCTCATTCAGGAAGTAGTCTTGGCTTAAACACTTCCTATAACTTCAGCTAAACTGTTGTAGGCTGAATAGGAGGATGTATATAAATGTGCTTTTTTGTGACATCACAGAACTAATGTATTTAAAACAGCTGCTTTAAGTTTGTGTATTGACTGTCTAAGTGAATCATACTATTTAAAACTTTAACAGTGTTACATACAACATAATGTTGTAATATTTGAGTCAAGAAACCAGAATGTTCTCTGTTTTGAAATCATTTGGACTCTGGTGCAATGGTGGGTATGGTGAAATTGTTCTTGAGAACAATTCTTGAGAACAGGGTCAAATGCCGCCATCTGAAGAAACTGGAAACTGAATTTTTTTCTTTAGCATTATGATTATGAACAATATCTTCAAACAAAATAAAACAGTTTGTGTTTCTACAACCCTATTTCCAAAAAAGTTGGGACACTGTGCAAAATGTACAGAAGAACAGAATGCAATGATGTGCAAATCATTTAAACCATATTTTTAAAGGAAATACTACAAAGACAACATATCAAATGTTGAAATTGTATTGTTTTTTGAAAATTATATGACAATTTTGAATTTAATGCCAACAACACATTCCTTCCCTGAAAAAGACATCTGTTGCAAATGTGCATATGTTGCCAAAACGTATATATATATATATATATATATATATATATATATATCATTCAGCATTAATGGTGCCTTCACTGATGTGCACGTCACCCATGCCATGTGCACTAATGCCCCCCTATACCATCATGAATACTGACTTTTGAACTGTGCACTGATAACAAGCTGAGTGGTCTTTAGCCCAGAGGACACAGTGTCCATGATTTCCAAGAAGAATTTCAAATGTTGATTTGTCAACCACATTCAAAGTGAGTGCTCAGTTCTTCAGTACAGCTCCAGAGCTCTGCAGAACCTATTTTATGTTGAGAAATGTTATTCTTGAATTGTCGCACTATTTGCCTGCACAGTCTTTCACAGAGTGGTGAACCCCTCCTCATCTTTACTTCTGAAAGCCTCTCTTAGATGCTTTTTTATACCCAGTCATGTTACTGACATGTTGTCAATCAACCACCAGGTGTTTTTTTAGCATTACACAACTTTACTAGCCTTTTGTTGCTCCTGTCCCAACTTTTTTGGAACGTGTTGTTGGCATGAAATTCATAATAGGCATATGTTTTTCAAAAAACAATAAAATTTCTCAGTTCCAACATTGGATTTGTTGTCTTTTTACTGTTTTCAATTAAATATAGGTTTTAAATGATTTGCACATCATTGCATTTTGTTTTTATTTACATTTTGCACAGCACCCAACTTTTTGGAAATGGGGTTGTATATGTTTAGATAAAATCAGTTCACTGCTAGTCGAGTTTACTTCTGAACAGGATTTGAGCAGAGCAGGAATAGAGAATAGAACAGAGAATAACCTTACCGTCATTTGCTTTTAAAAACATACAATGCAAAGTTGCACTAAAACTATAATATAAAAATAATCAATAATATTTTTAGGCTATGTATTATTCATGTTATATGTTATCATGTTATATATTATTAAATGTTAAGATATGTCTGTACAACATATAAAATTGACTCAGACTCACTTCTGATGGTCTTGACTACAACAGTAATATTACTCAAGCTGTATAGAAGTAGTTCAGAGTGAAGGAAAAAAATCTCTTTACATTAACACATCATCACTGTCAAAGTTTCTATTTTGTATGACTTGATGATTGGACCAATAGAAATGCTCAGAATGTAATCTCTTTACATTGAGTTTAAAGACCACTGCCTTCTCCTGTGAACTTGGAGATATTTGTTTTTCTTAGGGCCGTGGCAATATATGTTTAAGTTAAGAACTATTTCTTTCTTCCTCTGTAAATCTCTCTCTCTCTATGAGATATGAGGTTTTGATAAACTGTAATGATGCACATGATACCAAAATTCTCTCCCAAAACAATATTATTCAAAACAATTTCAGTTGTTTCAATATGACTGAGTTGGTTTGTTTCTCTTTAGGAAACCGGGTTTATAGACACTGCACACAGGATACGAGCACTACCTGTGTTCCATGCCTTCCCTCAACTTTCCTTGATGCACCCAACGGCCTCATAAAATGCTTTAGCTGTGCAGTGTGTGATCCTGGTAAGTCCTAGACTTTAAAACATGGTCTTTAAACTTATACTTACTACGCCTAGGATCACTTACTGCTTACTTGGTAAAGGATCATTTTGTTATATAGCTCATAAACTCTGGAAAATCTTTCCAGAGAATATTAGGAATGCAAGTTGATTAGGCGTTTTTAAATCCAATTAAAAAGCATTTATTTTTAGGCTAGCTTATGTTGAGATGTATTGTGGCCCATTTTCTCCTGTTTGTAATTGTGTAATTTTATTTTTATTATTTTGTTTATATTTCCAATTTATATGCCTGTGTGAACCAATCTGATTTTGTAACTAAAAAGCGCTGTATATTATTATTATTATTATCATTATTGTTATTATTATTATTAATATTGTTATGTGTTTTATTGGGTCTCTACGTGCTGTTCACAGGTCAGGGTTTAAGAGTAAACACTGCCTGCACTCAGTCATCAAATACAGTCTGTGAGCCAGTAGATGGATATTACTGTACTGATCAGTACAGTGGCAGCTGTAGACGAGCTGACAAACACATAAACTGCAGCCCTGGACAATATATAAAGCAGAAAGGTTGGTATATATCTGTATGAACTGTAAAGCTTTCCAGTAACATCTTTTGCATTTTTCTCTTTAAATGACTGGGTTACATGCTATTCCACTTTATTCTCTGTGACTGAGCAGAACTTCTATGTTTACAGGAACAGCATCTAAAGATACTGAATGTGCTGAATGTCCAGATGGTACCTTTTCAAACGGCTCTCTTCAGATTTGTCAGCCACATTCAAAGTGAGTGTTCAGTCGTTCAGTACAGTTCCAGAGCTCTGCAGAACGTATGACAAGACACGCTAATGCTCTGACAGCTCATGGTGGCCCACAAATGAGACACTTTTTTGTTGTTTTTTTTCTTCGATTTGTCACCTGTTTGTAGATAGTTTCTGGTTCAGAGATACAGCTTGCGGAAAGAAATTCACCAGGTGTCATAAGGTTGTAGTCTTGTCAGTTATTACAGAGATGTTCTAAGAAACTGAGAGAAACTGAGGTCTTCATGGTATAGTGTTTCTGCAGGGTTTGGTGGCTTCTCACATATACTAACACACTAACACATGCTAACAACCTGGTAATTTACTGGGCAGTTGAATCAGGTGTGTTTGAGCAGAGAAATTACCAGACTGTGCTGAACACTCACTCACTGGGATATAGATCATTTCCATAATGTTTCAGATAAATCAGGCCAGAAAGAAATCGTATTACTTTTCCTCCTCTCTTTGACTGACAGATGTGAAGATCTGGGACTCACAGAAATAAAACCAGGAACACGTTCTTCTGATGCTGAATGTGGAAATAAAACTCCAGCTGCTCTAATAGCTGGAATTATAGTTTCTGTTCTCATTGTGGCTGTAGCAGCAGCAGTTATCGTGCTTGTCAAAATTAAATGTAAGACTTTCTCATGTCGAGGTAAGGGTTTCATGTTTACTATACCATTTAGAAAAAAAATACATCTAATGTTTTTTAATGTTTTATTTTTGCTTTAATGTGTACATGTTGTTAAAATGTGGTTTCAGACTGGTTTGAGATTCAGCCAGCTGAGAAAAATCACACAACTCCAGTAGAAGAAACTGGATTTGAGGAATCTGTAAGTGCTGTTTTGCTTTGACTACTTCTAAACATTCTGTTTTAATGCAGTCTTAATCAAGTGATTCAAGAACACTACACTACATGTGATTCTGTGATTAAAATGAATCCTATAAACTGACTGTAGTTTATTTTTCTTTTTTCATGAAGACAGCGCTCTCATCAGTGATGACAATGTTGACTAAGCCTCCAGACAGGTAAAAGACATGGATAAGGATTTACTTCTGTTGGAACTGTGAACTTGTGCAGTCTGATTAGACCTGAGGACAAAATAAATATTACTAGCTGTATGTTTTGTCTGCTTGTACTTGGTCACAAAAAAAGTATTAAAAGTATTAAATATTATGATAAATATTTATTATTATTATTAGTAGTAGTAGTAGTAGTAGTATTGTGATGATGATAAATAATATGAATAATAATATGGTTAAAAATAATACTTTTACCAAATTTTCATTACTCATTGTTAGTCATTACCTGTTACTGTTGCCATCTAGTTCACTCCAGTTGCACCAGTCTAACAGTGTGCTAGAATGAAGGGAAGCAGGCATTTCCTCCACAACCTGTGCAGCCAATCATTGTATCTTTTCAACCTAGTTAGCTAATGGTTGATGCACAACTGAGACCAGCACAGCAGATATGGAAGTTCCCAGGAAGTAACTATTCTGAATTTGATTCATTTTTGCTAATCAAATCTTGTAAAGCAGCAATCATAAATAAAAGAGAAGTCATCTCAAGCATTCCTGGCAACCTGAGAAACTGGTACTCTATGGACACTGAGAAATTTTGGTATTAGTGACATTAAAAGCCCTTAGAGAATATTAAAGCAATAAGCCACAAGAAGTCAAGGGTTACTGCGATTTTATCACAGGAAAGGGTGTTCTTCCCCATGATAAAATCGCAGTAACGCACTATAGTATAAAATATATTAAAATACACAATGTTTTAAATAATTATTTAAGTTACAATTAATAATAATCAACATAAACAAGTATTCCGCCAAGAAATGTAGTTCCTTTAGAGTGTGGTATCATTGCTAAGCAACCATTGACCACTGAATGAGGAGAACGTTCAGTCGCTCATCAATGAACATATGATAACACAGCACTGTTTGATGCAAAAAATGTTTGCTTCATAAGTACTTCTTGGTCACCAGATTGCCACCGCGATTCTTATTTAGCACCAATCCAGCGGTGCCTCTCTTCTCGTGCTGGGTCTGAATCTCAAATGGCTCCCTGCTTCCTACATAGCGCACTATGTAGGAATTAATTTCTAAACTTTTATAGCTAGCACACTATTTAGGGAGTACAGAGCCGTTTGGGATAATCAGCCTGGGTTTGACGGTACAAATGACCGAAAAGTTTGTGATTTTGTTGTTTAGGCTGTTGGCTATCTTTTAGCCTGTTAGCTAGCTGACCAGTCTAGTTGTAGTTAAGAATGTAAGTCTCCAGCCCCTCAGTTTAAACAAAAAACGGGTCCTTACTTCATCAATATATTCGGTGGTCCATGCGAGCAGCATGAGTCAAAGATTAATCCATTAACAGCACAAGGGTTTTTTCGTGCAGTGGCACAGTGATACACGATTCAGTTGTTGTGAGGCGGTCATAGGAGTGGTATATCATGGATTTTACAACGGCTTCGAACGCAGCTCGGCCAATCAGGTTTAAGGACCGGAACTATCCGTTGTATAGTAACGTTTGTACCCTACATCTGTAATTTCCGTTCATAGATTTTTTTCATGTTTAAACATCTCTAATACACTATATGTACAAAAATATCCAGACAACCCTTCTAAGTTGTGAATTCAGCTACTTTAAGGTGCTCCTATTGCTGATGCAGGCATTCAGTTGCAAAAGAACTGCTTGTCTAATCTACATAGAAAAGCACTGCCAATAGAGTGGGGTGCTGTGAAGCAGCCACACAAAGCCAACGGTCATCATGCCCAACTGTGTGCTCTGGAGTGATTTAGCTCCATCCAACACCTTTGGGAAGAGTTGATCTAGAACTAGCTTCCAACATCAATAGCTTTCCTTTATTAGTGCTTTTGTGGCTGAATGCAATCAAATCCTCAGAGCAACATTCCAACATCTAGTGTAAAGCCCTCGCAGAAGACTTGCGGCTGTTAATGCAGCAAAGGAGGACAAACTTTCTATTAATATTCTTGGTTTCAGAATGTTGAATGAGCAGATGTGTAAAACTGTTTGGACATACAGTGTATTTCAGACAAAAATACATCCAATTATTAATAGTTATAATACACATTTGTCTTTTTAAAATTAAAACAACAATAACGTGGGGTTTCTCCCAGCTGAAAAGGAGGCAAAACTGATGCACTCCTGTCTTTCATGCACTCCATAGGATCTTTTACTTAGCTGGAATGGCAATCTGTGTTGACCGTATTGCTGGCCAAAGTGAAGAATTTGGAAGTGAAGGAGAGTTTCTCAGATAACTGCACTACAGTTTATGCTGACTGTTGCTTTGCAGTCATTTTCCACAGCCATTTGATTTCACAGTCATATTATTCTGCACTGAAAAAAACAAAAAAAGGAAAATGAGCGTGTTCGGTTGAGATGAATAAACATAAATAAAAGAAGTAAATCCATTCATTTAGACTTTGAGACTTATGAAAACAAAACAATTCTAACATCTATCTGGTGCTCTGTCATGTTTAGATGGCAGCGCTGAATAATGCTTGTTTATTTGTTAGCTATGTAGCAAATTCTTTTAGAATTCTTTTAGAAACTTTTAGAATGTAAGCTAACAGAATGTGTTTTTTGCTTTTTGAAATTTTGACAGGAAATAAACTCAAGAGTGCTGGCAACCCAGTTCTATACATGTGACTTAAAAGACATCCATCATTGGCTAGTATTGCTCTGAATCACCAGGAGAAAGAAACTAATCAATCTTTTTCCTTTAGTCAGGAGCCTGACCAGTCACACCTGAACACAAGCAGCTCTGGCAATCCTGCAATCTGAACTAGCAGCCTCAGGAAAAAAGATAGATAGGTGAGCTATTACTGCTATCACATGCCGAGAATGAGCAATAATATTTTTTCCAATGTTATTTCTGTCTAACAATGCTTTAGTGCATTTTAACTTTGTTTTTTCTTTTGGATTCTCTCCTAGACTCTAGGAAGTGCCGTGGTAGCCCTGGTCATGTGTCATTTCCTCCTGGAATCTCAGAATGCAGGATCGTGGGAATGGCCAATCTTGGAACACACTTGTGCTTGTGACCCTGAGCAACATGAGCTGAAGCATGTGGAGAAGATCTGGTTTTAGGCAGTGCAGGACTTCGCTAAACAGTGGAGCAACTGTGCATGATCCTGAATAAACTGACACAGCGTGCAGTTTCACTGTCTGTCTGCTACAGGAAGTACAAAAGGAAGCAGTTTGCTTAGATAAGCAACTGCTTTTGTTGCCATTCCTTGGGTTTATAAATCGTTGCTGTCCAATGAAAAATGTATCTCCATTTTTTTGCGATTTTTACTTTTCAGCATCATTTGAGCTCAGCAGCTGTCTTTTACGTTGAGTAAAAATTTCATAATGACTGGACCAATAGAAATGCTTCAAAATTGCTTACCACAAAATCTCTTTACATTAACTTACATTAAAAGGTAAGAGTGCTTTTGCCCTCTCCTGTAAAGTTACTGTGACTAAATGCTGTGTGATTAGTCTGTAGCCTTCAGTTTTGAAATAATTAATATTTAAGCACTCCTTCCATTACTCTAGAAATGCCTGTGCAACTAACCTTTTTTTAACCCATAAATGCCCAGGACCTGCTGGCGGGTCCAAGCTTTTACTACACACTAATACAATTTAAAATAATATATATTTTAATATTAATAAAGCCATAATAATGGCAATTCCAGAAAAATAGCCATACAAATCTTTTTGCTAACTTGGTGTGGTTGACAATTACTCATTAAATGACCCTTTTGTCCTTTTAACATTTGTAATATTTGACTTTACTGATACAACTTTAATTATAAAGATGTGCCTTTTCTCTGGCATTGGTGTATAATATGTATGTATTTTATGTGCAGTCTTATGCAAAATATACAAAATCTTTGGCACATGAGCATTTATCTTTGTTTACATTTTCTGTATTCATGTGCATGTACAGTGGTGCAGTTTTAGCAATGCAGAATTCAGAGTTTTACTGACCTTCACATGCTGCTTGTGACCTGTCACTAGTGCACTACATTGGTCCTAAAAATGAAGGTTCCTGCACTCAAACAGTGCATAAAATGTCTAACAAAGAGCTGCCAAGGATTCAGCCACTTGTGCACAATTCCCTACTGGATGTACAGGGAACTATTTGGGTGAAGGAGCCAAATAGTGAACTCAGCACACTATATAGGGACTAGGGAGCTGTTTGACAGTCAGCCTGATGCATTCCTTTTATAAACTGCTGCACAAGTAACAGTTGCCTTTCAGCTTACACTGTGACATCTTTCTAACAACACTAATGTGATATTTTAAAGTAAAAACTAATTAATATTGATACATTTCTCATACGCTTCCATCCACTGTGGTTCTCAGCACAACCTAAAGCCAGCTACACTCAAAAAAATGACTCTTTGAATTTACTTAATTTTTTTTCATCAATGTTGCACAAAATCAAATTATCTACATTCAGACATATAATTTGAGTAACATTTACTCATTACCTAAAAGCAATGTCAACTATATTTTGCAGGATTTACTTCAATAATTTCAGTAACTAAAATGAATTATGTTCTTTCTATTTAAGCAAATTATGTAGATTGTAGATAACTTTTTTTTAGCTAAAACAACTCGAATGTTATGCCTTTCTGATGACATTTAATCATTGCTTGTAAGTTTTGTCAGCCTAATTATATTTTGTAAAATTTCCTTGGTGTAATTTTAACTAAATTTAATCATGTTCATGCTAGTTTATTAAATTATGTAGATTGTTAAATAACTTCTTAGTAAAACTACTACATTTTGATGTATTTCCAAATAGTTACTCATTGTTTATTATGTACAACAGCTTAATTATATCACAGAGCATTTATTAATGTACAATTTTAAATGTTATTTTTCACAAATTAAACTTCAACTACACTTAATGTTCCATCTATTTAAACACCTGGTCAAGACAATGACCATCATGACAATAAAAAAAAATTACAGTGACTTTATTAAGGTACATCAAATGCACATGCATATTAGGATCAACTAAAATACACATTTGCTTTACCACTATAGAAAAACACTGAATATTCAGTAATAAAACAAGACTGTAGACAAAATAAAGCAGACTAGTAAAAAAATAGACTAAATACTTCTCTAAAAGTGCACTGCTATCAATATATTATTGCTTGTCTTGCAGGCAAGTTGCTAAAATGCAACTTTACATACAACAATAAGCTTCAAACAGAACACTGCAATTATAAACACATTCACCTAAATGTGTGTGCCTTTAATCACAATTAATTAAGTCTTAAGTAATGGCCCAGAATTTGTGAAACAATGAAGTAACATCAGTAATTATGTAATAACACCAACCTTAAGTGCAACTTTACAACAGCAGATATTTAAAAAAATAGAACAGCACAATAACACAGTATTAATGTTATATGACTTTATACAATATCCAATTGTCATCAATGATCAAAATAATGCCCCAGAAATAGGTGCCTACAGAGTACAGCCTTCTTGTCAAAGCACTGCCTCTAGTTAGCACAACCTTATTTTGCTTGTTAGACTATGCAAATTTGGGGTGAAAATTTGGAGCTCAAATTGTTCAAAAGGCTACTTTGTACAGCTTTAGCAAAAAAGACTAAAATTTAACTGCATGCTGTTTTAAGACAAATTGATCTTAAACATGACAAGGATCTTGACATATTGTATAGAAAACCATTGAAATGTCACTGAATTTTGTTTTATGTGACTTAAGATTTGTTCAAAAGCCCATTGCTTTTCAATCAAAGCAGAAGCTAGTGTGAAAAGTTCCATATATTTCCAGAATGGACAGCCTACTTTGACTATCCCACGATTTTGTTCTCCAAACCAAGAATATTAGGGGAGAGCTTTGCACCATCCTTTGGCATAAGGAATGTACAAATTCATAGCAGCATTTCCACCCATTGTGATGAGCCATATTCAGTGCATAAATTACTCCAAGCTTTACTGCAGTCTGGTGCAACTGATTTGATGTTTCCTACAATAATGTTTCCATCAGCATGACCATCTTCATATTCTCCAAGAGCTCCACCCTCTTCTGATGACATAAATGTCCATTTCAGTGCTGTGCTGGTCTCTCAATATGTCTTCACCATGAATGTCCTACAAATTAAATCTTGTTATTAATACTAAACTTCATTGTTCTCTTGCTCCATAAAGAGTAATTTCAGTTTATTTCTCATTTGAGCTCTTCTAAATACTTCCAGGCACCTCCGACAGCTTTTTAATATCAAATACTTATTTTATGATGAATCTAAATAAAATTATCCCCCATCTCCACAAACCTCCATTCAATTGTAAAATACACATTACAAAATGGATAGTTCTGGTTCACCCTTCTCACTCTAGCACCTACAATCTATGGTTGGTGCTAACAAACTAACACACCAACGCCGCGTTTCAATTTGGATTTACTACACAGATGGGAGGGGGCTGATTTTATTAAGCAAATGTTATTAGAAATTGATATAAGAACTGAGGTGCCTGGAAGACACACAGTATTTAAAAGAGCACAAATATCAAATAAGATGAATTTACCTTAGTTAGAAATTAGAATTGAATTAGAATGATGGTGATGTGCTCAGGTCACATACTGACTTACCCTGTACTCCTTGATAAGAAATCCATCATCATTCAGGTGCAGACAAAGAGCTTTTATGATGGCTTCTCTTTTACAGTGGACATTCTTCACCTGCACATATTGATTGCACTTGTTAGAATATACCTTCAACAGTACATTAACTTGACAAGCGTGCAAGGAACAGATAAAAGCATAAAAACATATGAACATCAAAATCCCGATCATCTTAGAGACTGAAAATATATCACTAATTTGAACAATAAAACAAATAAATAAAAAGTACCTTTACAAAACAAACAGCCTCATAGTTAAATATCAAATCTGGATCATAAAAATGCACTTACCAGAGACTTAGAACATGCCACAGAATCCTTTAAAACATGGCACTCAACAACCTTAACCTATAAACAAAGAGGACATTTACATAAAATTAAATGAAAGACCATGTTAACATTTTATCTTAAACATAATCTTTACTTTAATGTTTTATCGCTTTACCTCAATGTTTTATCTCACCATGTGGACAAACATAAAAGTGCATTATTTTGGCTGAAATTTAATAGTCTTACAATAATATATATCATTTTACTCATATTTAGCTATTTGTTTTAATCTTGTGAACATTATTTTAGTTTGAAACCAACTATGATATTTAAGTCACATCAAGGTTCTTTTAATCAATATAGCTATCAGGATTCCCTGTCTAGGGTTTGTGCATTATTGAGCATCAAAATCAATGTATAATAATTACATCTACCACTTGACACTTGAAGACCATAATGTTTAACATAAATGCAGTTTGACTAAACATAAGGTAAACCCCATCTTGGTAACAATGACAGGGGAGTCACATAAGCAAAACACATTTGAGAGAATCTTATATACAAACATATTCTGATTATAATAATGACCAGTGACACTCTGCTGTTATATGGGCAAACATAAACGTCTTTTCCACTACAGGGCTGAACAGTTATTATTAGCTTGCTAATTAACAAGATAATGGATTCTATTATGCCAAACTAAATCTCCACTTACAATTCTGATGGAGCAAAGTCGAGCGATTGGTGTTGACAGAACAGAAAGCTGAAATTAATGTTAAACCTGCTTCGTGGTGCTTGTAGCCTACTAGCTAGCAGGTTAAGTTAGCTAACACTAACGTTTGCTTACGTGAGCACGGTATTCCGAACACTTCAGTATTCTGTACACTGGCAACTTTTTGTGTAATAAAAGCTACTTTCTTGACATTTGTCAACGATACATCTGAGACATTGTCATATATCCTTTTTTCCATCAAATCGGTTGGCAAGACCATCTAAGCTGGCTTTGGACATCAAATCTGTGCAAATAGTGACCGACCCCCGGCGTGACCCGAACATGGCGGGTGGGGAAACCCAGGGATGCGAATGGGGTGGGGAAACTTTCACAGCCAGTTAAAATGCATTTAAGCACATTTAAACATCATATTTAACACTAAAACGAGTATTAAACAATGGATTATCACCATGAAACACAGTATGTTTAGTACTGAGTTGTTAATCTAAGTTTACACCGTCAGCTAAATTACCTTAGCAGACACCTTTCAGCTGCGCAGCTTCACAGCACTGACTCGCTTTACTGGGCTTTTTTTTCATGGTAGCCTCATTCACTGCACATATTGTTTATAATAATTCAATTTTATAACCAGTATAATCAGTTAATGTCTACTTTTATGCATTTAGATTTCATAAAACCTCAAATAAAATGCAGGGAAAACACTATACGGAAAACTACTCCTTTTAGGGAAGCTGGTGTAGGGAATACTGACGGCACAAACCGATGACACAGATGACGTTTTTTTCTTTTTTCTTTAAAAGTATTGGCCCAAATGTGACCAACCAAAGTGCATATTGGTTGCTAGGCAGATTTTGCAGAGTCCAACCAATCATTAAATCGTGTATGACTTCGGGTATCTCCGCAAATAACTACTAAAACGCGAAAAAGGCCGAAATGCTGTACGGTATACTAGCTAGCTGCGCTAACGGTATCAGAGTCCATGTTGGAACAATACATTGCAAACTGGGTTCATCGAACAGAGCATTAAGTGTTAAATGGACAAACGTTGAAATTAAACCAGTTAGCGTTAACTGATGTCTGTAACCTACTAGTTGCTAACGCTATGTTTGCTAGCTAGCTACAATAGCGTTAGCAGGCTCTATATCCAAACCCCAGGCTCAGTGGAGCTAGCTATGCTAGCTAGGTTAGCTAACTAAGGCTGAAATTACACAGGTCTGTGGACACCTAGCACCCAAATATCACATCCAAAATCACAGGCAAAGCGAGCGCAGCTTCCTCCGCGGGAAAAGATTATTAACGCTACAGGTCACGTCAAAGACACAACTATCTAACGCTAGCTAGCTCTGTTTACTTCGAATATGTGTTGAATTTAGCCCCTCACAAACTTATGCTATGCTAGTTAGTCGTCCCTTAACTGTACGTTTTCATCAGTTATATCCAACGTTGCGTTATGCGCGTCTATAACCATATAAACTATGTTTTACCGCGTACTTGTACGATGACACAGCAGCTAAACGCACTCGTCTGCAGCGAACTTCAGAAAATGGCGCCGTTACTTAGCTAGCTAGGCTAGGTCCACAGTACCGTTAGCTAACGGTTGTGTTGATGAGCAAACTTGGTGAGGACCTCAAGTGACCTCAACATGACACATTCTTATGAAGGACACATTAAATTAAAGCACTGACCTTTACAATTAAAACACCGCGATCAGTTTTAGTGAGTTTAGTGATTATTTGACTGAGTATCGTTATGTGTTCTCTGAATCTGTGTCGGTTTAAACTAAACTGGCTAAGTTAGCTAGCTAGCGGATTTTAAGCCCTGCTAAGTCCTCCCTTAACCTTAGGTTTTTGCAATATTTTTCTGCGTATTTCATGAATATGTTAGATGTCCGTAATGTCAAACAATAGACAATATACAATATCCTGCCTTGTGAATGTAAGATGACTGAATGTTCTCAGGTCACCCAAATCTTCCCAGAGACGAGGTGTAGAAAATGGCTGCCGTCAGCTCGGGAAAAGTTTTGCATGCACATGCGCAGTTTCTACCCATTGACACCACATAATTATTTCTAGTTCACTTTAAGCGTGTTTCACATGCTTAATTTACTGGTTTTCAACATTGCTTATTATTATTTAGTTGAAGCAAAAACACATTTAAATTGAGAAAAACATGCACAATTTTATAGGGCCAAGTTCATTTTTTTCAATTGGATTGGATTCTAACAACGTCATTGATAATTCAGAGGTTCAGTTATTAATAATGAAATTACTAATCCTAAACCAGGTTTTATTAACCCCTTGAAATCCCTGCTTATGACACAGTAAAGATTATTATTCAGTGACTCCTGGGACTTCAATGCAAACTGGCTGAGCTATTTTTAAGTTATAGAAGCGTGTAATATAACTTTGGGCCTGCTGGTGGGCCCTGGCCATTTAAGGGGTTTAATGATTTTGTTATTGTCACACACTTTCCTATATGTGGAGGAAAAATGCTCATGATGAATTGCTTTGTTTTTAATGCACTACAAAGCATATTTGGGATAATCACTCGTGTAAGAAATACAACCCCATTTCAAAAAGGTGGGACACTGTGTAAAATATAAATAAAAATAGAATGCAAAGACAGCATATCAAATGATAATTGAGGAATGAGGAATTTTATTGTTTTTTGAAAAATAAATGCCTATTTTGAATTTGATGCCAGCAACATGTTCCAAAAAAGTTGGGACAGGGGCATGTTTACCACTGTGTTGCATCACCTCTTCTTTTAACAAACTCTGTGATTTGGGAACTGAGGAGACATTGCTATAGTTTTGAAAGTGAAATGCTTTCCTATTTTTGCTTGATACAGGATCACAGCTGCTCAAAAGTTCAGGGTCTCCTTTATTGTATTTTTCATTTCATAACATGCAAAATGTTTTCATTGGGTGACAGGACTGCAGGCAGGTCAGTTTAGCACCGAGGTCTCTTTTACTACAGATCCATGCTGTTGAAATATGTGCAGAATGTGGTTTGGCATTGTCCTGCTAAAATAAGCAATGCCTTCCCTGAAAAAATGCCATCTGGATGGCATCATGTATTGCTCCAAAACCTGCATTTATTGTTCAGCATTAATGATCACTTCATAGATACTGACTTTTGAACTGTGCGCCAATAATAAGCTTTGTGGTCTTTAGCCTAGAGGAAGCAGTGTCCACGATTTCCAAAAAGAACTCCAAATTTTGATTTTCCGTACCAGCAGACACTTTCCCACTTTGCCCCAGTCCATTTTAAATGAGCTTGGGCCCAGAGAAAGTGGCAGTGTTTCTGGATCCTCTTTATATACAGGTTGTTTTTGCATGGTAGAGTTTTAACTTGCATTTGTGGAAGCAGTGCTGAACTATGTTCACAGACAGTGGTTTTCAGAAGTGTTTCTGAGCCCATTCAGTGATTTACACTACAGAATCATCTGTGTTATTAATGCAGTGCCGTCTGAGGGCCAGAAGATTCCAGCCAGCCAATATTGTGGTCTTTTTTTTAATTGTTTGAAATTTCTCAGTTTAAACATTTGATATGTTGTCTTTGTACTATTTTCAATTCAATATAGGGTTTAAATGATTTACATATGGTTGCATTCTATTTTTATTTATATTTTGCACAGCATCCCAACTTTTTTGGAAATGGGATTGTATTAACAAAATACTAATGTGATTAATAATGAAAGTAAACTTGTGTATGCTGCCTATGTGTATTTGTAAATTTTATATTAAAAATGTTGTATAAAGTATGATGTGTTACTGTTTTATGTTAATAAATCTATGCTGTAATCTTTCAGGTTTTATCTATTTGTAAGCTCCAGAAATAAGACTGGTCACTTTTTCTTCTCAATGTGTTGATCTTTTTGTGCCTCAACTGAAAAACTGAGCTTTTATAAAGTAAGCTTAAATGGCCCTTATCATGAACCATCTTCTGCTTGCTTTTTAGGATTAAAAGAGTTTGATACAGAATGAAAACACTGTTAAAGTTTCAATGTGTCAAAGCTGGATTCATTGTTTCTGTGATGTCATAAAAAAACATATTTACATAAATCTGCCCATCCGACCTACAGCAGTTCAGCTCCACACATTCACACGTTTTAAGGATTATTTCAGCCTGGACTGATTTTTGAATGAGGCACAATATAGGGCAGAGATCATTTACATACAGTGGGTGGAAAAGTACTCAACACATCAACATGTTTTTTTTTATTAAACATTTTTTTTTTCAGTTTTGCTATTCACATGAAATTTAAAGTTGACATTGCTAGTAAATTAATAAAACAACCATGCTATAGAAATTGTAACGGTATTTTATGTTCATATGCAGACATAGTGCGCTGTATTCTTGCCAAAAAAAAAAAATTTTGTCTTGTTGACCACACTAGATTCTCTCAGTAACAGACTTCTCTCAGTAATCTTCAGGCTTCTCCAAATGTTCTGCAGCAACTTCAAACAAGTTTCAACATGCCTTTTCTTCAGTAATGGGGTCTTTTAGGAAGAGTGCATTGCCTGTTGTTTTCTTAGTAAAGAATTTACCCGCTGCTTCCAGGTCTTTCTGGAACTCTGTAATTTGGAACTCAGGAGGTCCTTGGCTCTTGGGCTACTCTTCTGACTTTCAGGAACCTTGTAAGGAGCTCCTGTACGTGGCCCGTTGATGGTCGAGCAACATCCTTCTGCTTGTGGATAATGGCCCCAGTAGTGCTTATAGGAACATTTAGGACTTCAGAAATTCATCAGCAGCCAGTGCCTTTGCTATGCTGCTCCACTGTCTGGTTCCAAATGTCTTGGGAGAGCTAATTGCCTCCATCCAGCATGAGATGTTTTGTATATGACGGATTGGTTACAAATAAATTGTTTACTTGCATTCAGAGATGGGAACCCTTTTTTTCAAGGAGTGGAAGTAGGCTACTGACTTAACAACATGCTCTCACCCCTTGGACAATATATAAATTATAGACGTTAGTGAAGTATATCTGTATAAACTGTAAAACTACAGTGAAACTTTTGCAATTTTCTCTTTAAAGAATTCTGCACATGGTCATGTATTCTGAATTCATTTTCGCATGTCCATTATACAGGCTCTTTTCATCACTTGGACATTGTTTTTGCTACCGTGCGTTTAGGACTGATGTACAGTGTTGTGCAGAAATCTTAGGAGCAGCTGTTTTATTGAGCTCTTAGGGAGCTTTCTCTTGCCACTGTCACCCTTTGGGGCTTTGACTCATGATTTCTGTAAAGCTGGTTTGTGACAATGCCAGTTGTAAAAAGTGTTATACAAATACATTTAAACTAAATTGAGATGTCAGAGAAAGAGAGCCTGTAATGTAGCAGTTTATTTTCTCGGTATTTATTGACATTAAACTAAACACTTTATGACACTTTATGAACTTACATACATAAACTAAACGGCATTATCATTATTTCAAGATTTGCAAATGACGTTAATAACACCTGTAGCCTATTACATGATCAAATTTAATGAAAATTTACAATAGATTTTACTGCATTCTAATACATTATATTATAACAGCAATTTTGAAAATGCAGACACTTGACACTCTTATGAAAAGAGACTAAAATTTCTTGAGAAGCTCTAATGTCCCCTTCATCCTTCCTTCACTACTGTGACATTTTCAAGCATGGTGAAGAAAAAATACAAGAGAAGAAAAATGATGTATTGTATTTCAGTGATGTTTTTTAGTCACTTAATATGTGCATATATGTTAAGTATTTATGTATATGTGACAAATGTTTAAAGGACAGGAGAGGCAAAAGATAAACAATGGTGGAATCCATCCAAGTGAGTCATTTTATTTTGTAGACAAAAAAAGGAAAATGCTTCATTCATTTTAATTTGATAAAATGAAAATATAGAAGTAATAGAAGTGAACATCAAGAATTTTTATTATATATTTTCTACCAATATCATTATGGATACAAACAATAAAGTGATTATATATTTGAGGGGGTCCTAAGTGACCCTAAGTTCAAACAAGTACACACTTAAAAAAGATGGTCCTTTAAGGGTTCTTCAGAATTATTTAAGCATGAAGTGGTTTTATATAGAACTCATGGTTCTAAATAGAACCATTTGCTTTACTAAAGAACCCTTGATGACCCATCTTTTTAAGTGTGTACTTGCTTGTAAAGGTACTTGCAGGGCTGTTTCCTTCTTTTGCACTTCGACCCAAACAGTAAATAAAAGATTTCCACTTTCACTGACATCCTGGACTTCTGGAATTTGTCCACCACTGTTTTACTTCACTCACTGTGTAGTACTTACTTGGTGGTGTCCTCCATAAAGGTCAGTGGAAGTCAAGTGTGGCCTATATAAAACTCACTCTGGACACTATTCAATAAAACTGTTCCTGCTTTGCTTCATATGACTTGTTTATTGGCTTTGAGCCAAGACTGTAGAACGGGTTACTCAACTGCTGTTTAAGGCCTGGAATGAACCATTTCAGCGCAGGAGGTGAGACTGGACATCAAAGCCTTTTTTAGACAAAAACTTTAACCCTTTGGACCTGTTGCTCACTCTGTTGTCAGACAGACTTATCCAGTATTGGACTAAAGGACTTATCCAGTCCTTTAGTCCAAGATTCTTCTTTCATGTTAATGAGAAATCTGATGGACACAACTCCTCTCACCACCCAGTGCGCTGGACTCATCCCAGAAAACGTCACTTCCATTTCAGGAAATAGGACAGCACTGTCTGGTCCTTTTATTTTATTTGTTAAGCAGGAAAATGGCGGAAGGAAAGATTCTCTCACTGCACTGCAGTTTTGAACAAGGTAAATAAGAATTTATCCTCTCTGCTAAACTGAAGATTTAATGAAAACAGGACACATAGACTGTTTGAATTCGCATGAGCCCAAAAAGGACATTTGGTTTTCAGATAAGAAACCGGACTTCTGTGTGGAACTTCTGGAGAAGCTGAACTAAGCAGAAGAGAGATTGAACCCTCACAGCTACACAGAGTGTTGCATTTTAACTGTTTTCTTTGAAAGAGTTTATAAAAGTAAGAACTTTTTAACATTTAAATGTCCAATAGAACTTAAACATGCACTATAAAAATTAATAAAATTCAAGTCAACTTTAAATGTTGCTGTGAACACGGTTGCTCCCCTATCATACTTTGCTCCAACCCTGTGAGGGGGGCTTTTTGGCCACAGAAATTTCAGCAAATTTTCAGGTCTTGAGTGGCACAACTGTTGCATCAGTTGGTCATCAAGTGAGCATGAGTTGAAAGCCTGGTAACATCGATCCACAGATCCACACTTCAGACTGAACAAATTTAAAAGAATGGGGTAGGCTATATCCTATATTCTTACATTTCTAATGTATTTTCTGGTTATCAGATACAAATATTTATGAAAGTTCAACAACGTACATAAAGGAATATGGTCTGAAAATGGAAGAGAGGAGGGAAAGAGTTTGCTTTGTTTAGACAGCCTCCAACTCGAAGTGAAAATGAGTTAGTTGGCATACAGCTTGGAACAGTCTGGAATGTTGCAGTAACATTATTAGTGCGTTCCTAGCCGATTCCTACATTTCTTTTGGCTAGTTGCTAGTTGAGTGTGTTGCTGTGGTTTTACAGCAGTTAAAGTAATGATTGCTGGAAAGGCAATAGTTTACAGATATATAAACATACTTTCGTCTGTAGCTGTTTTCTGCAGATTCAATCATAATGTCTGCTATTTCTGTCTCATTCTATTATCTGTTATCTCACAACATATTTACAAGAGGCTGAAACAGTTGTCCTATTCATAGAACAATCATAAGATATTAAGTTTTGTTCTGAGGATGCTGTAGGGATTTGCCTGATGGCTAACTGTTACCAGACTTTACACACTTTTAACTTAGCATATGCATATAACATTGATCTTGTTGTCCACTTAACTAATACTTAGCATGATACTCTTCAGGCATTGAACCAGTGGGGAGTGAGGGTGATGTTAGGTCTGCGTTTGTGTTCAAATATCAATTTGTATTTTAACCGTAGGTCATCAACAAAAGAAATGAAGGCGATGCTAGAGCTTGTGACAGACAAGATGAGGTAAGAACAGTTCTGTCATAGGCAGGGAGTTAAGCAAGAAGAGGGGCAGGGGTGCTTAGGCTTTTTCATCAATTCTTTACCCTCATTTCACTTCTGTTATGCAGCGTTCACACAAAAAGAGATTTCCATACATTTTTTATGAATGTGATATTTAGATACGATAGAAATAATGGGCTTCTTCAGTAGTTCTGAGTAGTAAAACATCTAAAAAAATGACATTCATCTATTTATATATAAAAGCAATAAAATATAATATTTCATGTCATATTTATAAGCTGTCACTATCAAACTCACCACTTGGATTCAAGACTAAAATCTTGGATTCAAGACTAAAATCCTTTTGCTTGAAGTGATACTATACCTTAATTATGTTTATTTTATTAAAACAAATGATTGAATATTTCAGTTTGACACTACCAATACAATCATAACACCACTGAAACCTTCTCAAATGTTTCAGTAATGACAATTGTAGCTAATTTTGAGCATAACTCAAGAACACTAGCCAGTGCAAGACTAATAAGCAAGTCTTTGAACAACTGTACACACATAAAGTCATCATATTTTTCATCAAAACCCCAAAAGTTTACTTAATTTCAGGAAAATGTGTTTTTCTATAGTGACCATTCTTAATGTTACACACTCTAAGCCACATTTACTTTAAAACAATAGGATCTAACTGCTCACAGGCATGAAGGACAGAGATGCAGTCTCAGTAAAACTCGGCGGCAGCAGCGCATCATCACCAAAATGTGCGGCATGGTCAATAAGATCTACTCATAAAGTCACAGAGGTAGTGATTACTGATTACTATGCTGGCATCTTTTTTAAAGCTGGTGTATTTTCACTATTTTCTAGACAAGGGGCAATCAAAATAATGTTCAATAATCCACATATAAATGATGTCTTATATATTAAAGACCCAGGAAGTGAAGTTCTGGTTGGCTGCCAAAAGAAAAGAAAACAAAGCAACAATGAAAAGCAAAATTCTCAGAAAAAGAGCTACGAGGGGAAGAAGGGAAGAAGTTCTAGACAAAAAAATAGTAAATTGTTTGATAGACGTTTTTAACTTTTAATCAAGAGCCATAGCTTCGTTTCTTAGATTCTTTTTTATAAACAATAAATGACTAAACAAAATCAAATTATAACATTGTCATTTTGAACTTTTAACTGTAGGAATCATATTTTAGCATGTAAGACTGAATTTGATGATTAAATAAATAAGTACATAAATACATAATTCAATCATTTTTTAAATTATCTGTAATAACAGTAATAATTTTGCTTACATAAATTAAAGTTTTAATTACAATTACTAAAATATTGATGGATTTGTACTGTCATGAATATTGTTTTTAGTACTTAGTACTTTATTTTTGTAGTATTTGTGAGTACCTTTACCTCTGCTGAAGTATATTAGTGAGTAAAGAAATCTTTTTACTCCGTTACATTTTAGCCTTTGATATTTAGCCTTTAATTCCTTTTTGTGTTAAATTTCAGTTTGTTTTGGTAGTGGCAATATTTGTACTGCATTGTGATTGCTTATATCTCTGACTTTGAATCTTTGTATTTTAGACCAAAAGATTCCCAAAAAAGAGAACAACAGAATTGCACAGCCTTCAGTGCTGTATGTAGTAAGAAGTTCCACTGCAGAACCCAGTCCAGATTTTTGACCTGCTACTTTTGTAATTCTTCTAAACTTGTTTTAGGAAAGGTTCTTTTGATGATTTTATGCAAGTATCAATACTTTTACTAGCATTGATTTAGGTTCCTTTACCCTCCTCTGAACCTGATCAAGAACAGTGCCAGTGTTTGTTTTGATGCTGCTTCAGTAGGTGCAGCCGCAGTATTTGTTAGCTAACATCTCTGAAAAGCATCAGACTGTTTTCATACCCAGTTCATTTTCTTAAGACCACCACAGTTTGTTTTTTGTGACATTGTATCTCTTTCATTTGGTTCAGATGGTGGACTGCCAAAGCTAAAGTGGACTAAATTACACTTGTGGGTGTTTGTTTATTGATCAGAAGTTTTGCTGGGAAGCGTTCTTCCTCTCACATTCACCAGCAAGCAAACAGAGATGCTTATCATCCGTGTGAATATCAATTTAAATTTAACGAATGAGGTTGCTGATGCTTGGCCAAAACTATGCTCCAAGATCAATAATGGAGATTCTGATTCTGCTCGTGCTGATCAGCGCTTCATAGGGAAAGCAGAGGTTTTTATGTTTGTGTCTTGAACTCAAAAAGTAGAGGGTCATCGCCACAGTACAGAAAAGTGGTGGGTCAAATGGCCGCTCGCCACCATGGTTCTGGCAGCCCTGTAATTGAGTGATAATTGTAATCTTTGTTACACTGATATGTCCTAGAATATCATTCATGAGGCTGCACTTTCTTCAGATGCAAAATTAATACCTGGTTGTTGATTTTAGTCATTTTAAAATGTTTGCTCTTTCTTTTCAGCTTCTCCTTGAAAGAATGTACATCCTGGACAAGGTCTCTGAACTTCTAATGCGTGTGTAGAGAAGATGACCATGAGCAGATCTACCAAGAAGAAAATCTAATATATTTTTGGAGTTGAAGTGTTAATTCAAGAATTGCCTTTGGAAGAGAATAAACTTAAAGAGGTTTAGCAGTGGTAAAGATGAAGTCTGCAAGAGATACATTTACTCCTTTTGTCTTTATTAGAAGAGGCCGCACCAGCATTTCAAAGACGATCTCAACTCTGACGATAATTTTTCTGATTTTTGCTATTTTCTCTCTGAATTTTGAGCTCTGTTTTTGCTCGTGTGCCCGGGCTGAGTATGAGATAGATGGAAGATGTTGTCCCATGTGTGCACCTGGTAAGCAAAAAGCTGATGCTTATGGAATGCAAAGTTATGACATGAAAGTGAAAAGTAAAAGCCTGTAATCCCCAGAATAAACCAGCTAAGCAGTAACACAAAGGAAGGTCTCTCTTTGCAGTTAGTATAGTATGCAATAGTGAGTGAAGGTTAAATATATGATCTCTGTCATATCAACATTTTATAACTATTTTTTTAAGTTTTAAATTTGGAACAAATGTTTTGCTACAAGAGTAATAATATACATATAGTACAGACAAAACTCTTTTAAAATAACATTTTTTTTACAAGTTCAGTCATTACCATTTTTATACAAGATGACTGTGTTAAAACTTTAATCTGTCAAGTCAGCTCATCTTTGGCTGTATGTTCTTTAGGGAACCATGTTTATAGGCACTGCACTGAGGACACCAGCACTGCCTGTGTTCCATGCTATCATTCAACTTTCATTGATGCACCAAACGGACTCACAGACTGCTTTAGCTGTACAGTGTGTGATCCTGGTAAGTCTGTTCTTTATAAAAAAAATGCATGTTTATAATTCTTTGTGCTGTATTATTACAGAAATCTGTTTCAGATGGACAGTTTTGTTTTGTGTTCTCTGCAGGTCGGGGTTTAAGAGAAAACACTGTCTGCACTCGATCATCAAATACAGTCTGTGAGCCACTAGATGGATATTACTGTACTCATCAGTACAGTGGCAGTTGTATACTAGCTGAGAAACACACAAAATGCACCCCTGGACAATATATAAAGCACAGAGGTTAGTGAAATTAGCCTTTTTGACTATACATTTTATTGTAACCCCTTGTGCAGTTCCTTTTTAAATGACTAGATCACAGGAGCAGCTACTTTGTTCTCTGTGACTGAGCAGAACTTGTATGTTTGCAGGAACAGCATTTAAAGATACTGAATGTGCTGAATGTTCAGATGGAACCTTCTCTAACAGCTCTCTTCAGATTTGTCAGCCACATTCAAAGTGAGTGTTCAGTTGTTTAGTGTCACTGAATGATTAATCTGAACAGTGAATGATTATTTTTGTGATAAAAAATCTGTACTAAATGTTTAAATTTGGTAACGGGATAGTCTGCAAGCTGAGACTAGACATAAATGAAGTAATGTAAGTAATGCATTTGTGTGTTACTAATCATTATCTGATAATAAACAAAAAAGCTTGAAGTGCTATTTTTATTTGAAGCATGTTTTTAACCCCAGAAACACCTGGGACACATGACCACCCTGTCCAGATTGCAAACCATCTGCAGAATAAAAGCAAGCAAACATGCAAACAAATATGAAGAAAACATATGTTGAGATGTTAAATATCTGCTCAAGCAGCAGACATGTGAACACATAATACACTGTAAAAATGATTTATTTCAAAATAAAAACAGTTACTTCATGTGGTCATGAGTAATTTAACTGGTTTTATTCAACTCAAATACATAATTTGAATGAAACAATTCAAAGCAAAATAAATAAAAAGTAATATCTTGCATCACAAAACACTTCTTATCAACTTTAGCCCTGTTCTACTTTTTAAAGTGCAGCTTGAAGGAGTAAAATGTTGTGGTGTAGCAGTTTTTATGACTTTCAGCCTCCTGCTGTAGAGGAGACTCTGGTTGTTCTTATAATACAGAAGTGATCTAGATTAGGTGTGGCCAGCTCTGGTCTTGCGGGTCCAGTGTCCAGAACAGTCTGGTGATTTCCCTGCTCTAACAGACCTACTATATCTGATTGTTGCCTGGAAGTTGACTCAGGTGTGTTTGAGCAGTGAAATCACCAAACTGTGCTGCACTGCAGCCCTCCAGGACCAAAGCTGCCCATCCCAATCAAGATTATCTTTATTAAGCCAATCTGTTAAACCAGATTGAAAGAAATCATATTACTTAAACATTTCTTTTGTTTGACTCTGACAGATGTGAAAATCTGGGACTTACAGAAATAAAGCCAGGAACACGTTCTTCTGATGCTGAATGTGGAAATAAAACTCCAGCTGCTCTGATAGCTGGAATCATAGTTCCTGTTCTCATCGTGGCTGTTGCAGTTATCATTTTTTTTAAAATTAAACATAAGACTGCCCAACATCCAGGTAAGGGTTTCTTTAACTGTTTATTCAGATGTTGTATGTTTAGCCTTTTATGTTTCACTTACTTAAATTGTAGTTAAAATATAGTTAAATGTGGTTTCTGTGCTTTTCAATCAGCTGGGCATGATAGCTTGATTCCAACAGAAGAAAATTTATATGGTAATCTGTAAGTATTGTTGAAATTTGACTACTTCTGAATATTACATTTAGAACTATTACAATGCTGTCTTAATTTAGTGGTTAAAGTTACATACAACATGTGATTCTATAATTTAAATTAATTAATGTAATTGAATTTATTTTTCAGTTCAAGAAAACCACAGTGTTCAAGAAAAAGTCAGTTCAAGAAACCTCCACAGTGATTCCTTTGCTGCTACTTGGCAGGTAAGAACTATAGATAGAGATTTACTTCTGTTAGAACTGTGAACATGTGCAGGTTATCTTCAATAACCATTCTTCAGTATACCTTTCAATGCAGAATATTTTTATTAAGAATATATGAAGCCTGTGGTACGTTTGTGTGGTGTTTGGTCTTTATGGTTGTAGGCTTAATATTAGGTCACATGCAGGTAAATTGGCATGATTCAATTGAGTCCTATCACTTGGATCAAAATAGGATTCAGCTCTATATTTTCTTGAATTGAACAGCTCTACATAGCACACTGTAACTATACTGTTACAGTTTACTGGATTCACTTAAACACAAAATGATTATTAAACATTCTCTGTGGAAATAATAAGAAAAAGAATAGTAGTTGAAAAAGAAAAGTAGTAGTAGTTGTATTGTTGCTGTTATTGTTGTTGTTGTTGTAGGTGGTGGTGGTGGTGGTGTATTTACTTGTGTATAGTTATAGTGAAATGTGGGTGTTTATTGACTGGGGGTTGGTAAAACATCTGAATGGCTGGTAAAATTCGGGCATCCACATTGTGGTCAATGGGCTACAAAGTTTGTATACCTCCCCTTATACAATAAGCAATATTCATGGCCATTTCTGGCCAAAATCGTGCAGCAGATATGATTGTTAGCATATATATCACATATATCAGTTATGTTTTATGCAAATTCATAAGCTTTAATCATTTTAATAATCATAATCATTTTAACAGCAGCTTTGTAGTAGAGACACAGGAGTACGAGAGACTACAAGACAACAACAGTATGGCCTGTTCTATGTGATATGAAGTCACACGCAGGCCAGAAGACCAAAAGTCATCCATATTGTTCCATTACTTCTTTTCAGAGACTTTAAAAGATTTAAGGATTCATGTGGATGTTCTTTGTGACACTTAAAAAGTGACTGTTGTTCAAGAAGGAGACTGTGAAAGGAGATAAGGACTTGTTTGTGCCTATCTCCTATCTATCCTACCAAACAAGCCTATGGTACAGGAGTTGGAACTGGGATTTACCACCATCGTAAAACTGGGTGAAAGGTGACCACTCAGGAACCTTCAAGGCCTTGGACCTAACTAAAAGCGACTCTTGCTGACATCAAGATGCACGCAAGGGACATTATCTTTGTTGACTGAATCTCACCAATGACGTTCATTAATGTTTCCAACCTTGTCTACATTATAAATTTGATTTGTTATGATGAATCAGCAATTGCATGTGTAGACTGTGTAATTTACAGAAAATCAGTTCTCTCCTGCCTTAACGTCATAGCTGGGTTTGTATGTTTCACTCCCATTTCTGTCCTGGTTATTTTATGCCTTTGGTTTGTGTTGTCTTTGTCTCGTACTATCTTTATTTTGCTTTTCCTTATGATTTCCTGTGAAAAAAACTTTTTTTTTTGCTCTGTTATTGTCCTTATTACTGTACACGTCATGTGTTGTTGGCATTTCCAAACATCCTTCCTTTTGTTTTGTTTACTTTAATATTCATGTGTTTCATGTTTTCATGCTAGATAAAGTGACCTTGAGCTTTGGAAAGGCACTATGTAAATAAAATTATTATTATTATTATTATTATTATTAACCTTTAACATTTTTCTTAATAAATTTTATAATGCATTCTTCCTTTGAAATTCAATGTGGGGTCCATCACATCACAGAAATTTTGAAAAACGTTTTTAAGACATTTCCCATGTTTTAAGACATTTTTTATGCTGTAGTAATTTACTCAATAATCTTATGATGAAATTAACAATTTTAACATGCTCAACGGTTTATATGATTTATTTTTGAAAAATTAAATAAGGAACAGAAAATTCTGTCTTAAACTGAGATTACATGGAGTCATTTTAAGACTAAGCCCAAACTAATCAAATCAAATCACGTTTATTGTCACGTCACATTTACACAGGTGGAAAGTGAATGAAAATCTTAGGTGCGTAGCCCCCTTATAGAATTTAAATACAAAAAAAATATATAAATATCTAAGGATAAAAAGAAATATATACACTATATTGCCAAAGGTAATCGTTCGTCTGCCTTCACACGCATATGAACTTGAGTGACATCCCATTCTTAATCCATAGGGTTTAATATGATGTCGGCCCACCCTTTGCAGCTATAACAGCTTCAACTCTTCTGGGAAGGCTTTCCACAAAGTTTAGGAGTGTGTCTGTGGGAATTTTTGACCACTCTTTCAGAAGCGCATTTGTGAGGTCAGACACTGATGTTGGACGAGAAGGCCTGGCTCGCAGTCTCCGCTCTAATTCATCCCAAAGGTGTTCTGTGGGGTTGAGATCAGGACTCTGTGCAGGCCAGTCAAGTTCTTCCACACCAAACTGGCTCATCCATGTCTTTATGGACCTTGCTTTGTGCACTGGTGCGCAGTCATGCTGGAACAGGAAGGGGCCATCCCCAAACTGTTCCCACAAAGTTGGGAGCATGAAATTGTCCAAAATCTCTTGGTCTGCTGAAACATTAAGAGTTCCTTTCACTGGAACTAAGGGGCTGAGCCCAACTCCTGAAAAACAACCCCACACCATAATCCCCCCTCCACCAAACTTTACACTTGGCACAATGCAGTCAAACAAGTACCGATCTCCTGGCAACCACCAAACCCAGACTTGTCCATCGGATTGCCAGATGGAGAAGCATGATTCATCACTCCAGAGAACACATCTCCACTGCTCTAGAGTCCAGTGGTGGCGCTTTACACCACTGCATTTCAAGCTCTGCATTGCGCTTGATATTGTAAGGCTTGGATGCAGCTGCTCGGCCATGGAAACCCATTCCCTGAAGCTTTCTACACTGTTCTTGAGCTTATCTGAAGGCCACATGAAGTTTGGAGGTCTGTAGCGATTGACTCTGCAGAAAGTTGGTGACCTCTGCGCACTATGTGCCTCAGCATCTGCTGACCCCACTCTCTCATTTTACATGGCCTACTACTTCGTGACTGAGTTGCTGTTGTTCCCAATTGCTTCCACTTTGTTATAATACCACTGACAGTTGACTGTGGAATATTTCATAGCGAGGAAATTTCATGACTGGACTTGTTGCACAGGTGACATCCTATCAGGGTACCACGCTGGAATCCACTGAGCTCCTGAGAGCGACCCATTCTTTCACAAATGTTTGTAGAAGCAGTCTGCATGCCTAGGTTCTTGGTTTTATACACCTGTGGCCATGGAAGTGATTGGAACACCTGAATTCAATGATTTGGATGGGTGAGTGAATACTTTTGGCAATATAGTGTATATATATATACCGGCTCTGAATATACACATATACACAATATACACTAGTATTGCACTATTCCAATATACAGTTGTACAGTAATAAGTTATGAAATAAAACTATGAAATGTACTGTTGTACACATTCCGTATGTGCAGTTAGTCTGAGGTAGATAATAATGAGATGCAGGTACACGGGGGACAGAATATTGATATAGAAATCTTCCAGATTATACAAGATATGGATAGAAGATGTCAATCTATATGTGTAAGTACAGATTTGCTAGATTGAAGGTGCAGAGGATCAGAGTGAGTCTGATGAGATGTGGATAAGGTGTAGATTGTCCCTGGAGATAATGACTCAGAGGTGCAGTGACAGGCCTATAGACCAATACACCAGCACTACTGGCTGTTTAGCAGCCTGATGGCCCGGAGGAAGAAACTGTCTTGGAACCGGCTGGTTCTGGACTTTATGCTTCTGTACCTCCTCCTGCTCGGAAGCTGTGAGAACAGACAGTGGCTTGGGTGGGTGGAGTCCTTTAGAATCCTCCTGGCAGAGGCTGGTGTATAAATCCAAAAGGTTTGGGAGCTGGACCCCGGTGATGTGCTGGGCTGCCCGCACCACCCTCTGCAGAGCGTTTTGCTCAATGGCAGTGCAGTTTCCATACCAGGTGGTGATGGAGCCTGTTAGAACGCTCACCACAGTACATGTGTAGAATGTTCTGAGGATGCGGGGGTTCATGCCAAACCTCATCAGCCGCCTGAGGTGGAAGAGGCGCTGTTGTGCCTTTTTTACCACCCGCGTGGTGTGTTCGCTCCATGTCAGTTCCTCTGAGATGTGAACACCGAGGAACTTGAAGCTGCTGACCCTCTCTACAGTGGCTCCATTGATGGTGATGTGGGTGTCAGGACCAAGAGCTTCTTCTCCTTGCCCGAGGTCCAAACATATAAAGGGTATCTCTAATGTGTTCTGTGCTAAGAGATTCTTAACTGTAGTCTAACTTCTTGAAAAAAAATCTAAAGAATAAGAGAGTATCAGTAAAAAGTAAAAAGACTTAAATCGCTGAGTTCTTGTGGAAGGAAGGAAAAGGCCTTCTTCTTTATTGAGCTTGAGTGGCAAGACGGTTCCCGGACAACCACAATGCAAAGAACATCACGAAACATCCTTTTTTATATTCTGTTTGGGGTGATGAAGTAATCACTCCTCCCTTTTACACAATTCCATATCATCTTAGTCCCCATTATATCCAAACTCTGCACTTTTCTTGGAAACCCTTATTTCCAAACGTACATGATATCATTTTTTTTTTTTAAATCATCTTAGCTTGGCTGTACCAAGCCGTTCCATCCTCTCAAGGCTATTAATTTAACTATTGCATTATGGACTGACTCCAAAAACTGGTTTCAACAGGTTCTTATCAGCTTACTCTGCTCTTTGAGGGTCAGCTTGCCCTCTTCTTTTACTGTGTCAGCAAATGCTCACAGGCTTCTGGAAGCTTCTATAGCTTCAGGGACTCTTCAATGTCAAAAATCCCTTATGCAGACAAACTAAGGCCTATCCTTTGTGAGAGGATTAATATTCTTTGTTAATCAACTCTGACCAGTGGGCTGAACGTACTCCAGGAAAATAACGCTGTCTGCCTTTTTATTTTATTTGTTAAGCAGGAAAAAGAAAGGCAGAGCTCGGACATCACAGTTTTGAACATACTGAACAGACATACAGAAACAGTTTAATGGGCTTCTAGCGCTCTGTAGGCGCTCATCTCGGCTATATCTGAAAACAGTTCACGTAGACTGTTGAATGAGCATCAACAAAACTGAAAGTACATTCGTGGGTTGACTTGATGACGTCATACTTTGTTTGGGAGCCGTTTACTGCTCAAAAAGGACATTTTATTTTCAAACAGGTCTTTAGTTTGGAGCTTCTGGAGAAACTAAGCTAAACAGAAGGGAAACTGAACACTCAGCTACACAGAGCGCTTCAGTGCTGTCTTCACTTCCTCTGCATTGAACGCACACGCTGGACGCTGAAGGTACGTTTGTTTACTCTTCACAGCATTTTGACTGTGTTTGGGTATCGTTAAATCCTGGTAGACCGGAAATCTGTATGCCACACGGAAAGTTCGGGGCCTGGTTTGGTAACAGACCTGAATGAAAGGATTATATTTTTAAAGCTTTTCTTCAGTTTCCTGTTTTATTTTCACTGATTGTCAGAGCTCGCCCCCGATGTACTTTGCTGTGTGGCGCGCGCTCCCCGCCTTGTCTCTGAAGCCCGCGCGCTTCAGTGCCGCTCCGCTCGCGCAGCCTGTGCGAAATCGTCAGTATACCCGGACCCGTTGGCGCGAGTGCCGGAATCAAAAACGAGACGTTCCGCGTCCTAATCTACTCAGAGGGGGGAATGTGTGAAACAGGCCTCACGTCGCTGTTTTGTGCAGTAGAAATGTCTATTTCTGCTCCCTTTCTTAGAAGTGTCTGCACCAGCACTTCAAAGTCGGTCTCTACTGGAGGTATTTTTTTTTTGCTGCTATTTTCTCCCTGTGTTTTTGCACGTGTTTCCGCACCAAACATGAAATAAATAGAGAATGCTGTCCTACGTGTGCACACGATAAGCTAAAAACTAATAACTATTGGATTTAATATAGTGTTATGGTTTATAAATATATAAAACCACAGTGTCTAAATCTGTAGTCATGAAAGTATAGTCGCTATAAGCCTCTAGATAAGCAGCAATACAAAATAGGATAGTGTGCAGTATAGTGTGCAGTACATAGACTGATGATTAAAGGAGCAATACTTACACCAAGCGTTTAAACTGGATACTGCAGTCCAAATCCAAAATATTGGAGAGAGTTGTCTCCCCTCCTCACCAGACTCGATGCTCACGCAGGTTGCCAGGTTGGGGACACTGAACCTACACGAACGAGTGTAACATTAAACTTAACAATACCAAGCGACAGGAGTCATACACTGTTAGTTAATCAGCTGATGTAAAGAAATATATTAGATATTGATTCTTTAAATATCAAAATCTTGGATATGACTTTATTCTGTCAACTGATATTTCATTTTTTTTTTTTAGGAAAGTGGGTTTTTAAGCTTTGCACTGAGAATGCAAGCACTACTTGTATTCCATGTCCTGAATCAACTTACACTGATGAACCTTTGCAGACTGCTTTAGCTGTACAGTGTGTGATCCTGGTAAGTCTGTAGACTTCTGTGTGCTGTCTATTTAAAACAGTGACATCTTTCAGATACATTACAGTCTCTGTGTGTTGTTCACAGATCAGAGTTTTAGAGTAAACACTGCCTATCAGTCATCTGATACAGGCTGTGAGCCACTAGAGAGACATTACTTTACTTATAAACACAGACAGCTGTAGATGTTATACATAGCTGTGAATCACACAAAATGAAGCCCTGGGCAATCTACAAAGAAAAGAGGTTAGTCTTATACAAGATATTACTGTATACATACACTGACTAGATATTTCATTAAGTACACCTCCTTGCATCTACAGTTATTGTCCATTTTATCAGCTCCTTACCACAAAGTTTTACTTTGTAGTTCTACAATTACAGACTGAAGTCCATTTTAGTGTGGTGTGCACTGTGCTGGTATGAGTGGATGAGACACAGCAGTGCTGCTGGAGTTTTTAAACACCTCAGTGTCACTGCTGGACTCCATCAACCAAAAATATCCAGCCAACAGCATCCTGTGACCACTGAAGGACTAGAGGATGACTAACACAAACTGTACAGCAACAGATGAGCTACTGTCTTTGATTTTACATCTACCGATGGACCAACAAGGAAGGTGTGTCTAATAGAGTGAACAGTGAGTGGACACAGTGTTTAAAATCTCCAGCAGCACTGCTGTGTCACACACTAACATGCCACCACCACATCAGTGTTACTGCAGTGCTGAGAATGATCCACCACCCAAAAAACACTTTGCTCTGTGGTAGTCCTGTGAGGGGCCTAACCACTGAAGAACAGGGTGAAAGGGGGTTAATTAAGTATGTAGAGAAGCAGATGGACTACAGTCTGTAACTCAAAACTTACAAAGTGCACCTATATGATAGGTGGAGCTGCTAAAATGGACAATGAGTGTAGAAATAAGAGGTGCACTTAATGAAGTAGCTGGCCGGTATACAGAAGTATTACTTCACAGTGTACTTGGATTCTCTTCTAGCTCCAGGATATGGTATCTTCTGCTGAAAATGAGGTGGCCTGTGGAAATGCTCAATTCTAGAAAAGGCTTCTGACCCTCAGCGGTATGGACTGAACTGTTCTTCTCACTGTGGAGAAAAGTCCATATCAATGCAGGACTTTTCTGGACTGTTAGAAAAAACTGCAAGTGATCCAAAACAAAGTCCTCTGAACCCTTAAAAAAAGGTTCAGAGCTTGTCACTCCTGACGTCCGTTCTTTATAGAAAGGATGGCTCCTCTGAATACTGAGTCAGCAAGAAGTGATAGTCATATTAAGATAAATACCACTGGCTTAATATGGCCGTGTACTTTTGTACTTTGACCGTCACTGGTTCACTTCACTGATTGTGTTGTCCTTTCTTGGTGGTGTCCCTTTATAAAGGTCAGATCTACATGAAAGTCACTCTGGACACTATTTAATAAAACTGTTCCTGCTTTGCTTCATACGACTTGTTTATTGGCTTTGAGCCAAGACCACAGAACCGGTTACTCAACTGCTGTTTTTATAAACTGGAGCGAACCATTTCGGCACAGGAGGTGAGACTGGACATCCAAGCCTTTTTTAGACAAGAACTTTGGTCCTTCTGACTTTGGATTTGTCGCTGGACCTGTTTGTCAGTCACAGACCATTTAACACATTCCTTCCTTGAGGCTTGTGTTTTTCTTTCACTTTACTGTGAAATCTATTGGATGCAGTTCCCCTCACCGCCCAGTGCACTGGTCTGGACTTATTCCAGGAAAAATGCGCCTATTCCAGGAAATACATTGTCTGGCTTTTTTATTAATTTTTTTTTTTTTGAAGCAGGAAACGTACAGATATTTAGACATATCTATACAGACATTATATACAGACATATTCTCTAATTTACTTTTTGAACAAGGCAAATAAAAAGTGTTTAATGAAGCAGTATGTAGACAGAATGCGCATGAGCTCTCCTTGGAGATGAGATAAACAAAACAGAAAGTACACTCCCAGTCTGCTGGTAACGCTCATCCATGGAATGGTTCAAAAGCTGTTTACTATTAAAAAATGTGATTTTATCTTTAAATTAGGGCTTTTGGAGCTTTTGGAGAAGCAGAGCTAAACCAGAGAGAGACTGACCACTGTCAACTACACCAAGAGCCTCAATTACTGATTTCTTCACACGCTGTTTTCTTCAGGAGTGACTACAAAAGTAAGAACTTTTTAATATTCAGATAACCTATAGGACTTTAATACAATATATGCTGTAAAAAAGTTTCAAAACATTCCTTTAACTCCCCCCTCCATACTGTCCAAAAAACAACCTATTTGAATTATTTCTTTCAACTCGAAACTCGGATCAACTTGAACTTTGACGTCACCTCTCTGAATAGCTTTTTACATTTTCTTAAAACTTAATTTTGTCAAAATTCTAACTTCTAACTTACATTTTTAGTTCTGTGTGGTTGCCAGGGCTTCCGCCCTTTACACCCCCCTGACCACAAAGAGCTGCATCACAAACTCTTTGCCTTTTAATCTGTTTCCACCTTTCTAAACTAAGTTGAAAAAAAGCTGTGTAGATGGTTGACTTAGTTTGAAGTTGACTTACCGTTTAATTTTTCACAGTGTATAGGTAAAGCTGTATTATACATTCTTATATTTTAAATGTGTTTTCTTGTCATCAAATACTAAAATTTCTCAAATGTCAACAACACAAAGGGAGAGATATGCTTTGGAAAGGCAAGAGAGAAAAGAAGGGTGTACACTGAAATTTCCCTGTTTAGACCAGTCATATAACAAAGTGAACATGTTTATGCTTTCAGTTTCCTACTTTTTTGACAACATGCCTTATTTCAGTTTGTAGCTACTTTTTTGCAGATTTTTATTCAGCCAACTGCAGTTTAGCTCCACCCATTCACACTTGAAGTTCTAAGCAGTGTTTTAAGTCTGAGTGCTTTTTGCGTAACGTATCTTATACCTCTTACAGGCACAATAACAAAAACAGGGATAAAGAGAGGTTGCAAAACCGACATGTAATATGTAATATTAATGAGAGGTTTACATCTTGTAATGAAGCCTTTATAATTCGGCCGTTGAATAGGAGACAGTTACAGCTGAATTCAGGGTTGTCAATGCATGCAATGATAAATCACCATCTGCTGTAATTTTGATATCATTAGTTGCTAAAATAAGAATATGGCATTGTGGTTACTCTGCTGAAGATCACTGAACACAAACACCACCAAAATTAAAAAAAACATACCATACCAAGTTTTAATGTCAGATCAAGCAGTGTCAATCCAGAACAATGTGATATGAGAGGAGTCATGCGTTCATGAAGTCCAGAAGTCCACAGGGCCCAATAATTCGCTCTTAACACATCTGGACTTTGCTTTTGTGTTGTGATTGCTTTTGGTTGTTAAATCTGATAATTGTGTGTAGGTGTGCATGTGTGTGTGTGTGTGTGTGTGTGTGTGTGTGTGTGTGTGTTTGTTTGTAAGTGAATGTTTTTACCTCCTGCAACCCTAATGTAATTTTGTCTATTTTGGTATTTACAAGACAGTTACATATGCCCTATGTTGTTATTTTCAGGAGGCCCTAGGCCTTGACATGTTCAATGCTAACAGAATTTTCATAACTGTATGAATTTGACCATTTTTTGCTCAAAAATTTAATTAGTGTGGCATCTAGAGTTCCATGTGTTATCTGAATTTGCAGGTTTGGAATGTTTAAGTTAGGGGGCCCCTGGTCCAAAGGTCAAGGCCCCTTTCCCTTCCTCTCCCTTCCTCTCTTAGTTCCAGATATATGAGATCATTGTAAAAAGGACCATATGTTCTGTTTCCTTTTTCGAAAACAACCACCCTATATAAGCAGTTGGTTATACTGCTCTGAAGGGGACACTTCAGAATTGGCACGGATCCCGTCTCAGGTATTACATGGTGCTTGATATGATACTGTTTTATTTTGTAATAAACATCTTATACAAGCAAGATGGTGTCAGCAGAGACTTCTTCATCATCTTCAAACAACATTAGCGCTTGGTATTTTCTTTTTATTTTTACCTATACAGACTGAAAATAGTTGTCAGCTCAAGTACAGAAGTACAGAGAGTGTTGTTGAACTAAAATAATAATTTTTATTGGGGTTTATTCTAATATTTATTATTGAGATGACCAACTGCTGTGTTATTTCAGCAGAGGATAATGTATTTGTGAATAGACTGTGCCAGATATTGAATGTCAGTTCACCTTGACGGAACTGCGAGGGCGGGAGTCAAACAAACTGTTTCGGTTGCAGGCAGGAGTGGGATAAATGATTCCGATTTCCTGCAAACGGAAGCGGGAGGAAATCTTGCAGGGGGCAGCAGCAGGACAAAACAGTCAGTGCACGAGTCATTGCTTCTCTCATTTACTCCTCTGCAGTTTCGCTAGTTTTAGCTCTGGTCAGTCTTAATACAACGCAAACAGGATTTTCTTGTTTCTTCTGAATGTTTTGACGATCATAGTGCTCTGATCACTTGCTACATGCAGTACAGAGACATCAGAAGAGCATGCTGGATCCGCACATGCATTATGTGACGTTTATGGAGAACCAATACAAAGAGATCACATCAGATTTTGGGTGGTTTTTCAAGCTGGTTTACTCACTTATACTTCTCTGTAGGTCAGTTATACTTCTCTGGCTAGACAGGATGGGTTCTGTTGAGTGTTCTGATATGTGTATCATGTCTGTATGATTGACAACTTTTGAGTTACGAATCCTAAGAACAGATAATATCATCATCGCAAGTGGATTTCGGATTGTTTTTCAAGTCAGATTGAATGACGTCACATTGATGCTGGCGTCAAAACCAGATGATCTGGCTAGACAGGACAGGGTCTGCTGATTGCGCTGGTATGTGTATCATGTCTGTAAGATAAACCCTTCCAAAGTTATGAAAGCTAGAGTGCACTTATGCACGTAGCTTCAGGTTAAAGGAGTTCAACAACTATGGCCTAAACAGATAGGGTCTTAAATCCATATTTTCATATTTGTGTCCCTGCACACAGACTCACAGGAAAGGCAGTCTGTACTGTCAGCATCTTTCATGATCCCCTACTGTTACAGACTGAGTCAGTTCCACTTTTCTAATGTTGAGACTGTCAGTTTGGGATATAAACCTGTACATATGTACAAAAGTAGTGCTATCACGGATGAAGAAACTGATGTTGAGACTGTCAGCATTAGAATTTGAGATATAAACCTGTACATATGTACAAAAGTAGTGCTATCACGGATGAAGAAACTGACTCAAGGTGGGAGCGGCTGTGTCTTTCACTGTTTAGTTCTGACCTTTTTTGTTGTGCTTCGGAAGGAATAAGAAGTGATTCATGTCTAAACTGTTTACCAAAAATAATGCCCTGCAACAGGCTCGCAACAGTAGTGAATACACATTTAGCGACTGACTGAAGATCAGCATTTTAGGGAGCCGGTTGAAAGGAAGCCTATGCCACTGATGAAGTCAGATGTTATCACCTGGTTGTTACTTATTTGAGACAGATTAAAAAATTGTATTTTGTTTACAGTGTATCCTCTAATAGTGCATTTAAAAAGTTGATTGTCTGGCCCAGCAAAGCAAGTATTAAAATTTCAGCTGTTGTTGTTGTAATTGTAATCTTTGTTATATTCCAAGGCATCAGAATATCGTTCACGAATCTGCTTTCTTCAGACTCAGATATGTTCATTTGTGACTGATTTCAGCCAATCTAAAATGTTTTCTCTTTTCTTTTTCAGTTTCCCCTCCAAGGACTGGAAAACCTGAACGAGGACTCTGAACTTCTAATGAATGTGTAGAGAAAATGAAGAGCTGCGCCAACAAAACTGAAATCTAAGATATTTATATCTACCAAACGCAGAACTGTCCTCAGCATTAAGCAAACTTGCAAAATGTTTTAGCTGATGATCTGAAGCTAATACAGTAGGATCAATGGAATGTGCAGGAGAAACGTTTGTTTCTGCTTTTTGCTTATACAATACACTGCACCAGCACTTTAAAGATGATCTGTGGTTTAAAAATTCTTTTTTCGATTTTTCTGATTGCTGCTATTTTCTCCATGAATTTTGAATTCTGTCTTTGCGGATGTGCCCGGGCTGAATATGAGATGGAGAATGGAGAATGTTGTCCTATGTGTGCACCCGGTAAGCCAAAAGCTGATGCTTATGGGATTTAATACTTGTACTCATGATATGATAAAAGTGAAAGTAAAAGTGTTCAGAGAGCCCATATCCTATCTTGATTTAATTTTTCCCCAGAGGTACACATTTAACAATTGTTTGATTTTATGCACCAGAAACTAATTAATTTTTACATGAGCATTTTCCAACCTGTTTATCCCTTAGAATTGAACAGGCAGTTTATGTTACTGTGCCTTTAAGACTGATGTATGTATTTGTTCTCTTTTGATTGGCTGCCCTGTTTTGTGCCTCATACAAAAAGTATTGGCTCCTTATTACTTCAGCGTCAATGGGCCACGCTAAACTGCTGTAGGCTGAACAGGGGGACAAGCAGATATATGCAAAAGTTTGGGCCAAATTGCATGCCTTGGGGCGAGGGGAATTTTTGAAATGAAACAAAGTAAACACAACTTCTGCAGAAAACTATTTTAAAAATAATATTTTTTGCTAATGCACAGTTATTTTATATTCAGTTAATTTAAATAATAGAAAACAATAATATAGTAATTGTGGCATGTGCAAAAGTTTGGACATGCTTCCAGTTGTAATGTCTCAGAAATTAATTAACTTGTTAGGCCTTGATGGACTTGTTAGGAAGGTTAGGCAGGGCAAAAACTTGGTGACAATTCCAGAACGTGATATAGTATGCAAAACAGCATCTAGATCAGACAGGCATTTTGGAAACAAGTGCAGTTGAACTCTTTGGCCAGAGTCACCAAAAGGTATGTTTGGAGATAAAAAGGAGCAGCTGAAAAAATTAAAACAACACCGTACCAACCATAACATGGTGGGTAGATCTATTAGGCTTTGGGGTGTGTGGCACCCAGTGGCACAGGAAACACTGCTTCAGTAAATGGAAGAATGCATTCCACTAAATATCAGCCAATTCTGGGAGCAAATGTCACATTGTCAGTTCAGAAACTGAAGCCAAAAAGAAACTGGCTTTTACAACAGAACAATGATCCAAAACATACCTCAAAATTCACATTACTTTAAGAAAGACAGGCTGAAGCTTTTGGAATGGCCCTCACGGTCCCCAGACATCATTGCAAATCAGTTTGCGATCTTAAACATGCTGTGCTTGCAAGTCAGTCCAAGAATATCGCAGAACTGAAAGCGTTCTGCAAGGAAAAGTGGGTGAAAAATTGCTATAACAAAAACAGAAACATTTCTAGCTGGCTGCAAAAAAGCTTTGGTATCTGCTGTATGTGTTACTAGTACAGACTTTGTAGGGTGTCCAAACTTTTGCATATTTTGTGCAAACCTTTGCACAATTTCTATTTTTTTTAAATCAAAGTTAATCAAATATGAAATTAACTGTGTATTAACATTTGCTTGAAAGGTGATTTCAAAAAATGTTTGCTGATAGTTGTGTTTACTTCTTTTCATTTCAAAAGCTAAGCTAAGCTTTTGTAGTTTAGTTTCCATATATGGACTGAATGCTCTTTGTATAGTATCGTTTGAAACTTTAACATTGTTTACATATTGCATTACTGTATGCATACTGCGTTCAGGAAAGTGAGGTAAAATTCATTGTTCTTTGATATGGGCTAATTAAAACTACACTGTCTAAATCTGTAGTCATGAAAACAATCTGTGGAATGTCATGTTTCTTTTTAGGAAATCGCGTTTATAGGCACTGCACTGAGGACACAAGCACTACGTGTGTTCCATGTCTTGATTCGACTTTTATTGATGCACCAAACGGACTCAGAGACTGCTTTAGCTGTACAGTGTGTGATCCTAGTAAGTCTGTTCTTTATAAGTGGACTTCTGTGTGCTTTGTTTCTAACATGATAGAAAATGTATTCTTTACAGTTATATTTATGGTCACTTACAGCTCAGTTGTTGGAAGATCAATTTCCTACTACACATCTTATCTTTGCAATATTTTACTTATACACCTGTGTAAAGAACAGATTTTATTTGTTTTTGTACAAAAATGGTAAGTGCTGCATGAAAAAGTTGTTACTGTTGTTATTGAGCTATTATGTTTTAGATATCGCCATCTCTTTGTTTTTCACAGATCAGGGTTTAAGAGTAAAGACTTCCTGTACTCGATCATCAGACGCAGTCTGTGAGCCACTAGACGGACATTACTGTACTGATCAGCACAGAGGCACCTGTATACATGCTCTGAAACACAAAAAATGCAGCCCTGGACAATATATAAAGCATAAAGGTTGGTGTAATATATCTGTATCAACTGTGAACCTTTCCAGTAACATCTTTCATACTTTTCTCTTTAAATGACTGAGTTGCACTTCATTCCACTTTATTGATTGAGAGTGAGCAGAACTTGTATGTTTGCAGGAACAGCATCTAAAGATACTGAATGTGCTGAATGTTCAGATGGTACCTTCTCAAATGGGTCTCTTCAGATTTGTCAACCACATTCAAAGTGAGTGTTCAGTTGTTTACTTTTTCTGAATTACTATTTTGGTCAGCGAATGAATTATGTGATCCACATGAGTTTTTCCAAAATAGTTATTTACACCTATGAATACTACTAAGTACAAATCTAATTTCGGGAAAAATGTGAAAAAAAAAAAAGTCAAGTATACAGCAGCAAACAAGTGTGTATTGGATATGCTGATTAATTTAGTGCCATAATGTGAAACAAGGGAGGCTTGAATTATGTAACAAGCTTGTAATAGAATGTGCATAAAATGATAACTGAAGTTAAAAGAGAAACTCGTTCAAAGATAGATAGTTTGTGAAAAGAAACTTCAGGGCCTGTACTCACAAAGCTTCTCAAAATAGGTGTGCTGATTTAAGATCAGATTCCACTCTTATATACTTCGACTTTAATGCCTAGATTTGATCCTAAATCAGCACTCCTAATCGGAGACGCTATATGAATATGGCCCCAGGTGTGATTGGGTTGCAGTGTTAATGATTTTCAGCTACCTTCAGGAAAAGTATTACAGATGACACTTTCGATCAGAGTTCAGAAAGTCCTGGATGTCCAGAGTCCAGCGCTGTTGGTGATTTCCCTGTTCTGAAAGACTTATTGAACCTGGTAATTGAATGAAGAGTTGAACCAAGTACACTGAAAAAAATAAGTCTGTTTAACGTAAGCAAAACCTGTTCAGGTGACTCTTTAGCTAGTTGGCTCCAGTTTCTAATTCCTCATCCTCAGACAAAGCACTGTCTGCACTTAAATAAACAACAGTTACCTGTGTTTGAGCAGGACACCTAAACCGCCTTTGGACTGCAGCCATCCAGGACCAGAGTTGTCCACACCTGATCTAGATCATCTCACTAATGCTTCCATGCAAAGAGAAATCACATGACTTTATTAGGCAATTTGTTTCACTCTGACAGATGTGAAGATCTGGGACTTACAGAAATAAAGGCAGGAACACTTTCTTCTGATGCTGAATGTGGAAAGAAAACTCCAGTTGGTCTGATAGCTGGAATTATAGTTTCTGTTCTCATTGTGGCTATACCTGTAGCTGTAGCAGCTATCATTTTTCTCAAATTTAAGTGTAGGACTGCCCAGCGTGCAAGTAAGGCTTTCATATTTACTATTCAAGAAAAAGTTTTATGTCAGACCTTTAATACTTTACTTTTAATTTGTACATGTTGTTAAAATGTGGTTTCAGACTGTGCTGTTCAGTTACCTGAATATAATATTGTACCAACACAGCAAACTGCATTACAGCAGTCTGTAAGTATTGCTTTGTTTTGATTATTTCCAAATATCCACTTTAATGTAGTCTTAATTAAGTAGTTTGTAGTATTTCAGTAAAAGAAAAGGTAACAAAACTGATTCTATGACTGAAATGAATCCTTTGAAATAAACATATTGTTTTCTGTTCAAGACACCCGCACAGGTACCTGTGGAGACAACAGACAGGTAAGACAAATGACTGAGAGATGCACTTTCTATTTTATTCTGTGGAATCAATCACCGTCCCTGTAGGCCTGAGGATAAAAATGAAACAAAATCAATAGTGTTTTGCTGTATCTGCTTACTTATACTGAAATACAAAATAATTTAATAATTTTATAAATATTCCCATTATTTATAATTATGATGATGATGATTATTATTATTATTGTTGTTGTTGTTGTTTTATACACACTTTGACTATATGTAGGGGAAAGCCCCTAAAAAGCCCATGTACCACGTAAACCTACTTTAATTTTTATTGTGAAATATTTTTTAAAAAAGGAAGAATAAGAAGAAGCACTTAAAAATACAGGGAATCTCATTCAATAAATTCACTTTCATTTTACTTTAAAATAAATACTCAAAAACTTCACTGTGGTGTAAAAAACAATGCATCCCAGTTCTATGTTTATTTATTAATCATCATACGCAAGCATATACAAACGTTTGAACACCACAGCCAAATTATCTATTCTATTTCTAACAGAAAATAAGTTAACACATTCTCTACAGAGAACAAAACTTTCTGCAAATGTATTATTTATTGCACAATTATTGTTTATTTGCTTAGTTGTATACAAACTTTAATATAAACTATTATCTGATTTATTTCATTATGGGTTTAAAACTAAAAACTAAAAAATCCATCTAAAAAGTATGTTTACATGGATTTAGATGGCCCTACATTTCCCCCTACATATTTATCTATGGCTCATTTGTGTTGTCTTACAAGGTGACTAGCTATATATATATGGTGAAGCGTGTTTTATAAACTGATCAGGCATAACATTATGACCACCTCCTTGTTTCTAAGCTCATTGTCTATTTTATCAGCTCCACTTACTATATAGGTGCACTTTGTAGTTCTACAATTACAGACTGTAGTCCATCTGTTTCTCTGCATACTTTGCATACTTTTACCCTGTTTATTCAGTGGTCAGGACCCCATGGACCCTCACAGAGCAGGTACTATTTGGGTGGTGGATCATTCTCAGCACTGCAGTAACACTGACGTGGTGGTGGTGTGTTAGTGTGTGGCGCTGGTCTGAGTGGATCAGACACAGCAGTGCTGCTGGAGGTTTTAAACACCTCAGTGTTACTGCTGGACTGAGAATAGTCCACCAACCAAAAATATCCTGCCAACAGTGTCCTGTGGGCAGTGTCCTTTGACCACTGATGAAGGACTAGAGGATGACCAAACCCAAACTGTGCAGCAGCAGATGAGCTATCATCTGACTTTACATCTACAAGGTGGACTGACAAGGTAGGAGTGTCTAATAAAGTGGACAGTGAGTGGACACAGTGTTATAAACTCCAGCAGCACTGTTATTACTAGTTATTATTAATCACAATGACTTTTATTATTGACCTTACAATGCTGCAGCACAAATGCACCGTACATAAATGTGTAAAGAATCTTCTTAAATTTGTCTTTAATAGAGAATCATCTTAATCATTGACGCAGGCACACATATTTCTAATGTATTTTGTAAAGTTAATTCTGTTTAATACCTTTTCTGCTGAATCTTGGATTCCGTGTCCATGTGTACAGGTCCTTGGAAGGTGATTATTCAGTAAGGATGTTGTGATCAAGAAGAACATGAGAGACTTGGAGGCCTAACAAAGAATTTGCGGATTTTTTGAGAGTATGCAGAATATGTATTACAACCTAAATTTGTAAATGAATACATTTATTGGTTTATATGCACTGGTGGTGTGTGTGTGTCTGTCTCTGAGCTCTGGTTGGATTTCCCAGCCCTTGTGCATTGGCCCCGCCCCAGGCTAGTGCCACATTGGTGGAGAATGCGGGCATTCCTCTCACTGGGAGCCGAGCGGGGCTCAGATGCCTGTCGGAGTTCTGGCATCAACGTCAGTGTGCTTGGACCAGACTACACAAATTCAGCTCGATTTTGACACGATTTTATTGCAGCGGACAAATGTCCAGCATCGGGCCCGAATATGAGCGAAACGAGTCTTGTAGCGTGGCATAACAGAAGAACAGCAATGTGGCATCCGGGATGCCCACAACGCCCAGACAAAAAGTCTAGCATGTCCAAATTAGTTTGTTGTTTTTTGCCTAGTTTGACATCTTATTCTAGTTTGACTCATTCCTTGACTTCACCAATTGGATGACGGAGAGCTCTGGCGCAAATATGTAAACAAGGCACAGAGAAAGAGGAATGCTGCTGTTACGTGGAAAAACAAAATGACGAAATGTTTGTTGAACTGTGGCAACAATACCTCCTGCTGTTCCGGAGGACAACCCAGTGCTGCCAGTGTCGACAGCACCACCTGGTGTTCCGGAGACCTTAGGGCCGCCGCAAGCATTGATAACAGTGCCTGGTGTCCTGGAGAGCACCCCAGAGCCACTGCCAGTATCAACAACACCATTAGGTTCTCCAGAGAGCACGCTTGAGCTGGAGGGCATTTAAGAATTGCACACAGAAAATCTAAACAAGACTAGAGAATTTTTTTTAATAGATTTGAAGGTGGGTAAGCTATATCTACACATTGTCATCTGATCTTTTAAATCACATAGAAACCTTTAAAAGTTTCTATTGTTTCCTTTTAGAGTTTTTTTTATTATTATTTTTTTTATGTCATCTAACGTTTAGTATTGGTATTTTGTTCCTGAATGTGTGATCACAATATAAAGGATCACAATGGTTTAGCTGGTTACATGTGCCTGACTGCAGGCACATTTATTAGTTCTCTAATAGGATCTAAAGGTGTTCTATACAGGAAAGTAGTGGTCACAATTAGGGCCAATTCCTATTAGGAAGCAAAACTATCAGGTTTTAGTTCTATTGCTTGTTTTTTGTTGCTGTTTTTTTTTTCCAGCTGGCAATATTTACCTAATTTAACCTAAAAATTACTTCATGTCATAGCAAGCAGTTTTACTGATTGTATTCAAGTCAAATACATAAGTGTGTACATAAACTCTACTTTCAAAACAGTAGTTCAGATAAAAAGTATTTTTTTCACCAATGCAAATCTCACAAACGCTTCAAAAATAGATTTGATTTGCTGTACATCGTGTAGTTCTGTACATTGACACGGAGAACTACAGAGGAGCTACAGATCAGACAGGAAATTCGTAGACAGGAAATGATTCATTCGACTATTTACACAAAGCCTGGGTTTTACTTTCAACTTTGTTCGTGTGAAAAGTGTACGGAGTTCAAGTATTTTGTGAAGATTAATCCTCGTCACATTCAAACTCTCTTGTTATCGGCGACGTCGTGAGCTACATGTTTACATTTAGCACGATAGTTTTTCAACATGGCGCCAGAATACGCCCGAAGAAGAAACCTACGCCAAAGAATCGTGAAAAAGTGACAGTTCGCTAAACTAAGTCAAATTTCACATTCCTCCATGTTATTTGTAAAAAGAAAGAATGAAAAGCCCATCCCTAAGAGTTAGCGTGTACATATTTGGTAAGTAATGAGTATGATCTGTTCAGAAGTCTGCATGATATGACTCATTTTAAGTGTACGGATATTTGCATAATGCCTTCTGTCGCGAGAAGTAGCTAACGTTAGCATGAGACCTAATTTTGTCCATCACATTAATGCCAAATCGTTTTGTTCGAGGCCTGAAATGTTCGTGACGTTAGCCGAACAAATGTAATTTGAGCTCTTTTGAGCTTCGCCCAGAGGAGCGGAGAGCAAACAGTGAACCGCAAACCACAAGAAATAAAGTTTTCTGAACGTCCCATTGCACATAACGTTTCTGTTTACGTTAATTTAACATTCAAACTTTAGGAAGCAACAGTTTTACAGCCATTTATATCCCTTTAAAGGTATGTTATTGTACTCATTACATAAAATAACACATTAACACGACTCCTTAGCTCTAATCTCAGTACCTGGTTTTCAGCGAGTTGTGCGTGAGAGATGTTCAGTAACGTTAGTCATACAGACCTGATAACCTCTCTACGGACCTGTCCTCCTAGGACTGTTATGAAGGACATCCCGCTTTATATATCCGTGGTGTGGAGTCCTACCTGAGGTCCGCCCAGTTTTTAGCGTTACTAGTTAGTTCCCAGAAGGGCAAAGTAATCATCACTGTATACCAAGCCAAATTTGTCGTTTCCCTACACATCGGTAAAGGTGAAAAAAGTGTGCAGTGCTTCAGACTCCTTTTGCTGTGTAGAATTTAATCTCCATATGTTTGTATCTAGCTTGTATAAGGTATTGAAATGAATAGAATAATGAATGCAGCTTTTACCCAAGCTTGGCTGCAACTGCATATTTTAAAACTCATCTGTTTGTGTCTCCATAGGGATTCATATTATTCTCACGTATGGATGTGGCCCAAGTGAATATCAGTCAGCAGCTGGAGAGTGCTGCCCCATGTGTTCTATAGGTACTTACTAATTACACCACATCATTGAAAGCAGAAAGATAAAGCTAGTTCGTCCTGCTAATACAGTAAAACAACAAAATAGTAATGGTAGAAATAAACATTGTACATAATTCAGTGTCAATTCACACTTTCTCTTCAACTCTCAGTTCAAAAAGTAGTTTTTGATGTTGCCTTTCAATATTCTCTAAATCTTTTTGGACTGTTAGATGTGTTGAGGAATGACCCTGTGGTCACATTGCAAGAAAATATAATACATACTGAATTTGGCATTTTCATAATTTATGCATTACATCTCTTGTTATCAACTCACCAAATGCTTGTTTAGTTTCATTTGGAAGCCAACACAAACCCCAGTCTACATTTGCCAAATACAATATATGTTTCTAATCTTTTTCTAACTGTCTGTTAAATAATGTTTTAACATATACTGAATGTTCACAGGCTAACTTATCTTGATGTGTTCTTTCTCTCCCTTTTTCCTGTTCCTTCTCACTTTATAGACAGGACCTGTAGCTCTGCTTCCTCTTCGTAGCTTCAGCAGGTGACTCAATCTGATGAAAATAGGACGAAATTAGGCCAGTTAGAAAAGACCTTTTTCATATTTAATCCCTTGAGCCTACACCCGTAATAAAGGCATGATGTTTTGAGTAATGAAGAAGCACTTTTGGTTCCCTAAAGAAACTTTGAGTGTAGGCTTATTATTGGGTTGTTCATGTTTAAGACCTGTTATCAAGCAGATACTATCAATTATTCAGTAAGTTAAAGAAGGGACCATGGATTTAAGAAGAAAACTACATGCACATAAAACCTAAAATCTATTATAGCCTCAAAGGAGATACATGAACTTGAGTTTTTAATGAATGCCTGTAGAAGCATGAAGTTTTCCAGTTGACGAGCACTCAACAAGTATGTGGAAGTATAGCTTGTAAAGATGACCATTTTTCAGTGATTTAACTTATTAGAACATTATTTCCCTGCACAATAGTTTGTTTCTACATTTAGGTTCCTGTTACAGAGGAAGCACTTTAAAGACATCAGATTTTCTGCTGCTTTGGTTTGCATTGTGCAAGTAGCTTGTCAGGAAATGTTTATAAACAATTTATCCAGGCTTAATAGACTCTTATTTTCTTGTGTACCCTTTCATCTCCTTCTGATTCCTTCATTATCAGTAAATATTACTTCATCTTCAAAATATCTGTGTTTTGCAGGCCAGGTGGTCTATAGAGACTGCGTTGGTGATTCCAGTACAACATGCAAGCCTTGCCTCAGTGGAACATTCATGAATCAACCCAATGGTTTTAACAGGTGTTTTCAGTGTAAAACCTGTGATAAAGGTAAGCATCTTACATTTGTGTGTTTCTAACATCCTTAATGTGCAGTTGTTTATGCTTTTATAAGCTTAGTGTTGTCTAATATGATTTAATTTTAGAACAAGGCCTTTATGATCTACATGCTTGTACCACAATAAGTAATACAGTGTGTGGGGTCCTGGATGGATATTACTGCAAAGATAGAGATGAAAACAAAGAATGCACATTTGCCTTGAAGCACAGGCAGTGTGAACCAGGAGAGGAAATTAAAGTTCCAGGTCAGTACTGATGTTTCAGGCTTTTCTCTGTTCACATTCTGTTCTCAAATAATAATATACCTTAAGGTTGAAGGGGAGTTCCACTGATTTTTCAAAACACCTGCATAATTAAATGTTTAAGATATAAACCAAGTCATTCAGAGCAGTTTGATATGAAATGCTCCGAAACTTAGCGAATCAGAATTGTTGACAGTGTTGGTGATAGGAACCAGACATCTGAAGAGTTTAACACCTCTAAAATCTGCATCACTGAAAGGTATTATTAAGAAAACACTGCCTGATGCCTAAGACTTTGTTTTATTATAGTTTTGCAAAAAGCTGTAGGCCTACAGTGTATTTATAAAATACACGCAGGGCACTGTAAGGAAAAATAGTGCCAAAAAAAAATACTTACCACTATTTTTCCACCATCAGCATTACATATAAAATTTCAGAAGATGTGTAGGTTCACTGGTGGTTTTGGATAGTAAATAACATGGCTATATTTGCTAAGTAAAGTTTCTCTACAATGAACCACTTCAAATTAAACCACTCTGAATGACTTTGCTTACATCTCAACAGCTTGAATATATAGAAATTTGGAAAAATCAGTGGAATCCCCCTTTAAAGCCTCAGTAAAGATATTTTTAGGGTGGAATTACATGCACATTTGAAACCATTGGGGGGAAAAAAACACACAGAACTTGGAGACACATCCAAAGCACCTTTATTGGGACTGGTCTATTCCATGGTAACTCACCTAATCAAATGATGGTTCTGCACCACATTTTATATGCTAATCTGAGGCATTTCATATCTTAGGCATGTATTTAAAGTGTCTTTATGGATCTTTTGTGGAGTTTTAATGCTTGATTATTTATTTACAGGAACTAAAGACTCAGACACTGTGTGTGAGGTGTGCCCCCATGGGTTTTATTCTCCTCTGGGTATAAACTGCACTAAATGGACTGAGTAAGTTAACATTTTGTCATACAATTTACACAGTGATAATGTAATTTACATTTTGTAAACAGCCTTTAATCTTTTCTTTCAGCTGTTCTGTCAAAGATCAGATCAAAGACAAAGAAGGCAGTTCTGTAAAAGATGTTCAGTGCAAAGTGAAAACCAGGCAGAGACACGGCCTCATAGCAGCTGCAGCTTTTCTAGTTGTATGCACAGCAGTTTTATATTATGGTGAGTATGGTGAACACAATGTTGTGTTCAATTCAGTTAAATTGAAATTGTGTGTTGCTGTCAGTTGAAATAGTTGTGGGTTTATGATGTGTTAAAGAGTACAGTAATGAATTCATTATAGTATCACAGTATGATTTCTTGGTAGTAGTAAAAAATTATAATATACTATAAATGCTTGATTTGGTGGACATTACAGTTCTATGTATGTCATTAAACCAGTTTTGTTCATAATACAGCAGGTGTGCATGGTATGTGGAACTTGGGGTCATTTGTGCACATTTATCATGTTGTGGATATAGCCATGTGCTTAGTCATCTGATGTAAATGAAATACTTTAAGATTTTACCTGTATTGCAGTGCATATTTTACATGAATGGTTTACACTACTAATCTTTTGTTTGTTCTGCAGTTAATTACAAATGTCCTGCAGTTAACAACACAGTTAATAACACAGTTGTTAACAATACAGCATTAAAAGTAAGTGTTGACTTCTTTTATACAAATTAAACACATTTAGCTGTCAATACTGGGTGCAGTCAAAATTAGCTTCTGTATATCATCACTGTACAAAAACAAAGATCTCCAAAAAAATCTCCAAAATGGCAACATTACAGGAGAGGGCAAGAACTTTCTTTACTTTTCATGTAAGTTAATGTAAAATAGGTTTATTATAAGCAATTTTGTAGCATTTCTGTTTGTCCATTCATCATGAAATTTTCACACAATGTAAAGGGCAGCTATTGTGCTTAAATTAAGTAGAAAAATTAAAATTGGAAAAATGGAGATGTTTTTTTATTTTTTTATTTTTTTACTGCGACGATATGGAAATGTTTTGTGTTAAATGCATTGATTTTCCATCTTTACAAAACTGATGTGCAAACAGAAAATATGCAGACTCATTGATACCACAGGTTCTATGCAAGCTCCCACTCTCAGTGTTATTAGTAATAGTAATTATAGTAAAATAGTAATATGTAGGGCTGCCAAAGTTATCGTGATATTAACGCATTAATGCAGTTTCACTTTAATGCAGTTAAAAACAAAATAGTGCCATTAACACAGGTTCTTTTTGGCCCTACGAGTCACCTGTAGTTGAAAGTGCAAATTGAATGCGTGTCACTCTAGACTTAAAGTGAATCAGACTGTACTGAAAGTCACTCTGTACTCTCTGAAACAGTCAAATGATGGAGAAGACCTCATGATTGGGAAGTTCCGTTTCAAAACTTTGCCAGAAAGCTCACTAGACAAAACGAAGGCTGTGTGTAGCTACTGTCAGGCTGAGTTTAGTTATCACTGGAGTACATCAAGCCTACGATATCACATGCAAGCCAAGCAACATCAAACACCAACACTGTTATCCCTGATAATATGCAACAGACAACACTCGACAGTGTTTAGCGGAAAACAATGGACACGTCAACCTCCAGCAAAGTAACGGTAGCAGTTGCTAAATGGATAGCCATAACATCCAGGCCAGTTTACAAAGTGGAGTGTCAGTTGAAGATGGAACTGTTGTTATTATAATAGGATTAAGTCTCTGAAGTTGTACAGTAGAAATGCTTGTCTGTTGATGTTTCTTGTTGATTGTGTTTTTCCCCACAGAGTCCTATAGAAGAAACAACACGACATTCATCAAATTCACCGTAAGAGAGTCTCTGTCTGCTTCATTAATGCAAAAAAGGCAGTTGTTATTATGGAAAGTACACGTTTGTTTTATTGCTTTCCTTTAGAGAAGAAAACAGGGAAGAAGATTTCACCTAGCCCTACAGTGGACTGCTGAAAAGGTCATTTATTCACAGATGACTTGTGGGCACCAATGCAAAACCAGATTCAGGCAAAGGGGCTGGACTGAAAAAATCACCAGAATTTGTCATTACATATGGAGTCTCTCACCATCATCGGCTAGGAGTTCAAAGTCCTGCAATGTGGGCCGGGCATAACCAGCATATTTTAACAGACTGAAATAACAAAATACGTTTCTGTGTGTAGCTGCATGGAGGCAGCTTTTCATTTTTCAGTACCATTTTAACAGTATTAACCAAAGTGTGTATCTAAATCTTAATATCTCATCATACATTATCCTTAAATGAACATTACCCAGAATCTAGGCTGACTGAACCTTCACCATTGCTTCCAAATGACAACACCAGTTTTACTGTGTAGAACTGCACGACAAAATGTACACTAATGGGGGAGGGTCTCAGGACACTGCTGCCGCTCTATATATCTTTGCACTAGCTACAGCAAAATACCACATCACCATGGACTATTAAAAGTAATACTTTTTGTATAAAGCAACTACTTCTAACTAAAAACTTTTTTTAAAGATTTTTTTATGCATTCTAATTTTTTTTGCATTAAAATTTTTTTAACAGGGTTTTCACCCAACTGTATTCTTCTATTGATTTTGAAAGGTTTGTGTTTTTTTAATTAAACATTTAATCAGTTTAATTAAACATTTAAACAAAATGCACAAGGACAAACATCGGGGGAGTGGTGTAAAGCACACCGCCACTAGACTTTGGAGCAGTGGAAACATTCTGTGGAATGATGAATCACGCTTCTGTATCTGGCAGTCTGATGGACGAGTCTGGATTTGGCCAATGCCAGGGGGAACGTCACCTGCCTGTCTACACCGTGCCAAGTGTAAAGTTTGATGGAGGAGGAATAATGGGCTTGTTTTTCAGGGGTCTGCCTAGGCCCCTTAGTTCCACTGAGGGGAAATATTAATGCTTCAGCATATCAAGACATTTTAGGCAATTGTACGCTTCCAATTTGTGGGAACCGTTTGTGGAAGACCCTTTTCTGTTCCAGCATGACTGTAACCCCGGGCCACAAAGCAAGGTCTATAAAGACATGGCTGGGTGAGTTTGGTGTGGAAGAACTTGACTGGCCTGCACAGAGCCCTGACCTTAACCCCATCAAACACCTTTGGGATGAACTAGAACAGAGACTGTGAGCCAGGCCCTCTTGTCCAACATCAGTATCTAAACTCACAAAAGCTCTTCTGGATTCCCACAGACACACCACAAAACCTTTGCAGCGTTCGCAGATAAGTGGAAGCTGTTATAGCTGCAAAGGGGGGACCAACTCGATATAAATGCCTATGGATTTAGAATGGTATGTCATAAAAGCTCCTGTAGGTGTAATGTGTAGGTGTCCCAATACTTTTGTCTAACTAACAGAAACAGTGGATTAACCAGTGCAGCGCAGATCCTGAGGTGACACTGTGTCAGTGTTGTGTAACACTAATGTATAATACAAGCCACTTCACTCTCTCCACTCTTAAAGTTAGCTTAATATGTGAACATCCTTTTATATATAGCATCATCTGCTTTCTTGACCGATTTGTCTTCTGTACAGAAGTATGTTTCAGTTTAGTAGTCAGACTGCATTTAGAAACACAGAAGATGAGCTTGAACCTTTCTTCAGCACTGTTTATATTAGTATTGTGTGAGCACTGTATTTTTTAAGGTAAGAAGTCTTTGTGCAGCTCTTGCTACAGTAGGCATGATCTATACTCTGCATATAAACATTTGTCATTTTATTGACATTTGACACAACATTACAGCCATTAAGTAGCATTGATGTGTTTAATGAAGCTTTGTGTCATTTTAATCTAGGAATCCATTCAAAATTAGGCAATAGACATAATTTTGTCGGTTGCCAGCATTCACAATCATTTAGTTAGAACTAGGTGAAAAATCTGTTTCCTTGGCATTTTAGTCAGTCTGAGCTCTGGCAGAGTTCTTAGGGAGGTAATCGAAAGGGATTACTGGATCTTGCCGGTAATCTCTCACCAAAGTCTACAATATATAAGCAGACAGTATAGAAGTGCCTGGTCGAGGGGTTTTAAGGGTGAAACTTATTACCTAAGCATAACTTTAATTCAGATTAGCATTTTATGACTCAATAATAGTTATGCATCTGAGGAACAAATATTTGTGGTGGTGATTGGGAACAAAATTTTGAAAAATAAACATGGAGTAATGGCTCAGAATTAGAATGTGTTCAAAATGAAATTATCATATAGAAATTACACAATTTACCTCATCCACCAGGCGTGTGCATTTTGCAAACGTTAAAGTTATTGAGTGCAAAGACAGACTGCTGCATGTGGGATAACAGGGCTTTAACCCCACACAATGAGTGGCCTTTGTTATAATTTTATTCAGCAAACTTCATGGTAGTAACCTGCTATAAACCATGAGTGACTGTTGTATTGAAATATAGTCCAAGGAATCTGTATTAAGCATGTGACAGAGAAAAGAAGAGTGTTGTCTTCTACAAATTAGCATATGTTGAATATGAATTGTGACTAGTAAGAAGTCAGTTTTAGATATCTGAAACTGAATTTAGTCAGTTTAACCTCACCTGTTCATGCAGAAGTGATAAGTCAACCTGGACTGCTTTTTGAATGAGGCACAATACAGAACAGAGAATATTTATATATATCAGCCTAAAAAATAAGTAACAAAAATAGCCTGTTTAAGGGATAGCAAAATTTCTTTCCTCCAAGATATTGCACGATCAACTGTGAGTGGTAGTATTGAAAAGCATTTAGGAACCTCAGCCACGAAGTGTCAGACCACGTAAAGTTTCAGAGCGAGTGCTGAGGTGCAGAGTGCATAAAAGTCACCAACACTGCCGACTCAGTAACTGCAGAGCTCCAAACCTCCTCTGGCTTCAACATCAGCACAGAAACTGTGCAGCAAGAGCTTTATGGCATGGATTTCCTTGGCCGAGCAACTGCATGCAAGCCTTACATCACCAAGCACAATGCCAAGGTTCCAGGTGGGAACTAATTATGCCAAATTTTTTATTACATCTTTTAGCACAAGACATTGCCAATACTATGTATTTTAACATGTAAAAGATAGTATATTGTGATTCACAATGACATGCTCTTTCTTGTATTGTTTTGCATATACCTTTGCTTTTTCTTGTTACTTTGTAGATTTATTTTTGATACTGTTTACCATTTGTTCAGGATCCTTTATCCTTATGTTTGTATGGTGTTTATTACTAATTTTACTTACTTTTTTCTTCATTTTAGATGCAGTCATGAGGAATCCATCTTCACAAACTGCAAGTGACAGAGAACTTAACCAGAGATGTTCACATCTGTTAAGAGTTGAGTATATATATAGCAGGTAGGATTCAGATGTTCATTCACTTCATGTCTCTCTCTCCCACACATACTCTACGTATATCCTCACTGGCCATTTTTACGGTACTCCTAACTTACAGACTGTAGTCCATCTGTTTCTCTGTATACATTGTGGCCCCCTGTTTCTCCCTTTTTTACCAGAGGGCTACCACAGAGCAGGTATTATTAAAGGATCATTCTCAGCACTGCAGTAACACTGACATGGTGGTAGTGTGTTAGTGTGTGTTGTGATTAGACACAGCAGTGCTGCTGGAGTTTTTAAACACTGTGTCCACTTACTGTCCACTCTATTAGACACTACTACTTTGTTGGTCCACCTTGTAGATGTAAAGTCAGAGACGATAGCTCATCAGCTGCTGTACAGGTTGTGTTGGTCATCCTCTAGTCCTTCATCAGTGGTTGGTGGATTAGTCTCAGTCCAGCAGTGACACTGAGGTGATTTAAACATTGCTGCATCTGATACACTAGTACCAGTACCACACACACTATGTCAATATCACTGCAGTGGGGAGAATTAACCTATAATACCTGCTTTGTGGTGGTCTTGGTGGGTCTTGATTATTGATGAATGATATGAAAGGAGGCTAACAAAGTATGCACAGAAAAGATCAGCTACAGTTTGCAGTTGCAGAACTACAAAGTGCACATATATAAATTAAATCGACTTGATTCAATGGAAAAAGTAAGTAAATACAAGGCAGCTTTACCTAATAAAGTGGCCAGTAAGTGTATACATAGTGACGTAATTTAATTTGTATTTTTTTTGTAAACACCATTGTAAGTCTTTATTTATTTAAGCACCTGCTATTCCACTCAATTTGTCTGAATTGTGTGCAAGTTGTATGTATTGTGTTTAGGCAGTTAATGCAGTTGTTTCTAAAGGATTTCTGGTATAATCAGTTCATGTGTGCTTACCTGTGAACACAGGTGAGCTTTAAGAATTGTTAACTTTTCAAGACATGATACAGTATGTAGTGTCTTAAAATATGATAATGCATATATAACTTTCTTAGAATAGTGACAGATTATTGATTGATCAGCTGTGTTCACCTGTGTTGTACTTCATTTTCTCCTCTTTGCTTGAGACTAGTTGTACTTAGTACAACAAATATTGTTATGTTTGCTCAACTAAATATTTTAGTGCTGACATATTAGTCAGTAGAACTAGTAATTTACAGAAGGTGAGTGAACAAGATAAAGCTATATATATATATATATATATATATATATATATATATATATATATATATATATATGATAAGATGTAACAGATGGCTGCTGGGCTGTTTCTTTTTCAAAATAGTCTGTACCTTTGTTATTTATGTATTATTTGTGTTATTTGTTGTTTCCTTTGTAATTTACCACTAGCAGTTGTTGACTGTTAAATCTATGCCCACTAATTGCAATTCCTTATGTGTTGTACCGTATTTTTTGCAATGAAATTCTGGCAACCACAGCTGCCGGTAATTTACTGTAAAGTTGAACTTTGCAATAAAATACTGTAATGTGTCATATGGTTGTACTGTGGTTATCACTAATAGATTGTAATTATGTTAACAGTATATCTGTTGTTTTGAATGTAATTTACTTAAAAACTTTAAACAAACAACAGTTTTTGACAGTGAAATTTACGGTTGCCAAAAAAGCATACTGTAATGTCTTATACATTGTCACTATATTTTTTACAGTGAAATTCTGGCAACCACAGCACACACATTTTTTACAGTGTAATTAGATATGTGTTAAATAATCTATTCCGAAATATACATGTATTTAAAAAGTGTCCCCACCCCCAAATCACAGTTGTAATGGACTGGACATTTTTGTAAGTATTGTTTTGGTTTGACTGCTGCTAAGTATTAAAGAGAAAAGACAACACAACTGGTTCTATGATTGAAATGATCCTAATCATTAATCCTACAAGAATAATGTAAATCATTTTTTTTCTTCAACACTCACAGAGACAACTAAGATGACAACAGACAGGTAAGACACATGAGTAAGAGATGTACTTTCTGTTAATCTTTTCCACAGTTCCAACCTGTACTTTAGCAGTCATGTCAAAACAGTTACTAAATCAGTTTTTTATCACCTCATCAACAAGATTAGAGATTTTCTGACTAAACCAGACCTGGATAAAAACTCATCTACGCCTTTATTTCTAGCAGGATTGATTACTGTAATGGTCTCCTAGCTGGACTCAAATCAAACAGCTCCAGCTGATTCAAAATGCAGCTGCCAGAGTCTCACTAGGAGTAAAAGAAGGGATGATGTTTAACTCGGTGATATAAGCCAAGCAGAACTCTCAGATCATTAGGGAAACATGGAGAAGCAGTGTTTAGCTACTGTGCTGCTCTTAAATGGAACCAGTTGGCAGAGAGCATTAGAAGAGCCCCAACATTTCTAGCCCATCTTCTCCAAGCTAGCAGCTAAAGTCAGAAATCACATGACTAACCGCAGTCTGGACAGTTTGGAATTTTACTTTAAAAGAAATACTCAAAAACTCATCATTGTGGAAAAAACAATTTTCTAATTCAATATTAATTTAATAAGCATATATAAACTATTGGTTTTGTGTTTACATTTTAATAGTAACTATTATTTACATGGTGGGCTTAAGTGACATGCTGTCATGGCTAACATTTAAGGACTTACTCATTGTACTTCATTGTACTTCAGGAAAGCCCAGTCCAGATTTTTTCATCTTTTCTGTTATTTCTCTATTTTTCTACATAAATTGCACAAAACCTGCTTATGTTAGAATGGAGATTATTCTTTTGTTTCATTATAAGATTTATATATATAATTAAAACTGAAAATCCACATGCTTACTTAGATTTAGGTGGGCTAATTAGGTGCTTTTTTATTTATCAGTGACTCATTTATGTCACAATATTTCATAAATGTGTCTGCACATGTCGTGAAGGAACTATGTTTTCTGCCACATTTGTAGCTAGGGTGCAAGAGAGGAGAGGTAGGAATTGACAACAAATAACACTAATTATTATTAATAATAGCTACTGTTATTGTGATGTTGGAACATCAATATATTGAAGGAGTGATCTAAGATTTTATACATTTTTTATATTTCTGATATCCAAGTTAATTCTGTTTTACATTTTTTATTGTTCCAGAAGATGATTTTGTGATTCAGAAGGACTTGCTTGTGAACATCCACAACCTATTCCTTAACCTTGAGTCAGACATGGAGGCCTGCTCAAGGCTATGGAGCTGAGTTAACGTGTCTATGTTAAGATTGATGGAGTGGTATTATAACCTAGGATTTCCAAGATAATGTTCTGCACATTTGCACTTAGTTATCCAACCGTAGGTTTGATAAAATTGAATTAGTATTTAATTGTATTTAAAATAACAATAAAGCTATAACCACTCCAGAAAATATGCTCACTAATCTGATAACATGACGTATGTGACTGAAGTACGTTTATTAATTAAAATATTATTTAATTATGGAGTTATGCAACATTTACACATTATAGGCCTGGGTTGTGTCAGAAATAAAACCATTAACTTCTTCCCCTTCTTCTTCTTCCATATATTAGCATTATGACTCTGTCGATGTGTATGCTCCAGAAATAGGGCACATTGAACAGATGGCACCTTGTTCTTAAGGTATGAGATGTCTGTGTACCAATTAGAAAAAAAAATACATCTTTAATGTTTTATTTTTACTTTAATGTGTAAATGTTGTTAAAATATAGTTTCAGATTGCTTTAAGACTCAACCAGCTGAGAACAGTCATGTGACATTTCCTATTGAAAACATATCTCGGAATGCAGAACTGTGGAAATGGACGATCATGAAATATGCTGCTTTTGACCCTGAGGAGTATGGGATGAACTGTGCTGGATACAGTGGAGAAAATCTGTCTGCATGTGATACTGAATAAACTGATGCAGCTCTGTGTTCTTCCTCTTTCTGTCTGCCACAGGATCTACAGCAGGAAACAGTTTGTTAACTGTTTAGATTAAGCAACTGCTTCTGTTACCATTTTAGGGTTTGTAAATGCTGTTTGATTAGACTTTAACCATCAGTCTTGAAATGATGACTATTTCAATGCAGCTTATATTACTCTAGAGATGCATGTGCAACTAATGGTAACCTAATTTTAACCCTTAAATGGCCAGGACCTGCAGTTTGCATAGTAGTCCTTGCAGTTTTCAAATTATAAGGTATGGACTAGGGAGATAATTGACAGTCAGTCTTATACATTCCTTTAAAATCTGTTGCACAGCAGAAACAGTTGCCTTTCAGCGTACAGTGTGACGTCTTTTTAACTATACTAATGTAATATTTTCTAATAAAAAATAAATATTGGTACATTTTCTTATATGCTTCCATCCTCTGAGGTTCTCTAAAGCCAGCATGTTTAGAATGGGTTCTAACAAAACCACTGATAATCCAGAGGTTCAGTTATTAATAATGAAATCACTAATCCTAAACCAAGTTTTATTAAATAACTTTTTTACTGTCACATTTCTGTACATGCAAAAGGATCTTCCTTCATCAATTGTTTTGTTTTTAATACACTACAAAGTGTACTTGTAAAAATAATCACTCGTTAGACATATTTACAGAATACTCATGTGAAACCTGAATGAATAAATAGTGAAAGTACATCAATTTATGCTGCCTATGCGTATTTGTAAATTTTAGATGGCAGTGGACTTTTTGTATGTTGTATGAAGTTTGATGAGTTACTGTTTAATATTAATAAATCTGTACTGTAACCTGTCAGGTTTTGTCTATTTGTTAGCTCCAGAAATAACACTGGTCACACTTTCTTCTCAATGTGGTGATCTGTTTGTGCCCCAGCTGAAAAAATTAGCTTTTATAAGCTTAAATGGCCCACATCATGAAAAACCAACTTCTCCTTGCTCTTCAGGATTAAAAGTGTTTTCATTCTGTATCAAAGTTTCAAGATTTTAAAGTTGAATTCATAGTTTCTGTGATGTCATGAAAAATAATACATTTACATTTATCTGGCCATGCACCCTACAGCAGTTAAGCTCCACACATTCAAAGAGTGGAAGTACTAACATACAAACATGCACTAACCCCCTGGACAACATTAAAGAAGTCTACACATGTTCACATAGTCACAATTCATTTCTACATGATCATTTTACAGCCTCTTTTTATCATTTAGAATTATATTGTTTTTGTTACTGTGCCTTCCGCATCAACTTTGATTCACTCTGACGAAGAAGATCTGGGACTTACAGAAATAAAGGCAGGAACACTTTCTTCTGATGCTGAATGTGGAAATAAAACTCCAGCTCCACTGAGAGCTGGAATCATAGTTCCTGTTTTTGTGGTGTTAGCAGTAGCAGTTTCTCAGAATTAAACATAACACTGTCCAACGCAGGTAAGTGTTTCGTGTTTATTTCACTGATTAGAACCAAAGTTTTGTGTCTAGACTTTTTTTGTGTTTAAGCTTGGTAATAGGCTGTGCTCTAGCGTTTCAAATAATCACACATTTCAAGACATTGCATTAGAGGAACCTGTAAGCATTTTTTTGGTTTGGTGATTGAAATGTTTCATATGAAATGAGTGTTGTTTTTCCCTCCAAGGTGACACCCACCACAGAGACATGTAGGTTGGCAACACAGAGGTAAGAGACATGAGGAAGAAATAAACCTACTTTTGGATGTGTGAAATAATGCAGTCAAATTAAACAAAATGTTATTGTCAAAACAATACATCAATACCTTTAAGTAAAATAATAATTTCCCACAGAGTTTCAGTTTTCAGTAACAGTATTCAGTTCCTAAAGTGAAATCTCAGGGTTAGAAATAACACTTAATGCTCTTAATTTTGCCACAATGGACTCTTAAAAGGAACAGTGATGTTGACCTAAAATGCTTTGGGTTTTCTTCTAGCTGCATGTTCCGAAAATACAGAGGACTGTGGGAATGCCCAACACTGGAAAAGGCTACTAACCTTCAGCAGTATGAACAGCACTGCAAGACAAATAAAAAGACAAAAATATTTTCTGCTTATAAAAATGTAAAAATTTCTATTAAAGAGACCTGTGTGGCTGCAGACATGAAAAACTGAGCACACACACATTTTCTAAACTGCTTATCCTTATGAGTGTGTGGTGCTGGAGTCTATCCCAGCGCTAATAGGGCAGAAGGCAGGGTACACCCTGGAAAGTCAGTCTGGGCCGTTTTAAAAAACTTGTTCCTGCTTTGTTTCGCGTGACTGTTTTGTTGACGTTCAACAGCAGAACCGGTTACGCAGCTGTTCGTGGTGCCAGAAAGGGAACCATTTTTGACACAGAGGTGAGACGGTACATAAAAATCCCAAAAACATTTTCTTAATCAAAAACTTTGATTTCTTTCACTGAGGATTTGTCTCTGTGTTGTCAATGACAGACTATTTAACACATTCTGTCCTTTAGTCCTGTAATATTATTTAACAATGTGAAATCTGATGGACAAAGTTCCTCTCACTGACAGCGCCTGGACTTACTCCAGAGAACAATGATGCTTCAGTTCCAGGATAAAGAAAGAAGAGTGATCTGGCTTTTTACTTTATTTGTTAAGCTGGAAAACGATACAAAGGAAGATTCTCTCACTGCATCACAGTTTTGATGTATGTAATAAGAATGTATCATCTCTACTAAGCTGAGGATTTAATGATAATAGGTACACGTAGACTGTTAAATGTGCATGAGCTCTGTTCTGAGATTGGATGATCAAAAACTGAAAGCTGCACCAGCAGTCTGCTGGTGACGATCCACGGATTCGGGAGCCTTTTAATGATCATAAAAGGATTTTTAAATTTTCAATAAGAAACAGGATTTTTGTTTGAGGATTTTGGAGAATCTGAACTAAACAGAAAAGAGACCGAACTCTCACCGCTATGCCGAGTGCTGGATTTTTCGTGAGGGGCTACAAAAGTAAGAACTTTTTCAAATTCAAATAACCGTTAAAAAACTAATGTTAACTGGAACTTTTTTTCTCAACTAGTTGTCGCATTTTCCTAACTTATATTTTTAGCATTTTTCAGGACTGCCTATGTAAGCTAGCTCTATAAAATACAATTTGCTGGTAATTCACATTTTCAAACTGAGTTAAATCACATGTTCATTCTTTCTTGGACATGAAAATTTAATTGTCTAATCTTCAAGAGATCTTGAGCTCAAATGCTGACAGCACCACACTGCTCCACTTCTGAAGCACTGAAATTTCAACAGAGCAGATTGAGAGATACACTATGAAAAAAAAGAGAAAGAATTAAGCTAGAATATCCTTGTTAGACCTGCTTTCAAATCAAAGTGAAAGTGTAAGCCTGTAGCTTGGACCAGTCTGGAATGTTGCAATAAAACCATATTTTCTAATCAGTTACTGAACAAAATGACAGAATACTTGATTGTGTGTGTTGATGCAGTGTTATAGCATTTAATGATTGTAGGAATGGGAAATCATTTCATTTCAGTAGCTCATGTATATCGTACCATATTTTGGTATTATTCAGTAGTTTACTGTATACCATGTTACCCCACGTGATCTCTTTCACTGTATTATTCTGCACATAGTGCTGCACATTTCTACACTGTATATTCACAGTGTTATCACTGCCATCATTTTCATTCCTTACTGCCAGTCATCTGTACTGTTTGGTGCCATTTCTTTTATTTGTTGTTGTTTGCTGTCTGGTATACCTGTCTATTGTGTTTAATTCCCTTTTTGTATACGCCCCCTGTGTACATCTATTTATATTTTTATTTTTATAAGAAGCATGCTATTATCTGTGTATTTTTGAATACACTGTATTCCGAATACACATGACAACTAACCAGTCTTGAATCTTGAATATTGAATAAACAAGTCAACTGTCTTGGAACATGGAACATGTTTTCCATTTTCTTTTGATAGCACCCCGGTTTGCTTCAAAGGTGGGTTGTTAAATTGTTGCATAGCAAAAATTAGTAAGAAATTCAGAGACTGACTTCAAGTAATAACAGAGAAGGAATAGTTTGCATACATATTCAGTTATGTTAGTCAGTCTGTATCGTAGTCACCTCTGATCTTTGATCCACATCTCTGTGCACTCATTTCTTCTTTAATCTGTTATATTTGCTTTTGTTCATTGTAATAAGGATGAGTGGCTTATAACTTGTAATGAAACCTTTACAGTTCAACCGTTGGACAACAGATAGTTCCAGCTGAATTTGAGGATATCAGTGACAAAGCATCATCTGTAATTTTGATATATTTGCTACTAAAATTAAATAAAATAATGGAAGGCTCAGACAATTCTGGGTGCATATCACCTTAGGTATTACATTCTATGAGTAAAGGTAGTGACCCATGTACTTTGCTGGTTCACCAGTGTAGATGGAATGACTTTGTCAGTGCGAAACAGTGTGCAGAGAGAATGAGATATGAGTTATACAGTCAAGAAGTTATACAGTCTGAAGCTAATACAGTGGGACAGATGAAATGTGCAGGAGAAACGTTTGTTTCTGCTTTTTTAATACAAGACACTGCACCAGCACTTTAAAGATCATCTCTAGACTGGAGATATATTTTCTCATTGCTGTTATTTTCTCCCTAAATTTTGAACTCTATTTATGCACATGTGCCCGCGCTGAATATGAGATGGAGGATGGAGAGTGTTGTCCCATGTGTGCACCTGGTAAGCCAAAAGCTGATGCTTATGGGATTTAATACAGAATTGGAACTGATTAGTTGGAACAGGTTTGTTGGGTGAATGGAAAACATATGCAGGGTATGCGGTATTCCAGGACTAGGATTGTGTGGTAAAAGAGTAAGTGTTTAAAGCATTTATCTTCTACTGTTTTCTTGAATTTTATTTTCGACCTTAGGTCGTATAATACATTTTTTCTGTAATTCAATGTACAAAATAATAATAATTTTTTATTTTATCTACATGAACATTTTCCAGCCCTTTTTTATCCCTTAAAATAGTGAATACAAATACCTCTGCAACTATTTTAGAAAATAATATTTTCTAAAAATGCCACAGTTACTTTAAATTTGATTGACTTAAATAATAGAAAATCAGCAATGGTGGCATGTGCAAAAGTTTGGAAACCCTTCCAGTTGTAAAATCTCAGAACTCAATTAACTGGTTAAGCCTTAACTCACTTGTTAGAACTGGTTAAGCAGGTCAAGCACTGTCATTAGGAATTGTCTACTGATGGCGAGCATAATACATTCTCTGACTCATCACACCATCTGACCATGAAACTAACTGATGCCTACAAAGCAGGGGAAGGCAATAAAAAGACAAAAAAAAACACTTCAGCTAGCAGTTTCCACTGTTTGAACTGCCATTAAGAAATGGCAGTTAAGGGGAACTGTGGAAGTCAAAGTAAGATCTGGAAGACCAAGAAATGTATCCCATACTAGACAGACCTGCTACTGGACAGAAAGGTATGTACATCCCCCATATGACAGCAAAAGAAGGAAGTGATGGTGCACTATTCTAGTGTTCATTGTTGCTCGCACAAACATGAGTTATCAGATGGAAACTTTCATCAGTGCCATGCGAAACAACATCTAGATAAGATAGATGCATTTTGGATAGTGCTGTTAGCACAGTCACCAAAGGTTTGTCTGGAGATAAAAATGTTACTAATTGTAAAGCATGAGGGTGACCCATTATGCTCTGGAGCTGCATGGCAGTTAATGCAATACAATCAAATGTGACACAACTGAAAAGAGGCTGGCTTCTGCAACAGGATAATGAACCAAAACATACCTCAACATTCACCATGAACTACTTCATGAAACTCCAGCTGAAGCTTTTGAAAGGCCCTCACAGACCCTGACTTACACATCACTGATAATCAGTTGGAACATCTTAAACATGCTGTGCATGCAAGGCAGTTCAGGATTGTCACTGAACTAGAAGTATTTCGCAAGAAACAGTGGGTGAAAAAAGACCCCTAGCTGGCTACAAAAAGTGTTTCTAAGCTGTGAAATCTACCAAAAGGGTGTTACTAAAGTACAGACTTTGTAGGGTGTCCAAACTTTTTCCATACTCCAATTACAATTTTACTTTCAATATTAAACTTAATCAAATATAAAGTAATTGTGCAAAAAGTGCAATAATGTGCAAAATGTTATTTAAAAAAAAAACTTTTCACTTCAAAGATCAACAAAACATGTACTTGCACACAACTGAATGTAAATGTGTTGGTTTTTGTGAACAGATGTATTTAAAAGGGTCTGCCTTTGGAGCTTAGTTTTACAAAATATGGACTGTATGATCTTTTGAGTGTATAGTACGTTATGAAACTGCATTACATACTGCATCGCACTCTTCTATTTCAGAAACATGAGGAAAATTCAGTTTTCCATGAAATGGGCCTTTTAAAACTTCAATCTTTAAATCTGTAGTCATGAAAACAATCTGTGCATTTGTGTGTTTCTTTTTGGGAAATCGTGTTTATAGACACTGCACTGAGGATACAAGCACTACATGTGTTCCATGTTTTGATTCAACTTTCATTGATGCACCAAATGGACTCAGAGAATGCTTTCACTGTACAGTGTGTGATCCTGGTGAGTCTGTACTTTATAAGTAGACTTCTGTGTGCTTTGTATTTAACACAATACAAAACATATTCATTATAGTTATACTAACAGCAAATGCATAGGGTCACTTACATTTTACTACATTACATGTTACATTACATTTTACATTCACACACATTTAGGGTCACAACATTTTACTAATTGTAAAGCATAGGAGTGATCTATTATGCTTTGGGGCTGCATGACAGGACAGCAAATATTGCAAAATAGATGGAAAATGAATTCCACCAAATATCAATAAATTCTGGAAGCAAATCTGACACAGCTGAAAAGAGGCTGGCTTCTGCAACAGGACAATGATCCAAAACACGTCTCAAAATTCACCATGCACTACTCATGAAACTCCAGCTGAAGCTTTGAATTGGCCCTTACAGTCCCCTGACTTGAACATTACTGTTAATCAGTTGGAAGATCAGTTGTGTTTCTGTCATTCTAATGTTTTACTTGTATTCCTGTGTAGAGAACAGGTTTTTCTAAATAAAATTAGAAGTGCTATTTAAATAATAATAATAATAATAATAATAATAATAATAATAATTCTTTTTCTTATTATTATTATTATTATTATTATTATTATTATTATTGTTATTATACATATTGAGGTCTCTGTGTTTTTCACAGGTCGGGGTTTAAGAGTAAAGACTGCCTGTACTCGATCATCAGATACAGTCTGTGAGCCATTAGATGGATATTACTGTACTAATGAACACAGTGGCAGCTGTATACTAGCACAGAAACACACAAAGTGCAACCCTGGACAATATATAAAGTACAGAGGTTGGTGTAACATATATATACTAACTATACATCTTTCGAGTAACATATTTTAACCTTTTTTTAAATTACTGGGTTTTTCCGCTTTATTCTCTGTGGCTGAGCAGAACTTGTTTGTTTGCAGGAACAGCATTTAAAGATACTGAACGTGCTGAATGTGCAGATGGTACCTTCTCAAATGGCTCTCTTCATATTTGTCAACCTCATTCAAAGTGAGTGTTCAGTTGACGAAGGTCACTGAATGATTAATCTGATCAGTGAATGACACAATGATCCACACAAGTTTTTTTACAAAATAGTTATTTAAGTCTATAATAATTACAAATATGATTTCAGAAAAATAATAAGAAACAACTTTTACAGATGTTACAGTGTATGGATACACAGCAAACAAGAGTTTATTTGATGTGTGGATTTATGTAAAGCCATAATTTTGAAGAAGGGGGGAATAAATGATATGTCAAGCTTGCAAATAGAATGTGTATAAATACAATGATAACTGAAGTTATCAAATATCAAGATAGTTTTATGGAAAGAAACTCAGCAGCCTTTATTCACAAAGCTTGTAAGAGTAACTCCTCTCTGCTTACATGGTGATTTTGATTGGCTCAGCCACTGAGGTTGAGGAACCTAGGTTGGTTCTGGATGTCCAGAGTCAAGCACTGTTTTGTGATTGAGACTTACTAAACCTGGTAATTAGAAAAGGAACTAGGTAAACTGTAGCAAATTAAAAGTCAGGTCAACTTGAAAACCCATATATCTAGTACTGCATCTCAGTTAAGCTAAGGTGACTCCTTATAACCTTAAATTACCAAAATGATCTTCATATTTCCCCATGCTCAGACAGAGAATACTATCTGGGCTTAGATAAAGAGCAGTTACCTGCAGCCTGTAAGTTAGAATTCAAGTAACAACACAGGGGGGAGAAACTGTGTAAAAATAATACTAAAAAAAATCATTATAAAAGGAGGTAGCCTTATTTATTTATTAAGCTCAACTTAAACTGTGTTTGATTATCTGATTTACATAAAAGGTGGACTTTTCATTAAACCAAGTTGAGAAAATGAATAAAGCTATACAGAAGGTTGAATTAAAGTTTTGAGTAGATCTGACTTTTGTTTTGTACAGTAATGTGTTTGAGAAGGAAAATCACCAAACTGCATCTGGACAAAAGCCCTCCAGGACCAGCATTGCCTACACCTGATCCAGATCATCTGAGTGCTTCTGGTGAACTAGGCAAAGAGAAGTCATATGACTTCACCATTCTTTTTGTTTTACTCTGACAGATGTGAAGATCTGGGACTTACAGAAATAAAGGCAGGAACACTTTCTACTGATGCTGAGTGTGGAAATAAAACTCCAGCTGGTCTCATAGCTGGAATCATAGTACAAGTTGTTGTGATAATAGCAGTGGCAGTTATCATCAAAGTATTTCTCAAAATTAAACGCTAAATGCTGGTAATAATCCATATTTACCATTCAGGAAATGTTGTATGCCTAGCCTTTTATATTTTACCTTTAATTTGAACATATTTTTGAAATGTGGACTGTAATGAATCCAGTGAAATGAATGATTTTTTTTTTCCTTCAGGACAACACCGAACACAAAGACACCTGTCGTGACAACAGGAAGGTAAGACACCAATGTGAGATGTACTTTCTGTTGTAATCTACAGTTCCAGAAACAGCCCCTGTGGGACTGAGGATAAAATTAAACAAAATCATCTCTGGGTTTTGCTATGGCTTCTTGTGCTTACTTAGACCTAAATAATTTTACATTAAATATGTAATAATAATAATAATAATAATAATAAATAATTATTATTATTTATTTATTCATTTTTATTTATTTTAAAATATAGAGCTAAATAATTAAAAATAGCAGTCTGGATAATCTGGACCTCTGTTTTAAAAGACATACTCAAAAACAAATTTGTATGGTGTAAAAACAAAGCATTCCAGTTCTATATGTATTTAATCATCATACAGTTTTATGCAAGTTTGAACACCCCTGACCAAACTGTATTTTCATTTTCATGTTTGTGAGTGAAAATAGGTTAACGCATTCTCCACATATAACTTGTTTATTTATTGAGTGTAACATATTGGAATGAATGAATAAATAAATAAATAAATAAATTATAAATAAATCAATGTGCCATATCTTTTGTACAGATCACATTTTCTGTTTTTTTTTCTCAATATATAACATTTAGCAAATATACAGAAATTGTGTATTAAAATGTGCAGAAGTGTGTTCTCAGTAGAGAATGTGTTCACTTATCTTTACTTAGAAAATTAACTAAACATGTAATTTGACCACGGCGCCCAGATTTTTGCATGTAACTGAACTATTATTTTTGATTTATTTATTATTGTTTTTTTATTTTGTTTAATCTAAGTAATTATGTGAAAGTTGGGCTTTTCATTCTACTACAGGGAAAATATTCATTATTATTATATTATTAAATTATTATCAAATCATTCATTTGTTTCTAATATACACAATCAGTTTAATTTCACAAGTGGAACATAATCGGGCTTATTTGGTACAAGTGGTCCATTTAAGCCCAGTCCAGACTTAACTTTGTTAAATTTAGTTAATTATTTATTGATTTTTCTTCAAATTTGTATAAAATCATCATCATCATTGATGGAGATACACATATTTATGATACCCAAGTTCATTATCTTGAGGTTTTTCTTTTGAATTCTAGATTTCTGATGTGTCCTTGTGCGCAGGGACTTGGAAAGTGACTGTTCTATGAAGAGGATCTTGTGATTGAGAACGACTTGCTTGTGAACATCCACAACCTATCCTGAGAGACGTGGGGGCTGACTCAAGATTAAGACTATAAGCGAAAATTACTTGGTGGAGGTTTTATGAGGCCATTCAATACCTTTAACTCCATAGTGCAGGATCAGTATTATAACCTAGGCTTTTCAAGAGAATGTTCAAGAAATTAGCACATTTTCTGGATAATACAAAGTGTACCACTTCACATCACTGATAAAGTATGACTTATAACATATGATTTGCATTTTATGTGACTACTAATTTGTGTAGAGACACAAACGTTTATCTTTATCTACATTAACTCTATTTACCTGATTTTCAACAGATTTTTAGGGTGAGCAGGAACACATTTGACACATTTGAACTGCACTATAAAAAAACCTGATGAGAAAAGCATTAAAAGTCTCTGTTAGTTCCTGGTTCTTTTGTAATGATGTTATGGTACAGCATGTTACGTTGCCCTGAATGGTTGATATTACAGTTAACTGTTTAAGAGGTTACTTGTGACTGATTGCAAGTGCATTTGATGGTTTCCTAATAGCATCTAAATGGCATTCTACAGGACACTAGTGGCCTCTAATGGTAACTTGGCGGTAATTCCCACAATGAAGCAAAAGCATCAGGTTTCAATCCAAATAGTTCTCATAGACTTGTTATCAGGAAATATTCAACCTAAACATTTACTTCATGTCGTTACAAGCAGTAAAGCGTGTTTTAATGGAGTCAAATAAAGCAAAAGCGAAGCAAAATAAAAGTTCAGATGAAACATGTACTTATGGGTTCGTGTGAAGGGGGCGCACCCAACAGTTGTTGACGAATAGCAGCCTTGTCTGCTTGGTAACACGGTTGGTTTTACTTTCGACTTTGTATCTCTCACGCTTAATTACGATTATTTGCTCTAAATTATGGTTAGAAATACACACCACTTTAATTTAGAAAAAGGACTTTGAATTAACCTGTAACTAAAATGTACTTGCCAATAATTGTCCTAACAGTACTGAGCATACCTTACCTGTAAAAACTGATATTACCTGTGTCCTGATATAGCTAGTTAGCTTGATGATGGAGGTTCAGTAATCGACAGACATTAGCAGTCTTGAAGGTTCAATAGATCCTTAACCATCTAAAATATTAGTTTAAAAAATGAGAGTGTAGAAAAGAAAATGTCTTATGTAAGTGGATCAAATTGCAAATCAAAAGTTTTTAAATCCATCAAATACTAAGTGAGTCAGATGTAAGTTTTAAATCTTGTACATTTTTTTCATTTTGAATTTCGATAACATTTTAGACATTGAACATTTAAATCAGCAGTGTTTGGTGCAGATAAGTTTCAGTAATGACATACAAACTTTGAATTTTACTTGAGGATATAATGTAGCTAAAATACTGCTTAGATTCAAAATGCAGCATTCACTGCAATTAATACAGCTGAAATGCTTTTGAAGGTTAAAATACAAATATTAATATAGAGTAATTATTACAGTACATTCAAAACTCAAAAGTTGTGTATGATTGCTGAAACCTAACTGCACCATACACAATTGTTTGTAGTGTTGGGTGTAATACAGCTGAAATGCTACTGACATTCAAAATTGATAAAAGTTAAAGCAATATATCCAAAATCTAAAAGCTGTGCATCATTGCTGACACATCACTGCACCATACACAGCTGTTTTTAATGTTGTAAATAATGCAGCCGAAATATTATTGAAATTCAAAATATAAAAAAATTAATAAAAAGTAATTGCAGTAATATATCCAAAATCTAAAGGCTGTGCATTATTGCTGAAACCTCACTGCACCATACACAACTGTTTTTAATGTTGTAAATAATGCAGGTGAAATATTACTGAAATTCAAAATACATAAAAATTAATAAAAAGTAGTTACAGCAATATATTCAAAATTGCTGACACTGCACTGCATCATACACAGCTGTTTGTAATGTTGTATATAATTTAGCTGAAATAGTTTTATAATTTATATTAATGTTTATGTATTTTGAATTTCAGTAGCATTTCAACCACATTACATACATCACTGAAACCACTGTATATGGTTCAGCAAGATGTCAGCAATCATACACATCTTTTGGATTTTGGATGTAATGCAATAACTGCTTTATATAAATTTTTATTTATTTTGAACTTCAATAATATTTCAGCCACATTACATACAACACCAAAAATAACTGTATGGTGCAGCTAGGTATCACCATTCATACACATTTTTTTGGATTTTGGATCTAATGCAATATCTCAATTAAATAATTTTTTATATATTTTGAATTTCAATTATATTCCAGTCACATTACATACAGCACTACAAAGAATTGTGTACAGTGCAGTGAAGTGTCAGCAGTCATACACAGCTTTTGGATTTTGGATCTAATGCAATAACTACTTTATATTAATTTATTTAATTTGAACTTCAATAGTATTTTGCCCATCTTACATACAACATTAAAAACTGTGTATGGTGCAGTGCATTGTCAGCAATGATGCACAGCTTTTGGATTTTGGATATATTGCTGTAACTACTTTTTATTAATTTTTATGTATTTTGAATTTCAATGATATTTCAGCTGAATTATTTACAACATTAAAAACAGTTGTGTATGGTGCAGTGAGGTTTCAGCAATAATGCACAGCCTTTAGATTTTGGATATATTACTGCAATTACTTTTTATTAATTTTTATATATTTTGAATTTCAATAATATTCCAGCTGCATTATTTACAACATTAAAAACAGCTGTGTATGGTGCAGTGATGTGTCAGCAATGATGCACAGCCTTTAAATTTTGGATATATTGCTTTAACTTTTATCAATTTTGAATGTCAGTAGCATTTCAGCTGTATTACACCCAACACTACAAACAATTGTGTATGGTGCAGTGAGGTTTCAGCAATCATACACAACTTTTGAGTTTTGAATGTACTGTAATAATTACTCTATATTAATATTTGTATTTTAACCTTCAAAAGCATTTCAGCTGCATTAATTGCAGTGAATGCTGCATTTTGAATCTAAGCAGTATTTTAGCTACATTATATCCTCAAGTAAAATTCAAAGTTTGTATGTCATTACTGAAACTTATCTGCACCAAACACTGCTGATTTAAATGTTCAATGTCTAAAATGTTATCGAAATTCAAAATGAAAAAAATGTACAAGATTTAAAACTTACATCTGACTCACTTAGTATTTGATGGATTTAAAAACTTTTGATTTGCAATTTGATCCACTTACATAAGACATTTTCTTTTCTACACTCTCATTTTTTAAACTAATATTTTAGATGGTTAAGGATCTATTGAACCTTCAAGACTGCTAATGTCTGTCGATTACTGAACCTCCATCATCAAGCTAACTAGCTATATCAGGACACAGGTAATATCAGTTTTTACAGGTAAGGTATGCTCAGTACTGTTAGGACAATTATTGGCAAGTACATTTTAGTTACAGGTTAATTCAAAGTCCTTTTTCTAAATTAAAGTGGTGTGTATTTCTAACCAGAATGTAGAGCAAATAACACAATTAATCAGATGTGTATAGACACAGTGTTTATGGAGCTATTGACGTTTCATTGTCTGGCGGTGTCTATTGTTAGCATGAACAATTAAAATATGTATTTAAATGCACAAAAACGCTTTGGAGGAAAACAGAGGCATGTGCATGGATGTAGGCGTGGTCTAGAAGTGCATGCTTTTTCTTCCCATTGAAAAACGTGTCTCAGTTCTATGGTATTAACACAAAAAGAGTGGTACGTTAAATGTCACCCAAACTGCAAAAGCACAGGTGTGCATCACTCTCTGTGGTCGTCCTGTCATGAAGTCTTTACTGACTACTGTAGTCCAATCAAATGGTATTAGCGCCGAAAAGACGAATATCGAACATAAAACTACCACGATAAAGTTTGTTTTATTTTAATTTTTAAATCCATAGAACTGAGACAAGTTTTTCAATGGGAAGAAAATGCACTTCTAGACCATGCCCACATCCATGCACACGCCTCTGTTTTCCTCCAAAGCGTTTCAGTGCATATTTTAAATACATATTTTAATTGTTCATGCTAACAATAGACACTGTCAGACAATGAAACGTCAATAGCTCCATAAACACTGTGTCCATGCACATCTGATTAATTGTGTTATTTGCTCTAAATTATGGTTAGAAATACACACCACTTTAATTTAGAAAAAGGACTTTGACCTGTAGCTGAAATGTACCTGTATACCGATATAGCTAGTTAGCTTGATCACGGAGGTTCAGTAATCGATTAGCAGTCTTGAAGGTTCAATAGATCCTTAACCATCTAAAATATTAGTTTAAAAAATGAGAGTGTAGAAAAGAAAATGTCTTATGTAAGTGCATCAAAATGCAACTCAAAAGTCTTTTAAATCCCCCAAATACTCAGTGAGTCAGATTTACATTATTTTTCCATTTTGAATTTCGATAACCTTTTAGACATTGAACATTTAAATCAGCAGTGTTTGGTGCAGATAAGTTTCAGTAATGACACACAAACTTTGAATTTTACTTAAGGATATAATGTAGCTAAAATACTGCTTAGATTCAAAATGCAGCATTCACTGCAATTAATGCAGCTGAAATGCTTTTGAAGATAAAAATACATAAATATTAATATAAAGTAATTATTACAGTACAGTCAAAATTCAAAAGTTGTGTATGATTGCTGAAACGTAACTGCACCATACACAATTGTTTGTAGTGTTGCATGTGATATATCTGAAATGCTATTGAAATTTAAAATGTATAAAAGTTAATCAAAAGTATACATTATATCCAAGAGCTAAAGGCTGACATCTCTCTGGAGCATGCACAGCTGTTTTTGATGTAATATATAATGCAGCAGAAATATTATTCAAACTCAAAATCTATAAAAATTAATACAATTTGTTACACCATTATGTCCAAAATCCAGAGACATGCATCACAGATACAGTAGTTACAGTAAAATATTCAACAACTAAAGGTTGTGCATCATTGCTGACACCTTGCTGCACCACACACAGCTGTTTTTAGTGATGTATATAATATATCTTAAATATTATTATATAGAGTAGTGACTGCTTATGAAAGTTGGCTGGTTTGATTGGTAATTTCCCTATTGCATAAGGACACTACAGCAAAAAGATATTTATTTTTATTAGTAGCTCAAATTATGGCAGTACACATTAAAGAAGGCCAATTTCGAAGCATAACAGTATTGGGAAAGGAATTCAAGTTGTGCCAATTGGCTGATGATACTACGCTTTTTCTTAAAAATAATACAGAGGTTCAAAAAGCTGTGGAATGTATTGAAAGAATTTTCACAGGTATCTGGTCTTAAAATGAATACAAACAAATCTGTACTGTTTCCATTAAAATCATGTGACTTAACAGAAATAAATGGAATAGCTATCAAAAACAAAGTCACAAATTTAGGAGTTGTTATAGGAAAAGATGAGATTGAACGTAGTATGGCTAATTTGAAACCTGTCCTTGAAAAAATTAAAAAAAGATTTAATCTCTGGCTACAGAGAGATCTTTCACTGAATGGAAGGATTGTATTAGCCAAAGCTGAGGGTATCTCCGGATCTGTTTATATATCTTTATCTTTAGATATGCCCCGTAACATCTGGCAAGAGTTGGGTAAAATGTTATTCAACTTTATGTGGAAGAATAGACCTCATTATTTTAAAAAGGATGTTTTATGTAATAATAAAAGTAATGGTGGTTTAGAAGTTTTAAGTTATGAAACCTTAAATAATACATTCAAAGTTAACTGGCTTATTAGGCTAATTCAAGAAAAAAAATAATATACGGAACACATTTCCAAAGTACTTGTTTAATTTAATAGGTGGTATAGAATTCTTGCTGAGATGTGACTATAAGATTGAAAAATTACCTGTTAAACTGTCCAAATTTCATAGACAGGCTCTACTAGCTTGGACACTGGCCTATAAGCATAATTTTTCCCCTCACAAAGGTATTATGTGGAACAATAGGAATATCAATTTTAAGAATAAATCTCTCCTTTTTTAAAAAAAAAAATGGTTTGATAATAATATTATATTAGTGAAACAACTTTTGAATGCTGATGGCTTTTTTGGTGACATATAGTGAATTCCTTAATAAATTTGGAGCGCCATTCACAACTAACTGTGTGACACTATACCACAACAAATGTTACAGCTTCTCAAGCGTTCAGCAAATAGTGATATGGATGTCATAGGGAATGGTCTTTTTATTGGGGACATTGATATCCTTAAATATAAATGTACAAACAGGTATATCAGGAAAGTAATATCCAATGAAAGAATTTATAAAAAAAAAACATATTGGTTTATGGGAACATACATTGGAATAAAACATGGACAATTTGTGATAAATATTGTATAATTTTACACAACATATACCCTGTTAAAAGTGTTTTAGAGAGATTTAGAATTATTAATGAATATTCCTGCACCTTTTGTGGTTTGGAAAAGGAAACAATTATCCATCAGTTTTACCAGTGCACTTATACTAAAGTGTTTTGGATTGATGTGGAAAACTTTGTAAGAAGAAAGACTGGACACAGTATTACACTGGATGTTTCTGATGTTATTATTTCTTTTTCTATAGACAGATTTGATGTTAAAGTATTTATTTTTGTACAATACTTAGTTATTATGGGTAAATGTTATTTACATAACAAGAGATGGACTGATTATAAGCCAAAAATTACACATTTCCTCCATCAGCTTAAGGTGTATGGCACATCTTTAAAATATATATATATATATATATATATATATATATATATATATATATATATAAAAAACAAGAAAGCAAAAAGGACTTCAGAATTATATGTTGATTATGATTTAATAATAATAATAATAATAATAATAATAATAATAATAATAATAACACCGGCGAGAGGATTCCGCCATTGCTTATCCAAACCGGAAGTGCTAAAACACTGCTTCGGCCTTTTACAGCCTCCCGGAAATAGGAAGTGTGAAAAAGGCGTATTCACACAACGCCTGGGTCTTACTTTCAACGTTGTATTCTGGCCACAGAAACAGGGTTCCAAGTATTTTGTGAAGACTACATGTCGTAAGATTTTGCGTTTGTTATCAGCGACGTTGTATTCTACATGATACATACAGCACGGTATTGTTCTAACGTGGCACCCGAAGATGGATGAAAAGGAATAACGTACATCTGAAACATCAGGAAGTGATGGCTAGATGGTCTCCGAGTTTACTAAAATGTCACATTCCTCCATCTTGCTTGAAAAAAAGGATGAAATGCCTGTTCCTAAGATTTAGTTTGTATATATTTGGTAAGTAAAAAGTACAATCTGTTCAGAAGTCTGCATGATACGGCTCTTTTTACCCGAAGTGTACAGTAAGCTATAATGAGATCTGTATAATGTGGCTACTGTTTCCTGAAGTACTATGAGAGCTCATTTAGTCCACCAGATAAACTCCAAATCGTTCATTTTGATTAAAGTGGGAAAATGTTCCTAACATTAGCTGAACAAATGCAGTCTGAGCTTCTAAAGTACACTTGCTGTGTTTATGTTAGGTTTCCTTTCTGAATAAATGGAACCAGTTAATAATTGCATTTTTGTGTCCACACAGGTGTTCATATTATTCTCACTTATGGATGTGATCCAACCAGTTATGTATCAGTAGCTGGAGATTGCTGTCCCTTGTGTCCTATAGGTATGGCATGGTGGTATTGTGCAATTTAATTAAATCATTAATAGTTGACAACTGGCTAGTTTACAGACACTAACATCATTTTTCTAATACAGTAAAACTACAAAGTTTATAAATAAACATCATACAACAGTAAATCAATGACCATGTGTGGTATAGAAATAAGGCAGTTTAGTAGCTAATGTAGACTGTGTTTCAAATCAGTTAAAAACCTTACACATAATGTATTGATGCTATAATGAGTGACTGATTATTTTGGATTCCATTTGAATGAAGGTATAGAACAGCTGTCACTGCTAAAACAGGGCATAAGCTTACCACTTTGTAACTATTAGTCTATGCCCTACAGTATAATTTTAGAAAATGGCACTATAAAATGAATTATGGATAAAATGGGAATAAATTCATTATTACTAATTTGTATAAAAAAAACATAAAGAAAGATCAAAAGCCTACTAAAGGCTATGGGTGAAAGCAAAACTCAGATTTACAAAAGCTACAAATAGACAAATTAATTAATAATGTAATAGTACTCTGGTGATGTGAAATACTACACAGATTTCTGACTGACACATTTGCTAATCTATGCAGTTTAATTGCTAAAGAAATCAAGGACTATAATTACATTCACGTAGTAGTTCTAGAGTGCTTATTATTGTATTTGATTTTGTCTATCATTGAATTTCTCTAAATCATTTTTGATTAGTCATTATAAAAAAGTTGGGACAGTATGTGAAATGGTAGCAGTAACAGAAAGCAGTAATTAGTAAATTCTGTTTGATCTGTATTAAACTGAAAACATTACATAAACATGATATCTGATGGTTTCCAAATTTGAGAAATGTGATGACCTGATTTCATATTTGATGCCTGCAACACATTCCAAAACGTTGTTACAGGAGCATGTTTACCACTGCGTTACATCACCTTTCCTATAACACTTAATAATCATCTGGGGTCTAAAAGGTGATTTTTGTGCTATTCTTCCTCCATCCAATATTGTGTAATGTTCACCATGGTCAATGGAAGACTGGAGTCTGGATGGCAGGCAGGCTGGTTTCTGATTAGGCAGCCATGCTGTTGTAACACATTAACAATGGTTTGGTTTTCTCATTGAAATAAACATCAACTTCCCTGAAAAAGACTAATACTTGATCATAAATGACTAGGCCTTTTCAGAATATTCCTTCTATATCCAAGCCATCACCAGTTTAAGATGTTTTTTGAACATTTCACATTTCTATTTTTAATCTATCTATCTTTCTATCGTGCCTGTCCCACTATTCTTAGAATGTGTTGCAGGCATTGATTTCAGAATGAGCATACTGTATATTTACAAAAAACAATAAGTTGGAAAGCTAAAACATTTAATATCTTCTATTTGTACTTTTTGTTTAAATACATGTCAAAGCGGATTTACAATTCACTGTTTCTGTTTTTATTTGCATTTCACATTCTGTCCCAACTTTTTCCTAATTGAGGTTTTTTTTTATTTTTTATTTTTTTGCTAATCAAGTCATCAAATCTGTTTCTTTCAATTATAAGCCACCGCAATCCCCTGCTTACATAAGTCAAACATTCTGTTACAAGTTTTTTTCTAAACTTTTTTGAACAGTGTATTTAATAATGTTTAACATTTTTTGTGATTCAATGCTGTGTCTTTCATAAATTACACGTTAACGTATCTTGATGTGTTCTAGTTTACTTGTGTCTAGTGACTGCAAAACCTTTAAAACAAACATTTAAAACAATGGCTTTCTCTCCTCTCTAATCAGTAAATTTCACCTTATCTTGTGCTTTGCAGGGGCCGTGGTCCTCAGAGACTGCATTGGTGATTCCAATACCACATGCGAACCTTGTGACAGTGGAATGTTCATGAATCAACCCAATGATTTTAACAAGTGTTTTCCATGTAAAACTTGTGACAGCGGTAATCATCTTTCATTTGTGTGTTTTTAATTATCATCTCTAATCTACAGATGTGTATAATTTGCTCATTGAATGTGTTTTGTGTTTTTCTTATGTGACATTTCAGCAAAAGGCCTTTACGTTTCACACACCTGTACTATAAAAAGCGACACAGCGTGTGAGGTTATGGATGGATATTACTGTAAGCAATACTCAGGCATTGAATGCACTTTTGCCTTGAAGCACAGACAGTGTGGCCCAGGAGAACAAATAATGGCTCCAGGTGGGTACTGATGTTGTAGACTTGTCCCTAATCACTGACATTGTACACCAAGTACAACCACTTTATACATTTGCCAGAGCAATGTACTTACACTGTGCTAAATGTACATACTGTTTATATATGTAATACACACACACACATACATAAATAATATTGACAGTTGTTACATGCTGATGGTTTGACTTGAAAATACAGATAAAAGAGCATGCTTCATCTTGGGTTTAGGCAGTAAGATAATTGTGTGGAAAAGTTCTCCTGTAACACAAGTAAAATTGTCAATTTTTATTTGAAATTCTCTCTTCAGCATGTACACAACCATTTAGTTTGTGCATGTTGTATCAAAGAACGTATTTATGCCATTGTTGTGTTCAGAAATGTCCTGAAGTGTGATTTTGGACTAAATTTTGAGAGTACCAAAAGTGTCAAGAGGTCACATGCATCAAAAAAATTAAAAACCCCCTTAGACCTTACAAGAAAGCACGTTAAAGGAAAGAAGAAAGAGGAAATGGCTATATCTGACCAGTTCTTTGCACCCACTGGACATTTTTACAATCAGTAACTTTTGTATCATCTTACATAATGACACTGATGTGGTCTGGAGCCTAATTTGGGATGTAATCATCCAGCATATAATAATCTAAACTAAAACTGATCTAGTATGCTGTTCTTATTCTTGCATTGTATGCTATTGCAGGTGTTTGAGTTCTCCTGGATTGAGAATGGGAAACATTGTGTTAGGACTAGTTTGTCATGCCAGTGCTTCTCCATCTAGCCTTGGAAAAATACAATTTTTAAAAGTTGCCATGTGTAAGCATAATGCTCCACATATTAATGATATATTTGCAATGTGTTTGTAGATCCTTTCCTTTAATGCGTCAATATTTATTTACAGGGACTAAAGACTCAGACACTGTGTGTGAGCCATGTCCACCAGGATTTTACTCTCCACTGGGTATAAACTGCGTTAAACTGACTAAGTAAGTGAACATTTTGTTATTTTTGGCATTAAAGTTTTAAGCATTAAAGTTTTATTTGTTTCTTCCATATTTTTTCTGTCACTGTGTTTTGCACTTAAATAGTAAATGGTATGCTATCTTTATTTAAGCTGTTCAGTCAAAGATGAGATCAAGGACAAAGAAGACAGTTCTGTAGATGTTCAGTGCACACCAGCATCAAGGGGGAGATATGGCCTAATAGCAACTGTAGTTCTTTTGTTACCAGAAGTTTTGTGGTTAGCATTTTCATATGTGAAACAAAACTGTCTGGTAACATCAAAAGAGACTAAGTGTAATGGTGAGTATTTTTAAGATTGTCTTTAATTGAATCATAATGGGGGAGTACTATGAACCTCCTGTATGTAAGACTGTATCTTTCTCTAGGACTGTGAATATTTGATTAGAAGGAAGTTAGTGTTGTCTGTATTTCATTAAAGTCATTTTCCTGACACAGTAAGTGTGCAACTTATGAAAGGTGTAGTGCATATTGATTTTTAGTGGAAAATATAGCAGGTGACATGCAGTAGTTATTACCATGTGCTCAGACATCAGAAGTAATCAAAATATTTATTTAAACTGTAGTCTAGTGCTGGCATATTTTAGGTAAATGTTTTACAGTACTGATCTTGTTTTGTTTGTTTTTCAGGTAACAACACAGACGCATCAGGAAAAGTGAGTGCTGACTTATTCTATGCTAATTAGTAAGGAGTGTAACAGTGCATCTTGACTTTGTAATATCACAGTACAAAACTCTGACTGTATGCCTCATAGAGAAAGGACATTCTATTAATTATGCCATCTAATTGAGCAAAATTCTGAGGAAGCCTCACCTCCTTTAGTTATTGTTGCTACATCAATCAGACTGTCAGTTCAGACTACCACATGGCATTCGTAACACTCGTCAGACTAAAATATTCAGTAGTACAAAAGAAAATTCATAAGCACATATTACATGAATCAAACCAGGGACATCACTTAGCCACTCAGCATTAAAGCGGTAATAAGAAGGTGAATTTAGTAATGGAGGCTTCTCCTTCAGATGAGCTAACACTAAGCTAGTCAATGATGGGAATTATCTAGATGTATTCAATGAGCCAAATCGTGGTATTCACGAAGTAGAACTGATCTTGGATCTGATTTCTTTGCATTTATGAAGGTCATTGTCACGAAAACGGATTCTAGATTCGCAGTAATACTCCTGAGCAGTTCCACCCTGTTGTCTAAAGTGGCTACCTGCAGTTCTGTTTATTTTTATAGTTCCTAAACGCTACAGAATCATGTCTGTTTTTAATGTAGTGCCGCCTGAGTGACCAAAGATCACAGCCATCCAGTATTGTTTTTCTGCCTTCTCCCTTGCATACACAGATTTCTCCAGATTCTCTGAAATATTACTGAATTTTACGTTATTTGATTTGACATTCAGTTGTTGACTACATAAGATGTTGATATAACTATTAGGCTATTTCAGTACAGAGTATATGGCACTGGATCATGATGCAAGTTAGACATTATGATGTTCTGGACCTTTGCATGAGAAATTTTTCTCTAACTGTACCTTACTGAATTTTAATTAAAAACCCCTGGTGTAGAGCTTCACTGCTTTAATGCCTCTGATTCACCTCATAAATGGCTTAGTGGTTGATTTAAATGTGTTTAAACAAGGACGACACTGAAACCTGCAGTGCTGCGACCCTCCAGAAAAGCATTTTCCTGACCAATTTTCTGATTAATATTTTTATGAAGAATTTTAAATAAAAATCATTTATTAATTGAAATATTTAACAAAGTGGTTAGGAATGTCCTCTTTTTTTAATAGTTAAAACAGAAACATTTCCCAAAAGTGGATTCATATTGCTACTAAACTCTTATTTATGCATGTAAAATAACAGCTTGTTCTTGCAATAGAAAGTGAATGTTTCTTTTATTACTTTCTTCAAGAGTTGAGACCGGGGAAGAGGATTTATTACAGCCTTAAAGTGAACTCATCACTTCTAAAGAGGACCAACTAGCACTGTAGAGGGAGCTGATCACGACCTGCAGACTTCGCTTGTGGACACCAGGCAGGCAGAGGTGTAGCACATCAAGAGTGGAAGTCTTGAGTTCAGTTTTTATATTTATGTAAAAACTACTGCAGTGGTACGTGGACAAGCTCTCAGTCAGATAAACAAATTCTGTATGCCATAGTAGAAAGTGGTAAATCTGACCAGACATTACATAACAGCTTTAAAAGTTAAAGCAGGTTTTGCATTTTTTAATGCAACTTTAACAGTATTAGGGCTGTGGTGCCTGCCTGGGGAAGAACTGTCACACGCTGACTGGGAAACCTGATGAGAGCTCATAGACACACACAACCACCAGCGCAAGTTAACCGGTGTGCTTTACTTACACATTCTACGTGACACAAAACCATGCAACCCATGCATTTAGTTGGCACTGTTTCTCATCAGGTTGGTGTGTCTGGGCCCTTTAGACACAACGCAGCATTTATATACTGGTTTTAACAATGCCATCTTAAGGGCTTTTACATTATTGTGTTAGCTTAAGTGAATATTTGTTAGATAAGCCCTCGAGTGAAAACAGTTGTCGAATTAAGCAGCAGAAATCATTGTGACCTGATGTAATTCTTTTTTAATTCTGAAAGAATGACACACACAGTCATTTATAAGCCATAGCTTAGTAGTAGCAGTAAACCTCTTTAAAATGCTGAACATTTCAAAACTATAATATTGGATTTAATGTGTTGCAGACTATTCCATCTGTTATACATGACTGCTGATACAACTTCATTACTCTGCTACCTAGCTAGTTAGCATGCTAGGCTACATGGCTAATAACAAAAAAAGGCAATACACTACTGCTCTACAACAGTGTTTATAGCTAGACAAGGCAATTATTCACAGATTTTATGTAGTAATGTTTAAGCCTCTCGTCCACTCCTCTTCTTCTGCTATAAGTGGTCACTTGTATAACTCAGGAGTGACACAAATTTGAGTTGTGAGTTGTGAACTGAAACAGCCCCTCAGCTGCATAAAATCTGCATTACTACTCTGCAATAGCTTTGGCCACTTAGGTGAATGTAGGAGGGGCACAAAAGAAGCACATTGTTTGCTGTCTGAGCCACTGACTGTATATACTTCCAAACACAGCTGAAGTGTCACCACAATCACTTTAAAACAGCCTCTTCTGCATTAATTCAAATATTCAACCACCCAGTAACTTCAACCAAAAGAAACCTGTGGATGCTGATTCTTAGATGTATGTTATTATTAAGTTATTAAGTTTTATCACATATAGCTTGATTTGTATCTCGACCCATGTTCATTAGTTATCTTGAATTGAAGTCGTGAAACACTAACACCAAATTTACACTGATCAACCATAACATTAAAACCACCTCCTTGTATCTGCATACTTTGTTAGCTCCCTTTCACCTTGTTCTTCAGTGGTCAGGACCACCTTAAAGCAGGTACAATTTGGGTGGTGGATCATTCTCAGCACTGCAGTGACACTGATGTGGTGGTGGTTTTGTGTGTGTTGGGCTGGTATGAGTGGATCAGACACAGCAGTGCTACTAGAGTTTTTGTATGCAGAGAAACAGATGGACTACAGTCTGTAACTATAGCGTCTACCTCCGTGGTAAATGGTGCTAATAAAATGGACAGTGAGTGTAGGAGGAGGTGGTTTTCATGTTATGGCTCATCAGTGCACACTCCTGGGCAAAAAATGGGCCAAGCCCAAAATGGCAAAACAGTAAGCTTGTAATGGTCTTAACAACAAATCATTAAAAAAATAGATAAAATAACTAATTATGGGACAGCTTTTCCTTTGATTTCTTTACATTTTGTTTGTAAATTTGCAGAGTCCTTTACAGAAAGAAGAGTTATTATTTTTTCACTCAGCATTGGCTTCAAACACTTGAAAAACATTACATTTACATTTACAGCATTTAGCGAACGCTCTTGTCCAGAGCGACTTACAAAAATGCTTTGTTGTCAACTTTGCTAGTTACAAATAGGTTAGAGAGAAAGCTAGTCCTGAGCTCAGATACTGCTAGAAACAAAAGAGTTAAACATAGTGAAATACATTTCAGTAAGTTCAGTGCAGTACATTACAGTAAGTACTTTACTTAAATCTGGACTCTGACCAGGCCAAAACCATCAGTAAAAAGCATTATATTCAGGGCTTGGCCAATTTTTTTTGCCCACGAGTGTATAACATGCTCTTTTACCTAAATGTATTTTACTACTAATTTTTAAAACATTGGTAAATGCATTTTGTATTTTTGTTGAAATTAAGTCAAAGTTTTGTAATGTCTTGTTATCTTGTGTTTTTAGCATCTTTGCACTAGGGGAAGAATTGTGATTATGAGTGTAGATTCAATATGTGATATGAATTGATGTTTAGGGAACAGAAACAGCGAACGCAGCTTCATTGCTGAGTAATTCAGGTAAATGAGTACAGAGGTGAAATAAAAGCCTTAACTTTTCCGATTTAGATGTCTGAATATATAAGAGATAGCTTTAAAGTGTAAAGATAATTAATAAACTTAACAACAAAGGTTAGGTGGCTTGAAAATATGACAAAGTCAGTAAACCTGAACAGCTCCTTTAAACTGGTAATGATTTCGTAACTTAAAAATTCATTAGATTTGATACCAGGTTAGAACCATCTATTAATTTACAACCCTGTTTCTTGAAACTGAGAAAACACCGTTTTTTTTTTTTTCAAAAAATATATGGCCGTTTTGAATTTGACGCCAGCAACACGTTTCAAAAAAGTTGGGACGGCACAACAAAAGACTATATAATGCTAAAACAAACACCTGGTTTGACACCTCTTAACTAATTAGGTTAATTGGCAACAGGTCAGTAACAATATTGGGTATTAAAAGAGCATCCCAGACAGGCTAAGTCTTTCAGAAGTAAAGATGTGAAAGACTTGGTGGGCAAATTGTGCAACAATTCAAGAGTAACGTTTCTTAATGTAAAACAGGGATCTCATCATCTGCGGTTCCACTTTTTTGGAAACGGGGTTGTATGTTTGAAGGAATCTTCTATAAACAAATTAAAATCTTTTCAATGTAAAATACTTTGTTTAGGAATATATTCCTAGGAATAATAGTACTTTGGCTTTTGTGTCTCTGTGAGGCGTGCAACATTTTCCTTGGGAAGGACGCTGTGACATTGATAAGGTCTTCTTTAAGCGTTTAGTGAAGCCTTTGTATGTGAGGGTATGTGTGTTTGTGTATCGTGTTGACCTGTTGTGATTACTTTTCTCTGTTTTTTATCCATTGCTTTTTTGTATTTTCTTTTTCATGTTCCTGTAATCCTCAAACATCACTCCAAAATTAAAGTCCTCTTAAAGTGTGCAGATTATTTAACCAGTCTTCACAGCTAGTTAGTTGAAGCTGGGTGAAACCTTAGTGGACATCTTGGCATTTCAGTAAATCTGAGCTCTGACAGAGGCTTTATAAAGGTGAACAAAAGGTGCTGTAAGAATATAACTAGTCTAGGAATAAACAATGAGAGTTATAGGTATAGGACAGAGGTCAGCAACCTTTAGGGTTAAAGGGTGAATTAGCAGTTATAGGCTACATTAACTCCAGCGTTTAAGACCATTTATTGTGTTGGAATGATCAGCAGAGCTTTATTTTACTGCAAAGGAGGATTATTTTAGTTTTTCCTAAAACTCTAATTCTGCTGTGGAGCCGCAACAGAGCAGTAAAGCCGCATGTCGCTGACCCGTGGTATAGGATAACTGAGAATGGAAATTGACACCTTAACATAAATTTTATTCAAATTAGCCTTTTATGATCAAAGAACATACAATTATTCTGTTAATTCCTAATTATTTTGTCAAAGCACAAACATTTATTTATTCATTTTTTTAATTAAGGCATATTTAATGTCATTTAATGTGTGTGCCAGGAAGGAGGGCACTTACATCTCGCACAGACCTTTCTGCTGTCTGTGCCAAGAGCATATACACCAATCTATCAGTCAGTCAAAATGAGAAATATGTTAGATATGTTGAGATTTATGATAATTTCACTTGCCAAGAGACTTTTTTCCTGAAGAATTCTTCTTCCGGGTTTTTGGTTTTAGACCCTCCCGAGTGCTGCATTAGCGCCCACTTCTGGCAGCTGGCTGCAAATGTTATGCGTCTAAGCATCGATTTTTGTCGAGTATGAACTGGACCATAGACTGTACGGTATGGACCAGTCACAGCGAAATAAAACATGATTGTCTTTTTCTCTATCTGTGTATTGAAATGTCACCTGTAGCTACAAGTGACGTGGTCAGTTGAGGACACACCCAGTTAACCACGCTTTCACTTTCAGATTTGTATGGCTGAAGCTATGGAGTTCATTAAGTGCCATAGGAACCGAATTCCGCGGTTTAGTCTGTATAATATCCACTAATAACTCAGTATTTCAGTACAGTATTTCAGCAGCGGTGTCGACTGTGATTCAGGCGGCGGAATAATCGACTCGAGTAGATGCACGACTTAACTGCAGTTATATAGTGAGCTATAGAGAGGTCATGAGCTACAGATCAGACAGGAACGGAAACGATTCATTTTACTTTCACATTTGTTCTCTTTCCACAGACACAGAGTTTAAAGTATTTTGTGAAAAAGGAAACCTCGTAACATTTATACGCTTTTTATCAGCGACGTTCGTTGTTTTATTTATTATTTAGGTTTATCAGCGACGTTGTATGTTTGACATTCATCATGTTATTCGAAAAAAGAATGAAAATAACGCTCCAAAGAATTATTGTGTACATATTAGGTAAGTACAGATTGTATATATGGTTTAGAAGTCTGCGTGATCTGGCTCTTCACTTCTTTACACGATGTGTACAGTAACGTCTGTTGTTCTATAGAGGATGAAACTATTGATCATTTATTTTGAAAATGCTCATATATTCACTTGTTTTGGTCCGATATTCGTACATGGTTGTCAATAAAAATAGATAACATTCCCCTATGCGCCTCACCTGGGCACCTGAGGTTGCTAACTGGACCCTAGACTGGTCAGTTGGTAGATTTATTAATCAGTCCATATATTTATTAATGAGTGTACAAAGTAATTGTCAATACTTAATCACTTAGTAATCACTTTACTTATTTTCGTACTTTCAAAATAATCAGTCAATACATTTGATCATAGTGTACAAAGTAATGATCAAAACACAATCACTACTTTTTGAGCTACATATTCGTTTGTGTATCATTTTATATTAACAGGCAAAAACCTCCATATGTTTGTATCTAGCTTGTATAAGGTATTGAAATGAATAGAATGATTAATGCTGCTTTTACCCAAGCTTGGCTGCAACTGCCTATTTTAAAACTCATCTGTTTGTGTCTCCACAGGTGTTCATATTATCCTCACGTATGGATGTGGCCCAAGTGAATATGAGTCAGCAGCTGGAGAGTGCTGCCCCATGTGTTCTTTAGGTACTTACTAAATACATCACATCATTGAAAGCAGAAAGATAAAGCTAGTTCATCCTGCTAATACAGTATAATGATAAAGTGGTAATAATAGTAGAAATTAACCTCATACATCATTCAGTCAGCCAATTCTTTCTGTTAAATTCTAATGAAAAAATAAATTAAAAAGTAGTTAAAAAGCCTTTCAATTATCTGTTAACATCTGATGTTGCCTTTCAACTAATATTCTCTAAATCATTTTGGGCTGTTAGATGTGTTCAGGAATGACTTTTTCACATCACAAGAATGTATAATACACACTGAATTAGGTTTTTTTTATAGTTTAGATGTTACTTCTCTTATCAACTCACCAAAGTCAGAGTCAAAGTCATTTTTGTTTCAGATGCAAGCCACCACAAATCCCAGTCTACATTTGCCAAACATGATATATGTTTTGAACCTTTTCCTAACTTTCTGTTAAATACTGTTTACTACCTTTTTTAATGTAAAAAACTGATTTTTCACAGGCAAACTGATCTTGATGTGTTCTTTCTCTCCTCCCTTTTTCCTGTTCTGTCTCACTTAACATACAGGACCTATAGCTCTTCTTCCCCTTCATAGCCTCAGCAGGTCTAAGGTCTTTTTCATATTTAATCCCTTCAATCTACCCTCTTAATAAAGGCATGATGTTTTGAGCAATACCATTAAGGAACCACCTTTGGTTCCCTGAAGAACCTTTCAATGAGTGATTTCTTACATAAAAAAAGTGTGAATATAAAGAATTCCCACATAATATAAAGGTTATAGACCAACTAAAGATTTTTTCTAGGCCCACATGTCTAAGACAAGAACCATTTATGGACCTTTATTTCAGGAGTGTAGGCTTATTATTTGGCTGTCAATTTTAAGATCTGTTATCCAGCAGATACTATGAATTATTCTGTAGCCACTATGAAACTGAGTTTTAAGTTAAAGAAGGGACCATGTGTGCCCTTAAAGAATTAAGAAGAAAACTATATGCACATAAAATAATCTGTTGTAATCTCAAAGGTGATACAAAACATTTTCAGTTTTTAGTGAATGCCTGTAGAAACATGAAGTTATCCAGTTGTCAAGCACTCAACAAATCTGTGGAAGTATAGCTTGAAAAGATGACCAATTTTCGGTGATTTAACTTCTCAGAACATTATATTCCTGCCCCATAGTTTGTTGATGTGTGGATGCTACATTTAAGATCCTGTTACCGAGGAAGCTCATTAAAGACATTAAATAAAGATATCAAATTTTCTACTGCTTTGGTCTACGTTGTGCAACTAGCTTGTCATGAAAGTTTTATAAACAATTTATCCAGGGTTAATAGACTCTATTTTCTGTTGAACCCTTTCATTTCCCTCTGATTCCTCTCATTATCAGTAAATATTACTTCATCTCCAAAATGTCTGTGTTTTGCAGGCCAGGTGGTCTATAGAGACTGCATTGGTGATTCCAGTACCACATGCAAACCTTGCTACAGTGGAACATTCATGAATCAACCCAATGGTTTTAACAGGTGCTTTCAGTGTAAAACCTGTGATAAAGGTGAGCGTCTTGCATTTGTGTGTTTTCTAACATCCTAAATGTGCCGTTGTTATGCTTTTATAAGCTTAGTGTTGTCTAATGTGATTTAATTTTAGAACAAGGCCTTCACAATCTACATGCTTGTACCACAATAAGTAATACAGTGTGTGGAGTCCTGGATGGATATTACTGCAAAGACAGAGATGAAAACAAAGAATGCGCATTTGCCTTGAAGCACAGACAGTGTGAACCAGGAGAGGAAATTAAAGTTCCAGGTCAGTATTGATGTTTCAGACTTTTCTCTGTTCACGTTCTGTTCTCAAATAATAATATACTTCAAGGTTGAAGGGGAGTTCCACTGATTTTTCAAAACACCTGCATAATTAAACAATTAAGATGTAAACAAAGTCATTCAGATGAAATGCTCCGAAACTTAGCAAATCAGAATTGTTAACAGTCTGAAGAGTTTAACACCTCTAAAATCTGCATCACTGAAAGGTATTATTAAGAAAACACTGCCTGATGCCTGAGACTTTGTTTTATTATAGTTTGGCAAAAAGCTGTAGGCCTACAGTGTATTTCTGAAATACATGCAGGGCACTGTAAGGAAAACTATTGTCTAAAGAAAACTTACAACCACTATTTTACCACCATCAGCATTATATATAAAACTCAGAAGATGTGTAGGTTCACTGGTGGTTTTGGATAGTAAATAACATGGCTATATTTGCTAAGTAAAGTTTCTCTACAATGAACAATTTCAAATCAAACCACTCTGAATGACTGTTTACATCTCAACAACTGAAATATGTACGCACATTTGAAACCATTGCGAGAAAAAACAAGAAAAACTTGGAGACACATCCAAAGCAGCTTTTTGGGACTGGCCCTTTCCATGGTAACTCACCTAATCAAAGTCTACACCACAGTTTATATGCTAATCTGAGGCATTTCATATCTTAGTCATGTATTTAAACTGTCTTTATGGATCTTTTGTGGAGTTTTAATGCTTAATTATTTACAGGAACTAAAGACTCAGACACTGTGTGTGAGGTGTGCCCCCATGGGTTTTATTCTCCACTGGGTATAAACTGCACTAAATGGACTGAGTAAGTTAACATTTTGTCATACAAGTTACACAGTGATAATGTAATTTACATTTTGTAAACAGCCTTTAATCTTTTCTTTCAGCTGTTCTGTCAAAGATCAGATCAAAGACAAAGAAGGCAGTTCTGTAAAAGATGTTCAGTGCAAAGTGAAAACCAGGCAGAGACACGGCCTCATAGCAGCTGCAGCTTTCCTAGTTTTATGCCCAGCAGTTTTATATTATGGTGAGTATGGTGAACACAATGTTGTGTTCAAATGATATTAAATTGAAATTGTGTGTTGCTGTCAGTTGAAATGGTTGTGAGTTTCTGATGTGTTAAAAAAGTACAGTGATGAATTCATTGTAGTATCACAGTATGATTTCTTGGTAGTAGTAAAAAAAATCAGGTTTAAAGGAGTCTCATATAGAAGACTAGGACTATAAATGCTTGATTTGGTGGACATTACCGTTTCTCTGTATGTCATTAAACTAGTTTTGTTCATGATACAGCAGATGTGCATGTTACGTGGAATTAGGTGTCATTTGTGCACATTGATCATGTTGTGGATGTAGCCAGGAATACTTTTTTTACCTGTTTTTTACCTGTAGTGCAGTGCATGTTTTACATGATGTTTTAATGTTTTACACTACTGATCTTTTGTTTGTCCTGCAGTTAATAACAAATGTTCTGCAGTTAACAACATAGTTAATAACACAGTTGTTAACGGCACACCATTAAAAGTAAGTGTTGACTTCTTCTATAAAAATTAAATACACTTAGCTGTCTATACTGGGTGCACTGGGTGCAGTCAAAATTAGCTTCTGTATATCATCACTGTCCAAAAAATAACAAGTCTCCAAAATCTCCAAAATGGCAACTTTACAGGAGAGGGCAAGAACTTTCTTTGTTTCTCATGTAAGTTAATGTAACATAGATTTATTCCAAGCAATTTTGTAGCATTTCTGTTTGTTCATTCATCATGTAAGCAAAAAAGAGAAAAATTAAAATTGGAAAAAATGGAGATATTTGTTTGTTTTTATTATTACTATTATCATTATTGTTATTTTTTGGACTGCAATGATAAGGAAAAGTTTTGTGTTAAATGCATTGATTTCCCATCTTTACAAAACTGATGCGCAAACAGAAAATATGCAAACTCATTGATAGTACTCGTGAACTGTAATGTGAAAAAAAGGAACTCTTTTTTAAAGTAATTTATTTACTGGCAGCAAGGAATCAGCATGAGAAAAAAGTATTGCAGGTAACTAATGATGGGTGCATCTGCAGGAAACATGCAGGGCACAAATAAAATGCAAAAATATACCACAGGTTCTATACAAGCTCCCACTCTTAATGTTATTAGTAAAGTAATATTTAGGGCTGCCACAGTTAACATGTCAATAACGCATTAACACAATTTCACTTTAATGCAGTTAAAAGCAAAATAGTGCCATTAACACAGGTTCTTTTTGGCCCTAACCTGTGGTTGAAGGTGCAAATCGAATGCGTGTCACTCTAGACTTTAAGTGAATCAGACTGTACTGAAAGTCACTCTGTACTCTCTGAATCAGCTGAATGATCAAGAAAACCTCATGATTGGGAAGTTCTGTTTCAAAGCTTTGCCAGAAAGCTCACTAGACAAAACGAAGGCTGTGTGTAGCTACTGTCAGGCTGAGTTTAGTTATCAATGGAGTACATCAAGCCTACGATATCACATGCAAGCCAAGCAACAACTAACACCAACACTGTTATCCCTGATAATATGCAGCAGGCAACACTCGACAGTGTTCAGTGGAAAACAATGGACACGTCAACCTCCAGCAAATTAACAATAGCAGTTGCTAAATGGATAGCCTTAACATCCAGGCCAGTTTACATAGTGGAATGTCAGTTGAAGATGGAACTGTTGTTATTATAATAGGATTAAGTCTCTGAAGTTGCACAGTAGAAATGCTTGTTTATTGATGTTTCTTGTTGATTGTGTTTTTCCCCACAGAGTCCTATAGAAGAATCAACATGATATTCATTCAGTTCACAGTAAGAGAGTCTCTGTCTGCTTCATTAATGCAAAATGACAGTTGTTATTATGGAAAGTAAATGTTTGTTTTATTGCTTTCCTTTAGAGACGAAAACAGGGAAGAAGATTTCACCTAGCCCTACAGTGGACTACTGAAAAGGTCATTTATTCACGCATGACTTGTGGGCACCGATACAAACCCAGCGTCAGGCAAAGAGGCTGGACTGAAAAAATCACCAGAATTTGTCATCACATATGGAGTCTCTCACCAGCATCGGCTAGGCATGAAAAAGCATTAATACTGCTGAAATGTGATAAACGATAAAATGTACTAATGGGGGAGGGTCTCAGGGCACTGCTGCCGCTCTGTATATCTGTGCACTAGCTGCAGCAAAATAGCACATCACCATGGACTATTAAAAACAATACTTTTTGTATAAAGCAACTACTTCTAGCCGAAAAACTTTTTTTAAGATAATTTTTATGCATTCCAATTTTTTGAGTCTATTTTTACATATTACAATAAGGCTTTAAAAAAAATTCATGCTACACATAAAACAAAATGGTAACACTTTCTATGAATGTCACCTTTGTAAGCATCTATAAACACATTTATAACATGTTATAATGCATTCATATGGCATTATAAACATGATTATAAACATTTATAAAAATGAATTACACTTTATAGCCATGCTTATTATACATTATGAATTGTTAATATAATGCATTATAAGTAGTGTTAACATGTTATACTCTCAGTGCCAAAGAAGTCAGTCCCAGCTTGGACACTGCAAAATAAAGACAAATTCCAAGCTAACAGTGGTGTAGATTGACTTTCCCACATTGAGTAAAACACTGATGGCAGCACTAGTTTAAAATCTGACATTTGAAGCCTGTAATGTGCTTTATTATGTATGTTTTAGTGTTTCAGTAAATCCTTCAGTAAATACTTCAACTTGAAGCCTCACTCTTAACACTGGAGGAGGCTTTAGTACAGTATGCTTCACTTTACTTAGAGCGGACAAATACGACTTATGAGCTCTTATAATTTGTTATGATCAGTACTTATAATGTATTATGTTAACAATTTATAATGCATAATAAGCATGGCTATAACGTGTAATGCTTTTTAATAAATATTTATAGCCATGTTTATAATGCCTTTTGAATGCATTATAACATGTTATGAATGTGTTTATAGATGCTTACAGAGATGACATTCAAAGAAAGTGTTACCAACAAAATTTTCAACAAGTTTTTCACCCAACTGTATTTTTTTATTGATTTTGAAAGGTTTGTGTTTTTTTAATTTTTTTAACTGTGTATGTGTTGGTTGTGTATTGTGTATAAATATATGTACATATATAGATAAATATATGTGTGTATATATATATATATATATATATATATATATATATATATATATATATATATATACAAAAGTATCAGGACACCCCAATTTCTGTCTTGCTAGATGTGCCCCAGTCAACTGTAAGTGCTATTATTGTGTCACCTAATTACTGACATAATTTTGTCAGTTGCCAGCCTTCACAATCATTTAGTTAGAACTAGGTGAAAACTCTGTTTCTTTGGCATTTTAGTCAGTCTGAGCTCTGGCAGAGTTCTTAGGGAGGTAATCGAAAGGGATTACTGGATCTTGCCGGTAATCTCTCACCAAGGTCTACAATATATAAGCAGACAGTGTAGAAGTGCCTGGTCGAGGGGTTTTAAGGGTGAAACTTATTACCTAAGCATAACTTTAATTCAGATTAGCATTTTATGACTCAATAATAGTTATGCATCTGAGGAACAAATATTTTTGAATATGGTTAAGGATTTTAACTTTGAAATAGTTTATCTCTGGATCTTATGAATATTTCAAGGAGTCGTTATGAAATTTGTATAAAGAAATTAACTCATTTCTAATCAAAGATGTTTTTGTAATACTTGTCTGTCTGTTTTACTCTTGAATAATCGTTGTACAGGCTGTACCTCTTTATTTGTTTGTCTGGTGTTGCTGTACATTCTTGTTTTCATCTCATGTTGAGATGCCATATTTCAATAATTGGCTTGTTTCTATTTTTGTTTCTGTGTCTTTATTGTTATTTACTAATATGTCCCCCTGACCATGAGTTTGAACCCGAGCAACACCACAGCCATCCGCTACTCAGAGCCCAGAAGGACAAAATGCCTGGTGGGACTGTGTGACTGTGAGTCCCAGCTATTGGGGGCAAAAAAAGCCATTTCTACATTGTTTACTTAAGTTTGAGTTGTGTGAACTCTAGTGTCCTCAACTTGAGTTAATTCAAGAAAGGCTGTGAGATGATTTTACCATATAATTTTGAGTTGAGCTGACAGTTTACTTTTACACCATATTGTGATTCAGTTGATCATAATTCAGTTCCTACACCAAAGGATTTACACACAAAAAAATCCCAATTGTGGAACAAGTTATTATGTGCTTAATTATAGGTCATAATACATGACATGATGGCCATGTCTACATCCTAGACTCAGAAGTAGACACAGTGTCAGCTGTTTTGTGTGATTAATTGTTTTGTGATGACACAACAGCTGACATTCGCAAAAGGGGGCAGTGGTGGTGATTGGGGAAAAAAATCTGAAAAATAAACATGGAGTAATGGCTCAGAATTAGAATGTGTTCAAAATGAAATTATCATATATAAATTACACAATTTACCTCATCCACCAGACATGTGCATTTTGCAAACGTTAAAGTTATTGAGTGCAAAGACAGACTTCTGTATGTGGGGTATCAGGGCACCCACACAATGAGTGGCCGTTGTTATAAATTTATTCAGCAAACTTCATGGTAGTAACCTGCTATAAACCATGAGTTACTGTTGTATTGAAATATAGTCTAAGGAATCTGCACTAAGCATGTGACAGAGAAAAGAACGGTGTTGTCTTCTACAAATTAGAATATGTTGAATATGAATTCTGACCAGTAAGAAGTCAGTTTTAGATATCTGACATTGAATTTAGTCTGTAACAGTTTAACCTCACCCATTCATGCAGAAGTTATAAGGAGTGTGTCAACCTGGACTGCTTTTTGAATGAGGCACAACACAGAACAGCCAATCAGAACAGAGCATATTTATATATATCAGCCTAACAATAAGTAACAAAAATAGCCTGTTTAAGGGATAAAGAGACATTTCATTCAGTCTCATTGCCACAGGCATGTAAAATCAAGCGCCTAGTCATGCAGTGAAATATTTGTGAAAGAGTGGGTTGCTCTAAAGAGCTCACTGAATTCAAGCGTGGTGCTGTAATAGGATGCCACCATTGCAACAAGCCAAACCTCCTCTGGCATTAACATCAGTACAAAAACTGGCCACCAGGAGCTTCTTGGCATGGGTTTCCATGGCTGAGTAACTGCATGCAAGCCTTAAATCACCAAGCACCATGCCAAGCATCGGCTGGAGTGGTGTAAAGCACGCTGCCACTGGACTCTGGAGCAGCATCAACGTATTTTGTGGAGTGACGAATCACGCTTCTCTATCTGGCAGACTGATGGATGAGTCTGGGTTTGACAAATGCCAGGAGAACATTACCTACCTGACTGTATTGTGACAGCTGTTAAGTTTGGTGGAGGAGGAATAATGCTATGGGGTCGTTTTTAGGAGTTGGCCTAGTTGTAGTGTAGGGGAAATCTTAATGCTTCAGTTTACCAACACATTTTGGACAATTGTATGCTTCCATTATTCTATGCTGCCTGTAAGTTTTATATATAGCATCATCTGATTTCTTGACAGATCTGTCTTCTGTACCGATTGTATGTTTCAGTTAAGTAGATTTGAATTTTCAGATTACAGTCAGAAACACAAAAAGAAGAGCTTGAACTTTTGTTCAGCACTGTTGATATCAGTATTATGTGAGCACTACATATTTTTAAAAAAAAATAGGTCTTTGTCAGCTCTTGCTATAAAGACTTTAGTCGTTTTATTGACATTATTACAATTTTTTACATAAAACACTGACCGCTTAACACCCTTACATCCATGAAGATGTGTGTATATGTTTAATGAAGCAGTGTGTCATATTATTCTGGTAATCGATTCTAAATGAAGGCCTCCTAAAGTACACTAGGCTCATTATTTTGTCAGTTTCTAGTTTCCTTCACAAATATTTAGGTAAAGTTAGGTGAAGTTTCTGTTTCCTTAGCAGAGTTATTACAGAGGTAAGAAGAAGATGTGTCTAGATGTTGGTCCTAGATGTAGTGATCTATTATCATGGTCTACAATAAATAAACAGAATTGCTGAAGTAAGTCGTTACTGGACTCTGAAACAGTGGAAATGTTCCATGGAGAAATTAATCACACTCCACTATTTGGCAGGCTGATGGACAGGGTTCGATGGATGCCAGGGGAACAAACACATTATAGACAAATATATGATTCCAATGTTGGGGCAAAAGTTTGGGAAGGCTCTTTCCTGTTCCAGCATGACTGTGCACCTGTGCACAAGGTCCATAAAGACATGGTTTGACAGGTTTGGGATGGAGGAACTCCAGTGGCCTGCACAGAGCCCTGACCTCAACCTCACTAAACACCTTTGGGATGAACTAGAACGTCAATTGTGAGCCGGGCCTTCTCATCCAACATCAGTACCTAACTTCACAAATGCAAATGAATGGGCACAAATTCCCACAAACACACTCCAAAATCTCGTGGAAATGTTCCCAGAAGAGTGTATAGCTGCAAATGTGTCGCTAACTTCAAAAAATGCCCATGGTTTTGGAATGAGATATCCAACAATCATGTGTACGTGTGATGGTCAGGTGTTTACATACTTTTGGCCATTACATAGTTTGCATAGTTAGCTGATTACATTTACATTCACATTTACAGCATTTAGCAGACGCTCTTATCCAGAGTGACTTACAAAAAGTGCTTTGTCTATCTAGAGAAAGTATCTTTGCTAGTTACAAATAGATTAGAGAGAAAGCCAGTTCTGAGCTCAGATACTGCTAGAAACAAAAGCCCATGTTGATACCTAGAGAAAAAGGAACAGAATTAAACATAGCGCAGTGCAATACATTTCAATAAGTGCAGTACAATACATTTCAATAAATAATTAAAGAGGGCATAAATGATTAGAGAGGGCATGTTAAAAAGGAAAAAACCATCGAAATCAAGAATTAAAAAATGAAAAATCATCAATACTCTGCAGTAGGTTTGTCCAAAGAAATGAATATAGGAGGGGCACAGTCTGTGCACGGGCCCAAACACAGCTGCAGTAAACTATAGTGTCACTATAATCAACAACAGGCTTTTCTGCCTAATATATATTTTACTACTAATTTTCAAACGTTCTTGATGGTGCTTTGGTTATAATTTTAAATTCAAACTTTTTGTTAGATTCTGTGAACTATTCATTTGTTTTGTCTTCACGTCACGGTCAGTTAGTCAGAGTCGAGCGAAAGCTGAACTCTGAGAGAAGTCTTATAAAGGTGAACAAAAGCAGAGTTGTAAAGATATAACTACACAGTTGGAATAAACAGTATGGGAGTTATAGGAAAATTGTGAATGAAATTTGATGTCAATGTAAGTTTCATTCAAATTAGCATTTTGTCACTGAAAATATACAATTATATATTATGCAAGTGTAGAAATTATTTTGTTGATGATGTTGACGATCTTTCATAGATATTTATTAAAGTACAAACATTTATTAATTTTGTTGTTTATTTATGCATATTTAATGTAATTTGTGTGTGTTAGTCAAGGGGGTCCTTATGTTTGACCCCACCTATTAAAAAATGTGTTCCATAGTTCATGCGAAGGGCGTGTACCCAGGGCCATCTACTGTGGGTTTGGACGCAGCCTATTTGCTTGATTTTGCCTGATTCCTATACCATGGCCTCATTATACACTGACAGTACTGACTTGCATGTCCAAATCAGGTAAAACCAGGGCAGTCGGACAGGAAAGGACATTTTATTCAGCTATTTGGACACAGCCTCTTCTTCTGTTTCTTCTTCTTCTTCTTTTTCTTATTTTTATATTTAAGTCATACTGTACAATAAAGAACAACAACAATATCACATAAACATAAAGGGGAAAACTAATTCAGCAGTATAAGTACAAGACAAGGGGGCTCTCAATTCAATAAAATTAATAAATACATACACAAAAGAATGAAAAAGGAAAAGGGGTGAGGATTTATATATACATATATCCTGATGAATGAAAGAATTCCAGCTATTTTTGCCCTTTATGAAATATTGTACAAAAAGATCAAGTTCTTATTTAATAAACAAAAACAGTGGAGTGCTTTTCTTTTTTATTTTCTTCTCCTTCTCATCCTGCGTTTTGGCGCCCTCTGCTGGAAGCTGGCTAAATGTATCCAAACAATTTACAACGTCTCCGGTCTAAGCGCCCCACTATGCTCGCCTATAGACCAGATTTCCTTCCTATCATATTCTATTAATTAATTCAGTGTCTTTTAAAAATGGTCAATAATCTATCTCTTCCTTAAAGAGGACAGTCAGAGCCGGGGCCTTTATGTTATGTCTCCTACACTGAAGTCATTCCGCCCCCATTTTCTCAGTGTACGTATTACCCTCCTGTGGACACGCCGAGGTAAACAGACTACACTTTTACTTTCAGATTTGGAGTTGAACAGGCATTGAATTCCGCGGCAGGAGATGGACAAACAAACAAGGAGAAGCCACAAACGGTCGTAAAACTAAGTTAATCTCCCCAGTTGTGTGTGTTATTTGGATTAAGAATGAACAGCTCGGTCCTGAGGTTTGGTTTACTCATATTCGGTAAGCAAATATCTCTTTAAGGATTTGCATAGATTTGCATATAACTTCTGCATGAATGGGTGAGGTTAAACTGTTAAGGACTAAATTCAATTCCAGATATCTAAAACTGACTTCTTACATGGTCAGAATTCATATTCAACATATACTAATTTGTAGAAGACAACACCGTTCTTTTCTCTGTCACATGCTTAGTGCAGATTCCTTAGACTATATTTCAATATTTACGCGAAGTATAAAACACTGTCATGAGATCTGCAAGGCTGAGTTTGTCCCAAGTATCGTAACCAAATTGAGCCCAGCAGATGAACCCCGGGCATGTTCTTAAAATTATAGCCTAAAGGTTCATTTATGTAGCTGTGTGGGACACAGGTGGGCTCCTCAGTCGTGAGACGAGAGTCTACTAGCACTGTTAACGCACCAGCAAACTCTTGATGTTGCATCTCACCCGCAGCTCAGCTTGTTTTTAGGTTGAGCAGAGAGTCATGCAATGTAATGCATGAGTATTGGGCCTATGGGCATGAAATATAATTCAACTGCACACTTTAAAAACTCATTTGTTTGTATCCACACAGGTATTTATATTACTCTCTCATATGGGTGTGGCCCGGCTGAATATGAAGCGTCTGGAGAATGCTGTCCCCTGTGTCCTATAGGTATGGCAAGAGGTATTTTAATAAGTGAATCTGGCAAATTTGGAGACACATACAGTATTGTGCAAAAGGAGCACATTTAAAGAAATAACGTCAAATGAGCCCCTGCTGTTTGGCTTACATTGTTTAAGTAGCTGAAGTAACGTCAAGCAGCAAGTGGCAAAAGTTCAAGACCACGGAGCCCTGCTGGTCACATCCCGTATAAATAACAGTAATGCATGGCCACGGCATATTAACTCATAGGAACGAGATCCTATTGCATGGCCACAACTTAGTAAGGCATAGGAATTAGATAATTAAGTCGTGGCCACGATTTAGTAAGATGTGGCAGTGAGATCATGCCTTATTAAGCTGTGGTCAAGGATTAATTATCTCCTTCCTATGCCTTACCATGGCCGTGCATTAGGATCTTGTTTCATGCCTCGACTTAATTATCATGTCCCCGTCCCTTACTAAGTCGTGGCCATGCATTATTTATATGGGATGTTACCAGCAGGGCTCCATCCAAGACAGTTTATGAAGATGTTTTTTGCTAGTGTATCCTGTCATTTCTCTCTGATTCACTTCTCATCAGTAAATTTTACCTCAGCTCCAAAGCGTCTGTGTTTTGCAGGGACGGTGGTCCTCAGGGACTGCACTAGCCACTCCAACACCACCTGCGTAGCGTGCTCCAGTGGAACATTCATAAGTAAACCCAATGCCTTGCACAAGTGTTTTCAGTGTAAAATCTGTGACAAGGGTAAGATTCTTTAATGTGAGTGTTTATGTGTGTTTTCACATCTTTATTATTATAAACTGGCTGAAGCTTTTTCTAATGTGATATTTTAGAAGAAGGTCTATATGTTTCACTTTCCTGCGCCGCAACAAGTAATACACAGTGTGAGGTTCTGGATGGCTATCACTGTAAGGACTACTCAGGCAGTGAATGCACTTTTGCCATGAAGCACAGACAGTGTGACCCGGGACAAAAAATGAAGGTTCCAGGTGGGTGCTAATGTTTCAGCCTTTTTGCTGTTCAGGGCCAGACTTGGACTGTTATTCAGGCTGGGAATGTAGGTCCAACCTAGGCCACAAGCACACGCACACACACACACACACACACACACTCACACACACACACACACACACACACACACCCTTACGTATAATGTAAATAAAGTATGTATGTATGTTTTTTAGTTATATAATACAAATTTAATTGCAGGTACAGTGATGCTAGTCCTCTACAGCTTCATAGGTTTCAAATAATTTGTAGGAATTGCAAAATTTTGAGGTGGCTCCAGGATGGTTATAATAAAATTAATATCCAGAACAACAACTCTAAAAGTGTCAACAGCAATGGTACAATATTACTGTTGATGTACATTAAGAATTTATCATTAAACACCAATTGTAGTTTAATATTTATCATCTTTTATCATTTTTATCATTAGCAGTTCTTGTTCTTCCCAACGCTCTTGAAGTGCTACAAAAACATCCTTCAGTTTTTATTTACAGGAACTAAAGACGCAGACACTGTGTGTGAGGCTTGTCCACTAGGATATTATTCTCCGCTGGGTGTAAACTGCACCAAATGGACTGAGTAAGTTGACTTTATTATGTAAGCTTAAACTTTAGTTTCATTTGTTTTTCTCTCTTTTATTTCTCTGTAAATATACTTTGCATTTCTAAACTGGCATCAATGTTTTTTTTAAGCTGTTCAGTCAAAGATGAGATCATGGACAAAGAAGGCAGTTCAACAGAGGATGTTCAGTGCAAACTCAAAACGAGAGGGAGATACGGCCTCATAGCAGCTGCAATATTTTTAGTTTTATGGTTAGCTTGTTCATATATCAGACATTAAAACCTAACATAAAAAGAGATTGATCTGATCTAAGTTGATTAAAATGTTGATCTAATATTGATCAGATAACAGTAAAAGAGGTTATGCAATGTCACCTTTTTTGTTTTTTTCAGAAAACATTTTGTTTGTTTGTTTCTGTATTAAGTCTCCAAATATAGTGTGTATATGTACATATATAATCTATTTTGCTACTTTGTCATTTACTTTTGTACATGAAACAATAAAGTGGCCATAATTACTCTTTAAACTGAAATAATCAGTCTTTTTTGTATGAAGATTATAAAAGTTTTTTTTTTATTAAGATTGTTTCAAATAGATCTACTGTGTCACATACATAAGAGACATTTAAAAGCATGTGCTTGCAGGTTATTCTTAATACTGAAGCTCTGGATACAGTACACTTTATTTTGAAGCACTGTATCAAGACTTTTTTACCCACTTTTTGCACCTTATCTATAAAATGATAGGTTAAAGACCAGGGCTAGGTTTAATTTGAAATTTGTTATGAAAGGCAAGGCAAGTTTATTTGTACAGAACCTTTCATTCACACTGGCAATTCAAAGTGTTTCACACGAGCACAGAAAAAGACAAACATTAAATAATGAAGCTTATGAAGTCCTGAGATTTAGCATATATATATATATATATATGTGTGTGTGTGTGTGTGTGTGTGTGTGTGTGTGTGTGTGTGTAGGGAAGAAACAAGTTTCCAAATAACTAGAAGAAATTTGTAATAATTTGTAATAATTTTAAATAAATAGAAAAATTTATAGATTTATAGCTGCTGTTCGTCTTTCTGTCCACCAGGTGTCACTAACATGCAACGCTTTTAAAACTGAGAGTAATGAACTGTTTCCCGATACATTTTTCAAAAACGCTTCAGGGCTTCAGAAAGCTTCGGTTTGTCGTCACTAAAACAAAATGAGATTTAATGTTGAGATTTTTTTTTTTACATTTAGTGAAATACATTAGTAAGTTGTGGTTTTGCAAGAGCACACGCGGTCCTTTCACTCAACAAAACGTAGGAACTGTCAGAAGGAGTCTGTGCGCTACTGGGAACTTTACGTGTGTCACTCCAGCTTCATTGTATCATGTGTGGTTTCCTCATTTATAGAACAGCGTGTTAAAAAGACGATTTAAATAGTAAAGAAAGACGTAAGTTGCTGTTTTTTCGTGTGAAGCATGATGTGGTGTCGTGAAGTCGTGTTTGATTGAGTTCTTATGAGCGAGACTGAAATTGGCTTCCTGTTCTCCAGCTTCTTGTTCGAAATTTCCCGTTCCACCTTAAATAGTGTAGCGGTTACCGTAACTGCTGCGCCATTTAAGGTGGAACCGGACAGTTCGAACCAGTAGCAGGCTTCAGCTTCGCTGGGCATCTTTGGTCGCTTGATCAGTCATGATGAGAGCTGTGACCGGCTGTGTTTCAGGCTAAATCAAATCATTACTACTGTAGATTTAACGTTCACAGTTGCTACCAAACCTGTCATGAGTATCAGGTCAGTCAGTCAGTTAACTCCGAGTTCAACTCTGGAATCTGCTTGACTGTAGACAAACTCTCTCTTTCTTTACAGTGGTGCTGATGGGAACCAGGGGTCACACAGCACAAATATAGCCATTTTATTCTCAATCCAAAACCCCCAATATTTGCCTTCTGATTTTTACATGCAATATTGATAATGGTGAAACACTGGTAAAATAGAAGAATACCTTTTTTTGGGGAACTGTTTTGCCTTACATGACTGAATATAAAAGATAAAGCTAAAAGCTGATCTTAAAACTTTTATAAAACAGTGTCTCTGGCATCAATCAGGCAGCATATGCACAATTATTTCATGTAATAACTTGTTGTGAGGGAGCTTTTAGAGGCATTAAACTCCAAAGACATCAGCATATCACCTCCACTGTGTACTGTACTGACTCTAAGATTCTCTAGAATACAGCATTTCACATCAAATCACTCAGAATTACTCACTATTATTATTATTATTATTATTATTATTACATATTTATTTATTAATGAGCGGAATCCCCGTTTTTGTTCTCTTTTTTGAATCATTTTCGTAAAATAAACACTAAAGCTTGAAAGTGAGAGCTGTGAGCATCAGCAGAGCAGTCCAAGTGCTGAATTAAATTAAACTTGAAAAATAGAAAATAGAAAAATAGGGTCAAGGCGATTGATTGTAATATGCCTAAATAAGAAGAAGTGTTAGATTGCTTACCACCCAAGAATACTTCAGGATAACTTAATGTGTTATTGCTTGAAAATATTCTGAAAAAAAAAAACTAAATCACAGTGTTACTAAGAATGGTAAAGTGCATGGAACTGAATAACTAGTTATTACCTGTCTCTGGGGAAGATTCTCTTAAGCTGTGTTGTCTTGTGAGAAACGTGATTTAAGGCATCAGAAATTCCTCGACTGCTGCTACCCATCACTAATGAGTGGAGCTGCATGTTCGTCCCTTTAAAGTCAGTTTATTTATGTGTTCTGAAGGTCCTGATGGATGAGGAGGATGACTGTCCAGAATTGGTTCCTATTGAGGAAAAGAGCACAACACCTGCAGCCCAAATACCAGTGACCATCATCACAGGATACCTGGGTGAGGTTGAGCATAACAGTACTTTACAGTAGCTTTCCAACAACAAAACTCCCTGTATTAATGAAAATTTAGTCTGATATCGGTGCTTTATGAAAATACTTTTGGTGCATAAGTTCATTTTCATATCAGGTTTTAACTGATCGCATCAGGCTTCAGGGCGTTTGCACACATTTACAGTGAATCAAGTTTTTGCAATCCTCCTAGTCCGCAGTCAAGATGGGAATGATTTTCATGTGTGGACGTATAGTGCGACGTTCAGCTCTTTAAATGGAAGTTCTTGTGCCAGAAAAGTGCTGAAGCTGGTCCTTTCTTATTTGTTGCCAATGCAACAGACTTGGCCACACCAAAGGAATGACTAAAACACTTTTATTTTCGCTGAGTAAAAGTTCAGATGAAGCATGGTATTTCTCTTATTGAAAACCATTTTTAAATGTAAAACCCATTCTTGACTCAACCTGACATTATAAATTTAATATTATGTTGATGTTTTGTTGTATCAAGTCCTAACATTAATTTGATAATTTCCTGTTTTTCTTAAGTATGTGGTTTCTTTTTCACAGGCGCAGGAAAGACAACTCTTTTGAACTACATACTGACGGAGCAGCATAATAAAAGAATAGCAGTCATACTCAATGAATTTGGTGAAGGCAAGTTATCTAACAAATCTATTGAAAAGTAGAGGATTTAGAATTGTTGATTTCTAGACTTAGAGCAGGGCTCAATGAAAGATACTGATTTCATAGTAATTGCCATCTGAATTGCTGTTTTTGTCCAGAAGAGGGCAGCGGAGCCCATACTTTCTTCAAATTGGCATACTCCTTTAGACAAGGTTTTGTTTAGACCTTCAGAGATCTTTGAATGACACAAATCTGCTCTCCATAGTTCATGATTTGCATGTAATCATCTATTCAGTGCTCTGGGTAGTCAATCTTTGCTGTGAACTAGGCATTGCTAGCAGTATTGTTTAACTGTTAATAGTTAATATAATAGTTAATATAATCTAGTTAATATTTCTGACGTGTGTGGTGTTGTACAGGCAGTGCGCTAGAGAAATCTCTGGCAGTGAGTCAGGCAGGAGAGCTGTATGAAGAGTGGCTGGAACTCAGGAACGGCTGCCTGTGCTGCTCAGTGAAGTATGAAGTATTCCACTTAAGACTTATGAATTAAATGATGCAGCACCTTTTTAAATGCTTAGAAACCTGATTTATATGCAGTATATACACTGGCACTCAAAAAGAATTGCTCATGTGTGTGTGCGTGCGTGAGTGTATGTGTGTGTGTGTGTGCGTATACACCGATCAGGCATAACATTCTGACCAAAAAACTCCAGCAGCACTGCTGTGTCTGATCCACTCAGACCAGCACAACACACACTAACACACCGCCACCACGTCAGTTTTACTGCTGTGCTGAGAATGATCCACCACCCAAACAGTACCTGCTCGATGAGGGTCCATGGGGGTCCTGACCACTGAAGAACAGGGTAAAAGGGGTCTAACAAAGTATGCAGAGAAACAGATGGACTACAGTCTGTAACTGTAGAACTACAAAGTGCACCTATATAGTAAGTGGAGCTGATAAAATGGACAATGAGTGTAGAAACAAGGAGGTGGTCATAATGTTATGCCTGATATATATATATATATATATATATATATATATATATATATATATATATATATATATGTAGGTATATGTCTGTACATGTATATATATGTATATATTTGTATATAGGTCCAAATGTTTTGTTTTTTTTGGTCAATGACAATGTATATGCCAAAAATGTCCAAGTACTATTAGTACTAAATAGTAAAAGTACTATGGCTAGCTCTTGAGTTCTTGTGGACTACCAGCCACCTGAACCAGATAATAAATCAGATAATAGGTCTTTCCATGTTGATTTGTTATATTATTTTTTTGTGTGCTCTGACACAGAGGCCTGTGAGAAATGGGTTAAGAATCTCTGTTTTAGTGTACTTTAAATAGCACATATTACTTAAATTAGCTCCTAATACTTACTTACAATGTAACAAGCAAATACTCAAAAATGAAATAAGCTGTATTGTTTATGCATAAACCTATTTTCATTTGGAATTCCATGTGCACATGTGCAGAGATAATGGACTGAAAGCGATTGAAAATCTAATGGAGAAGAAAGGAAAGTTTGACTACATTCTCCTAGAGACAACTGGATTGGCAGATCCTGGTAATTTACACATTTTTACACATTTTAGATTTTATTTATTTAATTAATTAATTATTTATTTTTCCCACATATTTTTAATTTACTTGCTATTTCAGTAAGTTAGCACCCAAAGCCCCTCATCAAGACATGTGCATTTATTCAGAGAAACAAAATAATTGTACCTTTTACATGTATTGTTGTTTATGTTTTAATTTGTTTTATATACTTCTACATCATTCTGGTCCAATTATGTGATTGTTTAGGTCTAAAAAATAACTGCTTATGGCTACAACACAACAAGTAGAGCCAGCTTGTGAGCTCAGAGTAAACCTGTCCCCAACTCATCAGATGGTTGGTGGTTTGATGGAATAGAAATCAATAGGGGAGTCATAGGGGGCAGCACCTCTGCCACACAGACTGAGCAAATGATTGACAGGCGTCTGGGGCCAACGCCTGGCTAGGTCTAGCAGACAATTTACCGTCTGAGGTTGACAGAATGTGCTCAGGCCAGGTCTCTTCTCATTGCTCTGGCTTGTCATTGGCTAAGACAGGCCTGTCACTCTGTGGGGGTCTCGTGGGAATAAGCCCCTCCCTTTTCCAAAAAGGTGGTTGTAGTCTAAATGGGTTATGCATCCAATGTCTTTTTAAGAACATTGCTTTCATTACTAACCTATCAAAAATTTACAGCGCTTTCTTATTCTACCCTGACAGCCTGACAAAAGTCCATTATGTGAACAAGATAGGCCCACATTGTCACATGAATCTGTAAAATAACTTAAACCAGAAAAGTTGAATAGCATGGAAACAAGCAAAACGGAGCTTGTTGTTGAAAAAGTCAAACCACCCATGAAATTCAGTAATGCATTTTAAAGTACACAATACAATAAGCTTCCAGTTTAAGCTTTTCCTTTAAATATTATACTACAAGGAAATGATTTTTGGTTTGCTTATTTCTGTTTTTATTTTACTTCACCCGCAGTGATAACCCAGTACAGTGTTATTATTATGATATTAAAAGTGAAGCAGTGATGTTTGAATTATTTGGTTTTCTTTTTCTCCATATTAGGTGCTGTTGCCTCTATGTTTTGGGTTGATGCTGAATTAGGAAGTGATCTTTATCTGGATGGTAAGAATTTTGCTCCACAAATGAAGGTCAAAATGAAACCTTATTTAGGAACTTTTTGGAATAAACTGAAACATTTTTACATCTTCATCTAGGGGGGCTACACAAATATGCATTTCAGTATACCTGTTACACAAAAGTCTGTCTAATCTATCTGTCTTTTTCATTTCAATTTCAGGCATTATTACTGTTATTGATGCAAAATATGGAATGCAGGTGAGTGAAGCACTATTAATACAAACATGAATTATTTGGAGGTATTGCAACTACAGGATACAGTTACAGGATGGCATTATGAGACAGTATGAGTTAAATCTGAAAAAATACATTTTCTTTAGGGAAAATTTGTATTTAAAAATGTATTTTTAAAAATATGTTTTAGGCCAAAACTGTCATAAAATATTCTCATAGCCATCAGGCAGTGTATTCATAAGCATTGAATGTAATAACTGCTGGAGAGCTTTTAGAGGCATTAAACGCTTTAGACTTCTGGTTAGCATTTCACATTAAACCACTCTGAATGTCGTCGTTTACATCTTTATTGTGCAGACATTGTTAAAAATCAGTGGAATTCACATTTAATATTTACACACACACATGTATGTATGTATGTATGTATGTATATATTTGTTTATTTACTTATTTATTTATTTATAATACAGACAAGCTTGTTTCCAAAAAAGTTGGAACGCTGTGCAAAATAAAAACAAAATGCAATGATGTATCAAAACAGTACAAGGACAACATATCAAACGTTGAAAACGAAAGTTTGTTTTTTATTTTAGTTTTTACAAAAATATACACCATGTTATGTTTTTTTAATTTAATGCTAGTAACACATTTCAAAAAAGTTGTGACTTTTTTTTTTGGCATTTTGTACTACCCTAACCCTTGTTTACAAACATTTGAATTGATTCTCTAGAATTCAAATTACCTGATGGACTACAGCTACTATAAATACTCCCATAAACCTTAACCTGCCATCACAGTTCACATGACTGCGCTTGAGGAGAGTTTTAATGGAGAAATGTTGTGCGCACTGTGTGTTGAGAATACTTCGCACATAATTGACTAGAACTTCCAAGAGCATAAGAACCTCCTAAACATATTTGAATGGAGATACACTCACTCATACATACCTTAAGATGTGCACAGGTACAACTGTAATATTATTTGTCTTCACGCGATATTAAGTTGTCCTAACACGTGCAACAATATGGTCACATTGTGCAGCCGGTAATTGTGAATGATGTTACAGTTTCAATACGATATTTCAAAATTGAAAAAAAAGTATTTTCACAAAGGTTTATTGTCGTTCTCTTCTGAGGGTTTCTTATTTGCCATCTTTGATGCACACAGACTCAAATGACTGGGCTTTTTTTAAAAGTTACTTAGAAACTGTAGGAACCCAGTTTTTAGGGGATTTTCAGAGGGTAATCTCAACCAAACCAGTTGGTGTGGTATGCAGTTAGAGCTCTGTAGAATCAAGACATTTTAAATACATAATGTATCAAAAAAACGAACCAAATCTTGATCTCACAATAAGAATTTTTGCCCAACTTCAAAATAAGTGACAAATGATAGCCTGTTCGGAAAGTTGCCTTGATTCTTGTCTTTTGATTGTGTGAGAAATTTAACAGTCACTGATGAATCATGCAGTTGCACACTGGTGGCTGCAGTGCTCTTTTAAATTAAGGCAGTTTGTGAACGCAACCTTTCGGTATTACTTTAGTCGTATCACCTCTCTTTGTGCCGAAGTTGTGAAGTGTCCATTCTTCAGCGGCCCTCCTCACACCTTGCTTCCTCCAGTGCAGTATTGGAGAAGGACAGTGATAGTGACACCTGAATAATAGTGCGTCATTTAAAGGGTGTCAGACCTGGCAGGTCTCCCCGTTTACGGTCCTACTGGCACCTCGGCCCGTTCAGGCCCTCTGGGGAGCTGAGGGAGGGAGGGGCGGATAGCAACTGAAGAAACTGTGGGAATCAGAGCAGATCACTCTAATGGGCCTGTCACCTTTGCGCCCACCCACACGCTGAAGCCTGATGTGCTCATCAGAAGGGGTGAGGTGTGTGCGTGTGTGAGTGAGTGCAGGCGCATGTGCTCGTGGTAGGATAGGGGTCAAATGAGACCTGATCTCCCCTCCTGCTCCTGGACGTTTTCTGGTTTTATTTCACTGCTGTCATTGAAACTGAATGCTGGTGTCCAGCACTCGATGGACAGGCATGATGGGGTCTCATAGATGACGTCGGCCCTGTCCCCAGGGTCAGTGTTATTACAGATTTAACATAGCCAATGAAATGTCCCCTGTCCTCTACTACACGTCGTCCCAGCCTGAGAGAAAAGCAAGAATAGATTATCTTTTCAATAAGCAAACTGTTTGGAAGTTATCATAGTTTGGTGATTGGACCCCTGCATCAAGTTTGCATCATTCTCTTTTCATTTCAGAGTTGTCACTTTCCTTCATGTGATGGATAAGGCATTTGTCAGGAGCTTAGATTGAAATCACCCAGACTTTTTTATTTAAACTGAGTCATAGAAGTGTGGAAAAGCCTATAGAGATAGGAGCACATCACAATTCTATATAGAACATATTTCCTTTTCAATAAAACTGTGATAGAGGGAAGAGAGGGTCACTAGGGCTGTCAGGATTACTGGATTAAAAGAACTGTCCATTTACCTTTGTAATTCATTTTTTTCATTACAGTATTTTGGAATGTTTGAAAAGCTACAGCTGTGTGCAAAAGTTTGGGCACCCTAGTCAAATGACATGTTTTGTTGATTTAAGTGAAAATAAGTGACACATTCTCTACAGAGAACACACTTCTAGACATTTTAACGCACAAATACTGTTCAGTTTAGCATATTGGGGAAAAAAACATAAATGCGGCCTGGGCAAAAGGTATAACACATTTTATATTAGGGCTGGGCAATGTGACAATAATTGTTATTGTGATAAATCACAGATAAAGTCATGGATATCGACAGCACTTACAAAAACTCTTCCCAGGTTTTGATGTAGTTTGATTTGGCAGTACTTTGTCTGTTCCAACTTATCAGATGTCAAAAATAAATATACGTTGTGTATCGTGAAAATATCTTGAAAGATCACAATATTACATTTTAACATAGTGGCCATTTTATGTTTTATTTTTGTCTTTTTAAAAAACATGTTAAACAAATAGAAGTTGTATGCTAAAGTGTACAGAAAAGTGCCATAATAAAGTTTGTTTTCTGTTGAGGAGACAAGAACTTAATTTTACAAACACATGTAATTTTACCAGAAGGGAGCAATTACTTTTACTTATACTTAGTTAATTACTGTTTACTCAAGTATTTTTTGGCCTTTTCAAAAACAGATTACTTCATTAATCATCAAAATAATCTGTAGATTACTCAATTACATATATAATTAGTTGTGCTAGCCCTTGTTTTCACACACTTGCACATTTACAGCTTAAATTTTATTTAGCTCTGGGGCTACAAAAGAAAAATGTTATTTACAGCTGTTTATCTGGGTAGTTAAGTGTTCATTTGCTCAGAAAAACACTAATATTACATTATATACAAAAGGCATTAATACACCAAGCAGTGATTTTATGTCAATGTGTGTTTAACCATTTCCACAACTCTCCTCATGGGAGCCCAATACTTTGTGTAGGTATCATCCAGTATCTGGTTTGGTTAGTCAAACATTTGTTAAATTAAATCAGGTGTGACAACAAATCTGTTTGATCTGTTTACTGTATTTATCTTTAGTTTATTTTATGCTATTGTGATATAGTCTTTTTACTGGGCTTACTGCCGAAATAAATAGTTTTAAATAATCTGCTTTTGCTTAGTACTGTATATTTTTAAAAATGCTTTTTAAAGGCTTTATAGTTTATCTGTCATAGAACTGGATCTGGAATCTTGAAAGGCTGTGCTTGTTTTTTTCCCAGATTTGTTTTTATTGTTTAAAACAAAGGGATTACTCAAAAAAGGTAGATTACTCAATGACTTATATTATAAATAGAGACAGCCCTGGTGATCACACATGTACTCATTTACAGCTTTCCTCTTCATAACATTTAGATCTAGGACTCAGTCACTTGTTAAGTAATATGTGCAATTTTTGTTGTGTTAATGTACAATTACCATATGAGTATACGTGCATAAAACATATCAAAGCCTTCATTCAGTATACATGTTATACATTCTTTTCCTGTTCTCACCTCTTTTTCCTTTTTTGTCTGTTTTGTAGCACCTTACAGAAGAGAAACCAGAGGGGCTTATTAATGAAGCTGCAAGGTAAAGGCTGTATAATGTTAAAACAGTAGATTGTCCCCTGCTGTATGCAGGCAAGCAAACTCGTCTTGAGAGGAGGTGGTTAAAGGGTGTTTCATATGCAGGTGGATCTCCTTCTGTCTTACCTCACTGATGTGTTACAGGAGCTGCTGTAATCTAGTTCTTGTTTCAATCTAAAAAAAACAATATTTTCAGATGCCCTCTTTATCAGGGTCATGAAGACATTCCTGAGGTCCTGTAATGATTAGAGAGTATTTCAGAGCTGTATTATATTGAATAACAATCCATATATGTCTTTAACTCTTAGAAGTCTAGTTATTGGTGTGGTCTTTCTGTAATATTTCAATGCAATAACACCAGCGTTCAAAAGTCTGTAATCACTTGTCATACTAATAATTGCTGTTCTTTTAATTTGTACAGTGTCGCCTGAAATACTGTAAGCTAGACACCAGAAGGTGTTTCGAGATATTCAGTATTTCAAGTTTTTTTTTAGAAAAATTTAAATCAAAAGTAACTTGCTGTCATTATTCATTTATTGTAATTTCTTTATAAATCATCTGCCGTAAGATTTGATCACCACATAATAGAATCATTTCATGCATTTATCTGCAATAGTTTTTTTTAATTAAAAACAGTGATGCCAAACTTTTAAATTTTCATTTAAAATATCTGAACACTAGTGTATATAAGTACATAATGTATTGCAGAAGTACATTTACCTTATATTATGAGACGTTCAACAGGTTTGGCTTCCAAACGTTTTTCTTTTGGTTTCACTGTCAGAAAATGACAAAACATGGCAAAAACATAAAGGACGGATGTTCCTTTTGCAACACTGTACAATTATGAGTAAGAAAATCAGCTACGATTAAGAAATGGTTAATAGAGAATTACAGCATGTTTATATCATCAGCAATAACTGCAACTTCTAATGGTTAAATGCCCTACCTAAGAAAACAGAAAGAAAATCAAAATCAGGGGACAGTTATCAGTGTTTCACTGTAACACCAGAAGCATTTAGTCTGTTTTGCTTCCCATATCAAGAGATTTTCTTCTTAGATTCTTACACATTTTAACAAGACTGCATTCCATAACAGCTCAGTGATGTCATTTGTAACTGAGTAATTCATAGCAGGCTTTCTTTTTTTTCTGTTTTGACCTTTAACCAGAAAAATGGCAAGCAGTATTTCTCATTATTCACCTATATGGCTGGTTGCTGGAGGCCTGTAAGCATTAAACAGCACTTCTGAGCCGTCTGCCTCACCTGCTGTAGCTGGAGTTGTTGGAAGTTTCTGAGGCATGCTGGAATGCTCACAAGTGTCTGAGACTGTTGTCGTTGCCTCTGTTCTCTGTTTATGTTTTCCTTCTGAACAAAATGGTGCCTCCTTGTGCCATGCCACCCACCCACTGTAAGACAACAGTGAGCCTAACAACAAAGGGTGTGTGTTCTAGACAAACACACTCAGGCTTCTGCACACATTTGTGAACAGAGGTTTGAACAAGGTAATAAAGAGTGTGAAAAGTGGTGCACTTAAGATCTTCCTAGCATTGATCTGCTGTACAGATTGTTTTACTCTCTCTTTCTCTCTCACTCATTCACTCACTCACACAAGGGCTGAACAATTTGTGGAAAAATGTCTGATTGCGATTTTTCTGACCAATATTGGGATTATGATTTAAATGCAGTTATTTCCTATAAATTAAGTTCCAGGCCTGTTTTTTTCCCCAAGAAGACCAGCACATCCTTTTTTTTCAAACATGAGGCTTGAATACTGACTGTAGACAGAAAGTGAGACAGAAAATCTAGGGTAAGATTGAATTGGCTAAGCAAGAAATCCTGCTTTGTGAGACAGAACCCCGATACACACATATTGAAAGATACACATGCAGACACAGGAGAAGCGTACTGCTTTTGAGCTGCTTGTACTGATCCTGGTCTTTCTCTCTTTCAGGCAGATTGCTCTTGCTGATCTAACCATTATAAATAAGACAGATCTGGTTAAAGAAGCTGAACTGAGTGAACTCCGAGACACTGTCAGGTACAAAATCAGAGCTGCACCCCTCACTGTTTTATTTACTACTTCATTTGCGTCTACAGTTGGCTTACTATTAATAATAATCTTAAATTATGACGCCACTGTTAACATGAGAGTGTCTACTGTTCGGTTCACTCTCTGCTTTCCAGATCCATTAATGGCCTTGTCAGAATCCTGGAAACACAGAGGTCCAGGTGAGCGTGTGTAGCAAGTCTACTAGTGACACTTCTTCTGCTTTAAAACTGTAAACATTTAAACCTTCACAAGATGTGTGTCTATGGATTTTTTTTTTATCCTAACCAGTCATTGAAACAACACACACTGTTTTCTGTCCTATCTGTCCTAAATACATCAGGCGTGATATTACACAAGCACCTTTATCCATTTGTCTTTGCTGCTTCTGACTGCTCAGAGAATCAGCTGGCAGAGCTGACACTGTCTTCAGAGCTGAGCAGTCAGTGTTCTTTTAGAGACAGTTACCTGATGAGCTAACTTGAGTATTGTTTCACCCTTTTCGTTTTATTCAACAAGCTATTGTGAAAGGAGTGGCATTGTGCATTAATTTATTCTAGATTCAGTATGGGTTTATTCTTAAACAAGAGGCATAAAGGTGTTTTTATTAAAATAACAATAACATGAATTGCAGTAAAATTATATTTCTCCTTCTAGGGTTGATTTGTCTCAGGTATTAGATCTGCATTCCTTCGACACAAAAGATGGCATAAGGTATGTCTGTTTATAGCTTTATTGATCAAACATGAGCTTGATTTGCTCACTGCTTTTTACTTAACTTTTATTTTATTAAGGATTCTGCAGCACTTTAAGCTGGATGTTAGCAATTACCAGAAATACTGCATACCAGGGTACAGTGTAAATACTGGGGTATTATTTCCTGATACTGCCATATTAGAATGTTGTAATTTGTAAGTCACATGTATCACAGTTAAATTAACTTAAAACAATTTATTTAGTGTTTTTTTATTTAACAGTTTATCATATATACAGATGGTTATTATTTTTAGTAAAAAAATGCATTATTAATCTAGTAAGCATATCTGTTACTTATGACTAGAGGGAAATTCAGCTATTGAGCAGTGAATAGCTCACCTCCATAGTTCACCTGCAGTGGCAGTGTTAGGGCTGTGCAGTATGGAAAAATAACAAAGTAACAATACTATACAACACATCGAATTGTATCACTGCGTACCGAAGTGTACTGTATCTAGGGATGCACCAAATTGTGGGCTGTGGCTGATATGCCAGTATTTTTTATGTAGGTATCTGTCCATGCCTTTACATAAACGTTTATAAAATGTAAAAACCGAGAATGCATAAACCCGGATTCACAAATGTAAAACTCATTTGTATAGTGTTACAAATACAGTCAAAATGTAGCAGACATTTTAGTGCCTAAACATTCTGCTCTTCTGGAGTACAATAAATGTCATCAAATGTCAGACTGAAATACCGGTCATGTCTAAACATCTGTCTCCTATTTTTTAAGCAAATTGCTGATACCAGTATGATTCCAATATGTATACCAAATCGTATCATACTGTTGTATCATGACTAGCATGTTAGCTTTTGGCTAGTGTGATAGCTGAGGGCTAATGTAGTCTTGTAATGAAGTCTTGTAAAGCACAGCTTTGTTTTGTTTAATGTTAAATGCTCTTTTAAACAAAAATCGGAAAATTATTATATTATTAGTATTTGAACTTATTAATGTTTTAATTTACATATTGAAAGTGAGTGTGAATGATCTGCTGTTTTCATATCTTCGTCAGTATAATATTGATTTTGCATTTGAAAACTAAACCTTGAGGCAGACCTTCTTTTTGAGCCTATGTATGTGATTTTTAATTAAACAAAAACTCTTGCAAAATTAATCTGACACCTCTTAAATTATTAAATTATTATTTCAGGCTTTGCAGGGTGACTCGCAGCAGCACACACACATATGTTAGTGGGTTTTTTTTCCTTCTGGCTTAATAATGCTACTTTTAATTTTAACAAAAAAAACTTACATAGTGCAGCTTTAATCTTGTTGCTTTTGTTTTTAACTTGTTGGGGTCTTTTATTCTTCTATGACACTGTGTAAAGCACTTTGGTGCAGCGTGTTAAACATGCTGTAGAAATACATTTTACTTATTTTCTAATAAGTAGCATATATTGTTATAAAAACCACAGAAGCAGTTAAAGATCAGACTGGCTTAAACACTGACATGCAGATGCAGTAGTTTAGCTTGTGTTATCCGCAACAATGGCAAACTCTGGGAGCAAAAGATAGATTACTTGTTCATCCCCACAAAGCAGTCCTTTAATGAGATGACCCGCGTTACAACACAAGACAGTTGCTATATGGTGAGCAGAGTGAAGCGGTGTTAATGTGAATGGGACAGGCCAGCTGCGCTGGATTAAAGCCCTGGCTGCAGAGAAACTCCAGAGAGGGGAGGACTCTTCAGACGCGTGTCCACACACACTGCCTTTCAGCCTCACCATGCCCCATTTGCCCCCTGATGGGCGGCCGCTTGTCTGGGGCGACCCCCCTCCGCTCCGCCTGTGTGGTACTCCCAGCAGAGAGAATAATCCAGAGGGCAACGTTTACCCTCCCGTAGGGGTCATGGACTTGTTTCTTTCTCTCTCTTTCTTACTCTCTCACATTCTACTCTTTTTTCCCCCACAAAAAACTTGCTCTGCTTTCTCTCATCAGCTTGTAGACAGGAGCTAATACAGGCGATTAAATCTCTTTGTAGGGATTTTCCTAAGACTGTACATCTGTAAGAAGGCATTGAGTTTTTGAGGGAATTGAACATCAATCACTGCAGTTGCTTCATATTGAAATGGCCCTGAAATCTGGTGTTTTGTGTTATTCAGGTTGACGGAGAAGCTGCAGCTAGTGAAAACAACACAGCCACATCTCGACAAGGTGAAGTGAGCCTCGTTTTGTGTGAAGATGTTTGCAACACTCTTTAAAATAAAGATGCTAAAGAGGGTTCTTGGGAGCCACTCAGACCGTTCAAAGGAGTTTGAACCATTCATTGATAGATTGTTTAGTCAACTATTCATCTGTTGCATTCCTCCAAATAATCTTTTTAGTGCCTTTATTTTTAAGAGTGCGTTTGAATACTGTGTTTTAGAATGGAAATGAACTTCTACATAGACATTTGAGCCTTAAGACACCCAGTCCTCTGACCTGAATGCCAAATACTACTTCCTTCCTTGGTCTTGTGGGCCATTCACTGCCTTTGAAAAGGGCCATCTGAGGTACTTCAATATTCTTCAGACTTTTTAATGCCCTTGATCAGCAAGTTTCTGAAAAAAAAAACACTTGTTTGCTATGTAAATAACAACGACACAAGAGCAGCCTCTGAGAAATGTTACTGGGTCATTCTACCATTGAGGTGGCAAACGTTGATATGTAATTGAAGTGGAAAAGATAGTATGTTACATTGAACAACATCAGTAAAATTGTAACACCTAACTGTAACTGACAAGCTGTAACACCACTGACTGTAACACCAGTGACAAAATTACTAAAATCTGAGCTTTTCTAAAATAGTCCACGGCCACTTTAGTTCAACAGTCTAATTGTATGCAGAAATGTACAAATACTGTTATTTCACTTTCAAAATCACTTAAAGTTGCATGAGTAAAACCACTTTTAGCAACACCTGAAGCTGTCAGTGTTTGTCAGAAATATCAGAAATACAAAAGGAAATTTCACTAACTGTGAAATAAATTTCTACATATATTTAAATATTTTATTTAAATATTCATATATATTTTTAACATAGGACAGACAATTTTGCTGCTTTTTTACAACTGAAACTGAACAGGCATTACAATTTTTGTGTCACATAAAACTAATACTTCATCTGTGAAGTCACTGCTGTTTTTCATGCACAACATAAAATTGCTATAATAAAAATTCCAAAGAAGAAGTTCTTTTAGGAAAAGAACAAAGAAATACACGTCAACTTTCTGTGGCTTATTCTTACTATTGTGGCTTTAAAGTTGGTATATAGTGTTAGTAGAATGAATCTACCACATAGTCATGTGCAAAAGTTTGTGTGCTTCTGGTTTCTTTTTAATTGCTGAATTAAACATTTCGGTGGGGAGGGGGGACCAAAAAATGTAGCCTATGCAAATGTTAGGGCACATTTAATGTTTTATTTTTTCTAATATGTTAAACTTAACAAATAAATAGAAATTTATAGAATAATTAATTAACAATTATATTTGAATTACCTGGAAGCTTCTCTGAGGTTAATTTAAATGTGTTCATTTAGGTATACCTCCTACTAAAATACATCAATAAGCATATGTAAAATTTTACAAAATATTATGGGGTGTTTTCACTTAGAGAACAGATTTGAGTGAATACATTGCCCTGTCCAAAAAGGGATCTGTGTACTGCATTTAAACTGGAATGTAGCATAAAACATTTGCTGTGTGCCTGTAAAACAATTTCTCTAAATCACTTCAAAGCTCACTTTAGTGTAGACTCTACTGCAGAAGACTGGACTGCAGTTTCAAAGCCACTGACGTTAACCACGGGGAGGGGGGTTTGGCTTTTAAAGTACGGATAATATTCACAACTCAGCTGTGCTTTGCTTCCTCTCTCTGAGCTAGGATTTACTCAAGGTTAAATGTCTTCCATTTCCTTATATCTCCTACCCGCATTCACTCTAGGGGCTAATTGCGGGGGGCGTTGGGGTTGTTTTAGTATTAGCATGGGCTCTCTTTTCCCGCATCTAACCTGACCACCCCCTCCCCTCCCCTCACTGAGACGAGCCCCATTGCTCTTTTCATGCAAACGAGTGCTCTGTTTTCTGTTGTTATTCCAGATGAAAAAAGGAAGTGTGTAACTTCAACACTGTTAAACAATGGTTTAAATGTCTGCGAAGTGGCCTTGTAACGCCTCGGGGAAGTTCACAAGTTTGGGGGTGAAGAGAGACAAGTTGGCCAAGATTTTGTGCTAAAGCTGATACTGAGCTCTTGGGGAAATTAACCTTTTTGACACATTTGGTGATAAGACATTAACTGTGTTTGTGGTACAAGATGAAATCCTATTAATATTTCTCCTGTTAATGTTTTGTTATTGATACAGTTGTATTTGGGAGGAAAAAATAATAAAATTTATTCTTTTTGCATTCTGTCATGTTTTGTTTTATTAAACATTGCTTTTATTTTTGAGTGCTAAGCTTCTGTAACAGTTCTGTGTTTTAAGGTATAATGTCAATGTCATATCAAAACCATGTATCTCTATTGTTTTTTTCCTGCTTTTTTCATCATTTGAGTACAGCAGCTTCCCTTTACTTTGTGTGATCATTTCATGTTTAATTGACCAATAGAAAATGTCCAAAACCATTAACGCTAAGAATCTGCTTTTGTAAAAACAGTTGAAATAGTTCAGACATTCTCAACTATTCCACACGCATCACTTTTAGGCAAATGCATTTTGATTTGGTTTATGGTGGTTTGCTTTTCTGGTTTGTTGTAAAAGTTGGTGTTTGTTCTTGTCATTTACAGAATATACTAACAGTTACATTTGAAGTGCCTGGAAGTGTCTCTGAGGACCATTTAAATGTGTTTATTCAGGTATGAATAACTCCTACTAAAATACATTAGTTAGCATACCTAACAAAACTTTACAAAGCATTAAGGGCCAGTTTCCTGGACAAGAATTAAGCCTGGTCATCTGTTTTTCCTTTCAATGGAAAATCTCCATCTGAAATACTGTGTAGCCCAGGACTAGATTTAATCCCTGTCCTGGAAACCGGCCTTATGATATGCTGACTGTTCTGTCTGTGTTTTTTCTAGAACCTATTATGGGAAAAGATGTTTAACAACAAGGCAGGATTGGCTATGAACGTCATTCGCTTGAAGGTGAGCATTTGTTGCCTTTCTAATAACAACTTGACAACGTATTAGTAAGTTAAAGTAAGTTAAATATTATCCATCTTTAATACCTGACCTGTTAGATTAAAATATGCGTAATGTAAAAATGTACAAATGTATAAGAAACTGCCTTTTTGTGTCTGTGCTTAATAGACTGCTGGAAATTGGTAGCTACAACAGTTAAGTTGTTAAGTCTGATTGCTTCAGAGTAACACTTTCAAACACTGAACATATTTTTACCAGCTTTTTTCACTCTTCTGTCATCGCATTAAACAAGTACACAAAGTATAGAGTGAAATGCTTGATTACATTGATTGCTTAGCACTAATGTGTGCTGTGCTGCGGCAGGGAATTGTGTCTCTCCAGGGGAAGCAGAAGAAGGCCATGCTGCAGGGCGTTCACGAGCTTTACGAGCTGGATGAGACGCCCGAGGCCTGGGCAGATGGTGAGCCTAGGGTCAACCGACTGGTCTTCATCGGTGAGACTTATCTGCCAATACCCATTTTTTATTTGTCCTCCTCATAATCCCAGCTCACTTTTTATTTATTCTCTTCTTAGTTGACCCTCTTCATAGGCCTAGCTCAGTTTTCTAGGATGATTTAGAGCTGGTTTGTGGATTGTCTTTGGCAAAAATGATCAGCCTGTTACGTTTCCATTTTTTTAAAGAACATAATCTTGTTCTTTAAAGGCTTGTGATCATGTGACTTTTTAATTTGCCGTTATGTTGTTTAGTTTTTTTTTAAATAAAGGACCTGTAAGAATTTGTTTTTTACAATATCAGTTATATTGGTTTGTTGACTTTTACAATATTAATTACTTTCAGTAGTCGACATTAAATCAATTTTAAAAGAACTATAAAAAATATTTTTGCCATTATCATCACAGAAGTTTGAACATCCTGGTCAAATGACGTTTTGTTGATTTTCTAGGTAAAAATAAGTCAACACATCCTCTACAGAGAACAACATTAAATATGGCATTTTTCTGCAGATGTTGGTGCACAATTTTCTAGTTATTTGCTAGTTGAGTTAAACATATGGGGGGGGGCAAAACATAAATATAAAATGTGGCATAACGTTTGCACAGTATTTTTTTCCAATATGTTAAATTCAGCAAATAATTAGTAATTATGCATTAAAATGTACAGGTACTTATTTTCACTTGGAAAAAAAATCAACAAAGTGTGTAAATTTATCAGGGGTAATAAAACTATGACCTATAACTATATATGTGTCTGTTCTCTTCTTTTTAGGTCGCAATCTGGATGGAGACATTCTGAAGAAAGAATTTCTTGCGCTGGTCTCAAATGAGTAAAGCCTTCTTAAAGTGGGAGCGCTGACGTAGGATCTGTTTTTCCCTGCATATCTTTATTTAATACAATAATAGGCAAAGTACAGCTGACCCCAGACCTGCACTGTCACTCTGAGGTGCATTTTGACTGTGATGTTCAAATCTGGGTTAGTCTGTGGTGTCAAGCGCAGAACTCTGGAACTGCATTCCAGCATTTGTGCTCAGGACTATCACTGTGGTGTAAAAGCACACAGCTCACAAGAATGGAAAGGGTGCTGTATTAATGAATGGCTGCATTGCAGCAAAGATTACTGATATGTTTAAGATTCTGTTGGCTTTGGATGTGAAATAAAATCTAAACATTACGTTATGCTTACCTCAAATACTGCTGTCTGTCAAACATGCGTACAGCTAGACATCTTACGCCAAGATAAAGAGTCTGCGAGGCAATGGTAGACAGCCTGAACAAAACAAAATTGTTGGATTGATTAATTGTTGGACTGATGAAGAAATTTTAGCTCTGGACATGTGGTTGTAATGTGTATGTTTCAAAGATAACGTGATCCAAACAGTATTAATCACAAATAGACTGTATTTAATTAATAATGTTTGTGTTAGTTTTGTTAATAGTAACATTCACAGTTTGAGTTTGTGAAATTCAGTTCACAATAAAGGACAGTTACATCACAGTAAAATAAACTTAAACCTGAGATGGTGTGATTTGTCTTAACGTGTCACATTTTGTGTTTGCTACAGTGTGCGAGATCTTCAGTTACTTAAAGCACCCACTTAACACCCAGTTATTTAATATCGGAAAGCAAGAGAGGCTCACTTCTGCATGCAGTACTTTTTAAGTATTGCGAACTGAATAAATTGGGGGGAATTTTAAGATATTGACGTTTGCCAAGATCACTTTTCTGTTTATTGCTCAGCTGCAAACTGTGGGTTCATGTTGGTTTTTATGAGATGCCTGTTTGATAGTTGACACAGTTTAGCGTGCTGGTTCGGATATGATTTAGGCTTAAATTCACTTTGTCAGGGAAAACTAGTTAGTTTAGTTTTTGTGAATTTATATTTTTCAAACAAGACTGCATTATTCTCTCCTAATGTCAGTCAGAAAGGTTTATTTACTAAAAGTCAAAATATGTTACTAACACCTTATATTAACACCCTAGTTAAAATTGATTTGTCATCAGTATTAACTGAGATAATATTAGGTGTTAGTTGTTAACACTGTGTTAAAAGCATATGTGTTAATGTTTGAACTAAATAGTCTCATCTGTGTGGCGTCACAACAGTTAAAGAAAACTGTGTGCAGGATATTCAGACACAGGGTATTTCAACTTCGTTCGAGGGTTCACAGCCAGCCTAATCTGTCTTAGTAGTAAATGATCATTTCTTGAATATTAAGTATCCGCTGGGTAAAACGTGAGTCATTCCATGAGATCAGAGCCTTTTCCATGTTAAGAAATCACTGTTTTTCCATAGATTCAATGACACATTGCTATTACCAAAATACTGATTTACCCACGCCACGTTTTTATTTTTGTGTAAAATAATGAGAATTACAGCCCCATCACACTTGTGAGGGGGGTTAATATTTTAATATTCAGACTAAACTGGCTGCCACACTGCCTGCTGTCAAGCTTAGACCTTCTGAAGTTTATTGGATGACTTTTTTGTCAATATCGCAAAATGCAGTCTCCATTTTGTGCTCTGGGCTGGACATGTTTCCAATATTGAATCAAATTTACCAGCTTTTGAACTCTGCTGCTCTTAAGGCTTAAATGATGTCACTTATTGTGACAGTGCATTATTATTATGGATGCATAAGTCAGCATGACAGGGTGGAAAGCAAAACTTAAGGGCAGTGTAAATTATAAAAATTTACCTTAAATTAATTTTTAATGTTACATTTATAAGTACTAAGAATGTGGAAACAAATATGTATTTGAGCATTGCATTGTTTTTGTGTTACTAAAAGTTTTGTTGATATTTGAGAGGAACATATTACTGTCTATAGGGAAATGTAAAAATGCTTGAATTCCTAAAATACTGTTTTGAAAAAACACAATAAAAAGTAAAAATAATTTAAAAATCGTTAACACTAGTTAATCAAGAATTTTGAATTCCTGTTTTAAACCTTTTTTTTAGTAGTAGTCTTGTTGTAACCGATTAGAAGCGAACCCATCCTACTGTATAACAAACCACGTTTCATAGGCGAGCTAAATGTTTCATTGGACGCCGTGGCGCGTTTGTATGCCTCGTTTGCTCTGGATCATAAATGTGCATGGAGGGCAGGAGGCTCCCCCAGGTGAGGAAGTGCTTCTCTCATTTGCAGCTGAGATCAGATCAGTGTTGGTAACACGTATCCGCGCCCTGCTGCGGCTCTCAGCGTTTCCTCCTCTATTCTCATGCTGATGGAGCCGTTCAGTGGCTCTGAGCTGCTGTGCTGAGGCTCAGCGGGGAGCTCAGTCACGGCCATTTTCACGGCCAGAGCCACCGCCTGCGGGCAGAATCAGCCCCGCCGCCAGAGGGCGCTGCTGAGCAGCACTGCGGGCCCATACTGTCCAACACGCTTTGCTAATGAGCAAACAGGCTAACAGCGGCTCTGGTATATAGCTAGTATATCTCCCATAATCTGTCAGTATCATTTAAATTCAGAATATTATCTATTCTTAATAATAATAACGTTTTATTTCGGTAGTGCCTTTATCAAACTCAAGGTCGCTTTACAAATTCCACGTAACAGAATAACAGACACAAACTGGGCTATGTTTACTTTTTGATGTGATAATTGTGATAAGTGGCTTTAACTGATCAGTTGTCCAGTTCTTCCTTAGAACAGGGTATTTTGCTTGAATTTATTTGGCTACAATTAAAGAGAAACTATAATTATTTTCTTTATAATAGGCTATTTGCTCCTTGTGCTAATTATTAGCCTGTTAGCCTCCAAGCTTTGAGCATAAATGGGCTAACGTTACATTCATTAGCACTTCTAGAAGTCAGTCAAGAAAAGAAAGCAGCAGTTTAGTTGTGTTTAATCATAGAGCCAACTGTTACCTGCACTACTTTTAATGGAGCCGAAGAAATTATGTTTGATCATCATTAATCGCCAATGCGCCAATTAATCAAGCCTAATTAATAAGCTAACATCGATAACCCGATTTAACCTTAGCGAATTATACTGGAAATCGAACGACGTGAGCTCTGTGAAGCTCCAGCAGGTCAGAAGCCCCCCACACCTGGCTAAAGCTGTGACTCCCCGCGGTGGCTCTGCGCTCCTATTGGCCATTGTGCAGCTTGCCAGGCTGCTGGAGCCTCATAAATAGGCCGCCCCTTCGAACTCCTGATAGACCACCAGCCACAGAGACAACACACCACACAAGCTCAGAAAGGAGCCCGTGTCCCCTACTGGCCTGTGGAATGATGATCCTCTCCACGGATGAAGCAGCCAATTTCTCAGCCGAGGAAGAATCCAGCATGGCTAGAGGAAACTTAACTGGGGTCTTCATGGAGGTCTCATCAATGGAGCCCAACGTGGAAGGAGGCAGCTCTGAAGAGGAGTCTTCTGCTGAAAGCGAGAGCAGCTTTGGCTCAGAGAGCCCAACCTCAGGCCAAACCCCGACCCCAAGCCAGCAGAAGAACAGCTCCGTCAAGCCTCCTTACTCTTACATCGCCCTCATCACCATGGCCATCCTCCAGAGCCCGATGAAGAAACTGACCCTCAGTGGCATCTGCCACTTCATCAGCGACAAGTTCCCTTATTACAGGGCCAAATTTCCAGCTTGGCAGAACTCCATCAGGCACAACCTGTCGCTCAACGACTGCTTCATTAAGATCCCAAGGGAACCGGGCAATCCGGGGAAGGGCAACTACTGGTCCCTCGACCCTGCTTCAGAGGACATGTTCGACAACGGCAGCTTCCTGCGCCGAAGGAAGAGGTTTAAGAGGAGCCAGCCAGAATACTCCAAAGACGGACTCTTACTTTACCCAAACATTGGTTATCGTCCTTACGGGAGACCTTACTGTGTGTCTGGACGGGTGCTGACACATGCCTCCCCCCTTGGATATGTGCCAGCCCAGGATGGAATGGTTTTGCCAACCCAAGACAGCGTGGTCCTGCCACCCCCATATTTTCAGTACCAGAATGTTGCCAACATTAAAGCCAGAGAACTTGGTCTGAGTCTCCCTGAGCAAAGGCCTGAAGGCCAAACTCAGAAGTGCTCTTTCAGTATCGACAGCATCATGGCTAAATCAAGCCCTGCAGGACACAAACCTTCTGTCCCCCAGCTTCCAGCCGAGTACCTCTGTCCACGACCACCACCATCCTGTGTGGTTCCACAATGGCTCCCAGGGCCCAGGACTTCTTTTGCTCTGTCCACGCTGCCATTTGCAGAAACACTCCGGGTGGCCTACTCCTAACTGCTGGACTCCTGGAAATGTTATTATTGCTGATACTCATTTGCTGTTGTACATGTGTGTAGTTTACAAGTACAGTGCATTTTCGCTGTGTATCCAAACACATTTGTTTTTAAATCACAGCTTTAATGTAAATAGTTATAAATGATGTTAATATATATGTAAGTGGAACATGTTTCGTAATAATGCATTTGAATTATGTTGGTAAAAATGCCTATTTTGTGTCCCCTTAAAATAAATGTGATTATTATATTATTTTTTAAAAAATGTGGATGTGAGTTGTTTTCATATGCAGCACAGTTTTACTTCTGTAATTAATTGCAAATTGCAATTGGAGGGTCACAGCATTCCCCCCCCCACACACACACACATACACCAAAAAAAACAAACATTTTTTTGGTTGGGGGGGTTGTGTCATGACCTTTCAACTGTAAATAAATACAGTTCATGATTTTTTTTTCATAACTTGTGAAAGGCAGTGTGGCACCCTTTAAACTTTGCAGTTCAACTCTGCAGAGGACTGTTTTTGAAATGTCCACAAGATGGCGTACAAGCTTCAGTTTGTAGGCCGTGGGGCAGGAGTGGGGAACTGAGAGCCAGCACAGGTTGGTGATGTGATTATCTCTGCTAGCACAGGTAATTAAACCAACTAAACCAGGTAATTACCCGATGAGTTGAATCAAATCTGGCCTTCCAGGACCGGAGTTCACCACCCCTGCCATAGGGAAATCATAAAATAATTAGGGCAGGGTTGTCCAAACCTCTTGTTTTGTAGGGCCAGTGCAATGTTTTTGATGGGCCAAGGGCCAAAAAGACAATGCACAAATAAAGAAGGCAGGTGGGTTTCAAATCCAGTTTTTAAAAATGTATTCGCTATCATTACACTATATTGTTATGGAAATATTTCAAATGCAGTACAATTTTAAAAGGAAAATAAGAATAAGAATTTAATAAGCTACACACAGTATAAAAATATATATCATTGAGTTAGGAGGTGAGGGTAACGTTTCTGTCTAATCAAACATCCCCATGGGCCAACATTGCCCGCAGACCACACTTTGGGCAGGACTTGGGGTGTACTGTTTGATATTTATTGCTTTGTGTAGTAAAGGAACTGCATTTTCAGGTTTCTTTAACATTTAATTTTCATTGCATTTTCATTAAGCTACAATCAATATACACAATCTGTGTAGGTTACCTCCTCTGAATGGTGGTCTGTATGACACTGTATAGATTAGCTACACTGAAAAATGTGATGCATTGAATTTTCATGATTCAAATATGTACATTATTTCCACATTA